TTTAGGTCAACAAGCTGCATGTAGCCTTCGACAACCCTTTCGCTAGGAACACCGAGAGCTGCAGAGATGGATTGCCATAGTTCCGGTAGCTCTGATACAACCTTCAGAATCCATGAAACACTCTCATCACCGCGAACAGTGTTTTGGATCCGATGAAACTCTGAATGGTCGAATGACAACGGCAAAGATCCGAAAAGGAATACATTTAAAGCCCCGTTTGGACTGGCTAATCTCGGATCGGAATGCATTGGAAGTAGCAATCGGAGTCTGAAGGACTAGAAAGAGTAGGCAGGTGGAGATGTGTGACGGTTGAAGTTCAGTTGATTCAGCACATGTATCTCGATTAGTCGCCTCAATGTTGAAGAGAGAAGGACCTGAAAGTTGAAGTATGTTTATGTTGTGTAAGAAGACATGGAATATAACACAATGCGAGCAGCTACTCATATATGGTACGTCTATCTGATGGAGAAGGCCTTGCTTCATCTTAGAAAGGGAGACTTGAGTAGCCGACCAAACTCCATACACTTCCTGTAATTCCTTACGGCGAATAGTAATCTTCTTCTGAGTGGGAAGAAACTAGCCCGCCGAGACCAGGAAACGAAAGAAATGCCAGGGTTGTCAGACGGGCATGGAGTTGGAATGGATGGCTCGCATTCGGTGGAACAATCATGCCCATGAGCAAAGATTCTAACACCAAGGTTAACAAATCTGTCCCCTATCGCGACAAGCAATGTGTCAACGGGCCAATGTAGCCAAAAAGGTCCCACCGAGGATGACTGGGGAGCCATGCGGCCCGAGACTGCATATTGGAGAAACTCCGAGGCATAAGGGACGAAAGTAATGTGGTGCCCTTCTCCCTGGCCAATAGAAGACACAGAAAGCTTGAGAGATTTACCGTTCAGGCTCGAAACAACCATTGTTTTGTTTCGGTACTCGGTTCCTTTACTTACTCCGATGGGCCCTACCAGGCTCCAACAGACTCGGCTGTTTAGGAAGCGAGCTCCAAGAAGGGTGTGAGATCGATACAGATACCCCGATCAACTAATCAGATTAGATTCGGGATCTTTGCCATCATTCTCTCGGACTAACCAATTCCGAAAACAATTTTGCCATCACGGCACCACCAACCAAGCCCACGGCCCGGATTACTCAAAATAAAGACTCGTAAAAGCCATGCAAGTGTGATGCCAACTCACTTGCATACTGATTCTGCTCCACCAATCTGTACGCCCTGAATAGTCATCAGTCAGCAGGATGTCGCAATCCGCAGGAGAAGACAGCCCGCTCGAGGTTGCCATTGTAGGGTGTGGCATCGTCGGCCTCATCGCCGCTGCAGGTCTGGCAAGGCGTCGGATCAAGGTCACGATTTTCGAGCAGGGCCAGGGCTTGCGGGAGCTGGGAACAGGAATCGCATTCAATCCCGCTGCTCAAGGATGTCTAGAAATGATCGACCCGGAAGTGACCATGGCCCTGAGGATGGGTGGTGCTGTAGGTCTTTCCGCTGCCAACGAGGACGATCCTCACGACTGCCTTCGATGGATTGATGGCTACAATCAAAGAGACAAGAGCGATCCCTACTATCAGAAGTACTACTTGAAAACGAATGCGGGATACCGAGGAATCCAAGGCATTCGCAGAGACCATCTTCTTGAACAACTAATCCGAGTCTTGCCATCCGACACTGTGGTTTTCAAGAAGCGCTTAGAGGATATTGTCGAGGGCGGAGACGACGAAAAGATTGTGCTCAAGTTTGCAGATGGCACTGTGACCGAAGCCGACGCCGGTGAGTAAACAGCTCTTTGAGGGGAATTCTTGACGCAGCATATCTTGTCCGTGAAAAGTATCTAACTGAAAGTACAGTCATTGGGTGCGATGGAATCAAATCCAAGACAAGGAACATAGTTCTTGGCCCCGACAGCACCGCCGGCAAGCCGACTTATACTCATGTCAACTCGTACCCTACCGTTATCCCAATGGAGAAGGCCGTCTCAGCACTGGGAGAACGCAAGGCAAGGGCATTTCACAATCACTTGGGTCCTGACGCAAACATCCTTCACTACCCCGTGGCACACGGCACCATGTGCAATGTCACCGTCTTTGTTCGAAACGACGAGGAATGGCCACAGGATAAACCAACGGCGCTTGTCGGCCAGCGTGCTGATATCGAACATCGCTTCAGGGACTGGAACCCAGCAATTCGAGATCTCATCAGCCTGCTGCCGGAGACGCTCCCTACCTGGGCAGTCTTTGACTTGTGGGATTACCCTCTCCCGTTCTACAACAAAGGCCGGATATGTGTTGCTGGAGACGCAGCGCATGCCAGCAGCCCGCATCATGGCGCCGGCGCCGGCATGGGGGTAGAGGACGCACTTGTCCTTTCGGTTCTGATGGCCGACGCCTCGATGAAACTCGGAAAAGGAAAACTGTCCAAAAGTCAGGTCATTTCCTCCGCGTTTGCCGTGTACAATGACATCAGGAGGACTCGCAGCCAGTGGCTGGTGCAGAGCAGTCGACGAATCTGCGATCTGCACCAGCAGAAAGAATGGGCAGACCCGACAAAGTGGCTCAAGGCAGAGTCGACATTGGAGGAGCTCAAAGACCGCACTTATAAGATATGGAATTATGACTTCCGTCAAATGGTTGCGGAGGCTGCTGAGAGCTATGGCATGCTCATCAGTCGCCTTGAAAAGCAAGCGTCTGCCACAAACGGCGACGTCAAGGCAAGTTCTCTCGTCAACGGCAATGTTTCGGAATCCATAGCCAAGACAAAAACGGTGGCTCATGGCATCGGCGACTCGAAAACGCTGTCGATCGAGACGCATGCCGAGCTATTGGCTGGACCTGGCCAAAGCTGCACCACAGATGTGATGGTCTCTTAAGCAGCTTCATGGGCAGGTGAGCAAAAATACATACGCTGATTGTAGGATGGCACAAGAGCTTGGCTTGTGATGTTGACCGATGAATGATGGAACGGAGTTGACGGGCGTTTTGGACGTCGTTTGTATTTTGTAGCTGTAGTTTTGCTCAATAAACCGCGATTAATATCGATGCACTTTTAAGCCCAAAGCTATGAGAAAACTGAGTCAGGTTGTCCTGCTCGCCACATGAAACTAAATTGTATTGGAAACCGCTATAGGCTTCTGCTCGCTTGGCTATCAGTTGGATCTTGGTCTGATTGAATACTGAAGAATTCCCTGGGTTGCACGAGCTAAAATCTAGGTATCGCTTAGAGTCCGTTGTCCAAAACAATTATGTGTTCGTTTGTTTAGTATTATACTCGATACTTACGTCTAGAGACGGCTATGAGTCCACTGTTGACCAGTTGATTCTTGAGATAAACTGGAAGATGCAGCGTTTGCTTCTCCGGGAAAAGCCCCAACTCTGACACCCGACTCGGTAGACGAAGTCTGCCCACGACGATTCTTAGAATCTATAAGGGCGCCGGTTTCTTGAAGCCGCAAAACCGCTCATAATACCTCAATACCGTACGTGAAATTCACCACTGCCAACAATTAAAATCTGCTATATAGCCCAAGGTTACGTTACGTTGCTGGTCGAAATTGTGTGGCGAAGCATTTAGGACACGTGTGCAATACTAATAACATAACCCCTGCAATTCGGTGGGCTCGTTCTAATCTATAGAAATACGATATCCGGTGGTCCGCCCGTTGTGGAGGTGATATTTCGTGAATGACCAGGAGCAAGCTCAAGGCGTGCCAGATCTCACACAACGAGTACGTCACGGAATCAACGAATTCACATGTCAGAGTGTAGCAACAAGGAGCGAAGACATGGCGGATAAGGAAGGAGTCAATGCAGTATAAGCAGCCCGATGTCCTCTCCCCGTTTGAAACTCTTTACGAATCGCTTTTTTATGGGGAATATTGTCCCATGGAGCGGATATCGCCGCCCTAAACTAACCGAGTGTAACTCTACTCCGTAGGTAGAAGATAACCCCGAGACCAACTTTGATCGTAGCCAATTGTAACTTACTGACTATCATGAAACATGAATTTAAGTTTCATTTTAACTTAATTTTTACCTTTTTTGCGCTCAGTTTTCTTTCCTTTCAGCTGGAAAGGGGTGAATATATCTCAATTAGAAGCAATCCGTAGGGACGTCTCGGGAAGCAGGCGGGTGTTGAATTGTACCCGACTCAGTATTTGCAGGTCAACTATCAAAGACAGTTCTTGCCACCAAGGATGCATATCGAGGATTCTGACACGTCACAAAGCGGTAGCTTGGCATAAATATTCACCCACAACAGGCCCACACGGATACCTTGGCTCCGGCATTCCACGGACTCTTCGTAATCGGGACTTGGATTGTCATTAACCGGACATACATACTAGAAGCCGGCGGCATGTCCATTACCGTCGGCCCCGAAAGGGTGTTCTCAGCATTTCCGAACTCGCCGGCAAGTCGGGATGCATCGAAGGGGCGCCAACGGTCGTATGGTTGTGCGCTCTAGGGTTCCCGATTTGGAGGTCTGTTAACCTACACCTTCATCTAGAAATAAGTTTTTTTTAAACCTGACCCTACAAGACTCAGTAGGTCGTGCAAGTCAACTATGTCGAGGACGTGCTGAAAGTGGTGAAGAGGCTGTCTGAGGGTTATTGTACTTTCATGGGAAGCGTATTTTAAAGTCCTCATCATGTTGAACAGTTCTACCTCAGCAATATATTACAGTAACATGATATTATGAGAACGCTCTTCTATATGTGGGCTTCAGTGGGAAACAACTGGCAAAGCAAAATTCACAATAGGTCTTGTAGATTTCCATTCTCGTATCACGGCATGAATATGTGTCAAAACAGCATAGTTCGCTTGCATTTACCAGCAAATAACAGATTCAATATAAACCGTTCATTTAGCTTTGCTCTTTGAGCACTAGACATCTACATCCCCATGTGTAACCTCAGACGTAGCTGTTAGCAACAGGGAACAAGATTTGGCGGTTTACTATTCTCGGCTCAATAGGAGTTTCCCCTGTATGCGCACTATTTGAGCATCTCGCCCGTCTTTCCGAGGGTCTCAATAAGTCTTTGGCGAATGTGTTCGCCAATCACAACCTCGGTGCCCGAGCCATCCAACGCCTTTGCAACCAGCTTCAGGTTGCCATTCAGGAAGAAGGCAACACTATATCGATGATTTCGATGGTTGGTGACAACCCTGTGGCGTGCACTGCGGTAATAACCGCCAGTCAACTTCATCATCATGTCGCTCATGTTGATGACGTAGGCGCCCTCGGTAGGCGGGACCGGAATCCAGGTCTCAGTTGGAGGATACCATACTTGGAGTCCCTTGCTAACTGCCTCCTGCAGAAGAATAGTAATGCAGCCAAAGTCGGTGTGGTCAGCAACTAGGTTGACGCAGCCATGTCAGTGCCAAGTCGTTTGTCCACGGGGAAAGGTGGGCGGTCGAAAAATCTCTCACCTCCAAATTGTGTATCATGGAGAACCTCCTGTGGCGCGTAGTGAAGCATCCTCATGGGGATGGAAGGATTTTCCGCGAGCTTCTCAAGCACGCTTGGCGGGTGACCCCATTCTTTGGGCAAACCCCGGCCAAGGATTTTCAAAAGAACCTTGGCTAGATTAACCATCTTGGCCTGATAATCCATGACTGGCTGGCGGAATTGATCCTCGGGTATCTTGGAGGGCCACAGGTTGGGCCCAGTAGAAAAGGAACCAGCGTCGGGGTGATCAGCTGGAATCTCGGCCCCTACCATGAATGTCTAGGTAATAGGTGGATATCAAAATTAGCTCGGGACAATTAGATATGGTGGTGACTACCTTGGGATTGTTGGGGAAGCCACCAAAGCTTGGAAACGACGTCTAATTGACTTACTTCCTTGATATCCGGCATCAAGCCTTTGTGGTGAGTCTGGATCAGAGGTGGCTCATAGCCGCGAAGAGATTTTCCCATGGACTTGGAGACGCAGACTTCCATCCTGTCCTCTTCGGGGAGAGCAAAAAAGCGTCTAGTGCAATCTAGAATCTCCTTTTGCTCGTCAACAGTGACCCCGTGGCCAACTGCCTGGAAAAATCCATAAGTTGTACAGGCATGGCGAACGTTGTCGACGACGGCCTGCTTCTGTGCTTCAGTCGACGTGGGCGAAATAAAATCGCTAATGTCAATGGTTGGAATGGCGTCGGGAGTCTTGCTGCCCATTTTGATATACTCAATATTGTTTTTTAAATATAGATATAGATGAGAGAGGGTTCCCAAATCGTTGCGCGACAATTTACTGTCCGAGCCACGAGGTGTTTTCTGGGTTGCCAATTACTGCGAAAAGTGAGGCAGGTAGTTGATCTTGGGTGATATAGGAGGCGGGAGATGTCAAGTTATTATCTTGAAGTCTATTGTAGATGACTCATGGCAATTTTCTCTCCCTTGAGATTATACAACATCGAATACTTCATTTATAAACTTCCTCCATCGTCCATTTACTGCAAAAAACGCATTTTCTTCGACGGACATAGCAACCAACTCCGATCTGACCACCAATTCCAGCCAATGTATCGCGAGTGTAACAAGGAAGATACTCCGCACATAAGAGCGAAAGCGCGAGGCCGCATCAGAAAAGGTGGCATTTGCCCATATCGGGAATGCACAGCAACTTGAAAATGTATACCCCATCTCGGAATATCCACTGGCCGCCAGCTTTCTCCGACTAAGATGGACGCGAAGCGCGAGCAGTGTGCTGCCACATCGGGTTGCGGATTCACCCGCCGTCGTGGCCAATGAGACGACATCTACGTCACAAGGGAGCATGTTTTCAGGTGAGTTTCAGTCATCTCTCTGTATCACGCGTGGCGTCTCCATTCGCTGGGTCTTGTCAGGTCTGAGCCGTGAGACAAGTTGGGATGGAGCCGCTGCTCACGTACCACGACACTACAGTTACACTGCACGTTGGACTATGGATGTTGGCCAAGATGCACCGGCTTGCATCTATCAAGACCAACAGGACTCCGTACGAAGCTAGTTAGGGTTACATTAAATGCAGTTTCCAGCACGATCAGAGGGCCATGGCGGTTGATGCCAAAACTACAGAAAGGGGAATAATGGATCGTGGTCGTATATATTTTTGTGACTATCCTCACTGTACTCGTTTCTTTTACCCAAAAGCTTTTCATAAATCAAAAATAGCCTCCAAATGTACAAGGCTCAAGCGCTTTTTGTCATTTTCATTAGCCAACTCCGCTCCCAAGTCGAAACCCCGTCGTGGAGGCCACCTATTGGCTCATTGCGGTCCCTGCCGTCTGATTATCCATTGTGTTGAGCATTGGGAAAATGTGAGTCAAGTCCAGAAGCATAATGTAATTTTGCTTCGGGTTAATGACACTCTTTAGCTGGCTGAGGGCATCCAACAGTTGCCGCAACAGCGTAGCGGCTCGGGGTAGCTGTCGATTGGCAAACAAAAACTCCACACAAAGGAATATTGGAATCGGCATGAGAGGATGAACCTATATTTTGGCTCCATTAGTGGCCGTCTTGCGTGGGTTATCGAGGCTGAAGCAATTACCTTGAAGACGCTGAATTCCACAAGCGCATAGGCAAGCTTGACTATATGTTCGGCAGCATTCAACGCTCGTTGTTGATACTCTGTACGAAGCGATCTGGCTTTCCCGTTTGGCCAGACCATGGATTTGACTTCCTTGCATAGGTATATAACGGATGCCTGAGCGATGACGTGCGCAAAGAGAAGCATGGGGTCGTATCCCGTCGTGGGAGAAGGGTAACACTTGGACAAAATCTGGAGTCTTGCCGACAGAATGTTATCAAACCAAGTGTCCCAGTCTGACCAGTCTGCTTCGCCGTCACCATGCAGGCACCGTATGTTGTACTGCTGATTATGGGACAATGTGCGTCCGCAGATAGTTGCTAGAACGATGCACTCATTAAAGGGAGAGCGCGTGGTTGGATTTTGATCTACTATCGCGTCCGACAAGAAGTCCATTACAGTGTTTTGGCCATTTTGAAAGTCTGATTCCTGGGCAGGCAATCGTGTGCATATCTGGAAATAAGAAAGATAAGTTTGTCACTCCCACCAGGCATCTAATATGAAGCTTCCGGGAATTGAGAGACTCACCACATGCTCGTTTAATCTGATGGGTGAGTTATTCTTCATACTAAACAAATGGTCAATAAAGTACGCCATCCAGAACACTCTTCGTTTTTCTTCCGTTGTCACAGAATCATGATCGGCACCAGAAGATGGGTTTGTCGGGCTGTCAATCTCATGCAACTTCATCAGTTGCACCAGGCGGAACGCGCGTCCAGCGCTCATCCAGGCATGTTGATGATGCGTCCTCATCGACTCATAGGTAGCAATTAACACCCAGGCCTGAGCTAACTCGATTTCGAGAGCACTGCCTTGGACGCAGTTGGTAGGGTTTGATGACTCTAGCATCTGCCTGGCTTCTTGGTAGAAGCCTTCTTGCAGGTGCTGGAACTGACCAGATAATAACGATGCCAATGTCCACATGGCATACTGCAAGGACAATCTGGCGGCCGACTTTGTGTGCAGTTTGGACCACGAGTGGTACCGCCGTTGGTGCAAGATTGGTATCGAAGGATGGACACGATCAAAGTACAGTTGGTTGCTGCCATGGATCCCCTGCTGTTAGCGACCAGTATCTCCGATAGACGAGGTGTAGACGTAGACTTACAGCTCCGCTTGGGTAAAGTCACAAATAGGAATGCTGCTGGCGGTCAGACATGTCGTGGACGGTGTAGGCGGCGGCTCGGGTATCAGGTTTAGGTTGTGCAGAGTCTCGAGATCCAGAAGAGGACTTGTCAAGGTCATCTCCGACTCGGAAACCGCGGGGTCCATCATGGAAAACATGTCTTGGACAGAGTCTACGTTCCCCCCTTGGATCGAGTTCGGCATGGAAGCCAGTGGCGATGCTAAAACATCACCAGAGTTGAGGCCAGCCTCATTTGTACCCAGATTCTGCGACTGGGCAGCAAATCTGCTTTCAAGCATAGCTGTAAAGTATTACTATCGTCATATCCTATGAGTGCAGAAAAGCATAGAGGCTACAACGGCCCGGACAATAAGACGTACAAACTCGGTTCCGTAGATTCTTTAGATATCCTCTCTTGGGGCCTCGAGGCGCTCGAACGGGATTCACCTCGCACACCACACCAGTCTCTTTACAAACGCCGCACTGCGGTTGCTGTCCATCGCAACGGAGTTTGCGCCGTCGGCACTCTTCACACGCTGGCTTCTGGCGACTGCGCCCCGATGTCAAAGACTCGGGCACAGTCGAGGGCTCGACTTCTTCTGGCGTCTGCATGTTCCAAGAATTGCGCAGCAGGTCGTTTCGCTTCTGGCAGTCGATGTAACTGCTAAATAACACGTAAACGGCCGGGGATCCTGGGTAGTATTATGTCGAGGATAGCTAACCGAACCAATCTGTCGGGGTTCGACGTAGTGTTGCTTTTTAATATGTTGATAATCTGCACAACACCGTGGCCATCCAACCCCCTGTGCTATAGAAACTGGCATATCGGGTAAGATGTGACTACAGAGCGGAGATTGTGTACGGTTACAGCTTCCAATACGACTCTACCCCGTGACAATAAGCATAAACATTACATTTAATTACCTGCAGTCATAACGGCTGTATAAGTGCCGGTGGGCCTTGAGTCTTTTTGAAAAGTGACGCAGATATCCCACTCCCTTTTGATTCGACCTGGATACGCGGGCACAGCCAAAGGCCAGCTCCTATTACCAGCTAGTGAGGACCAAGTCCTGCAAGTGGCAAAAAAAAAAAAAAACAGGCACGGCACAGGGCCAGAGAGAGGTGTGTTTTGGTATACCATCCCTGATGCTACCAGGCCCTCTTATCGGCAGTGAGCTACCCCGTCAATGAACTGAGTCTGTGTTTCATCAGTCCATTCCAACATGTCCCACTCAGCTCCCCTCGGGGGAGTAGGATTGCGGAGACAATGTCCGTGCCAAAAGCAAGGAAAGAGTCCATGTTCTCGATACGTACGACGTAGATGAACAGATCCACAGCCGAACCCTCGTCTGCATAGCCGCCAACGCGAGCAGCCAAGGAAACTAGGATGAGGCAAGATTTCGGCACCAGACAATGCCCACTAGTCCTTCGGAGCGTCACATGTGGGTAGAGCCACGAGAAGTTAGTCTCGATTGGCGTGAGGACGTGAGGGCGTGAGGGGATGAGGTGCAGATTTCACGAGACTACGTCAGACCCCGTGCCGACTACCGACGGGATCCTTTCAAAAACCGAGTTGAGACCCGAAGTGGGAACTCGTCAACATGCTTGACAAAATGCCTGCCTATACGGCATACGGTAGCACTGCATCTCGTTGTCAGAATCGAAGCGGGTTCATCCGATCTCCCCCCCGCATGTTCCGGAGCACATGCGAAAGAAGTTGTTTTGTTGCAGTTGCCGACGACCTTTGCTGAGAGTGTGACGCCTGTTCTTTAGAGACTACAAGAGCCAACTTGGGCAGAGATGGGTGCGGCAAGCTGCGACGCCAGCGTGTCAAGGCTGGACGGCTTGCCATCCATCTCGTCCGGCCGTGGGCGAGCACTTTCTCTACACGTCTTACGCCGTTGGGAAGCTGCAGGGATATCAAAACTTGCCGCTATACATGTACGTACATATCTTCAATGTTGCCTTCACACGCGGAGCTAGTCCAATACGGAAGGCTAATAAGAGCATCCGCAGCTTCCAACCCCTACACCAGACTTGTTTTATGTCCGGGCCACGATGTGGATTTGCGTGGCGCGTCTTACCCACCGGATCCTTGCAGGCCAAGCATGCGGCATGCCTCTGACGGATGCCGTAAATCTTATCAATCAGTCAGAAATTTGATCAGTGCTCCCCACCGTGGACTCTGGAGGTTAGGACTTCTTCCCACCGTTCCACGCCCGGTTCTCGGTGGGATATTTGGGCCGCGAATAATAAGCACAGCTTAAGGCGCGATTGCGACCTTGGGCTCATCTAGATGTAGTCGTGTGCAGGTAGGATTCGTCTAATGATGAGACAACCATGTCGGGGGCCAACACACACACAGCCAACGCCACGGATAGCCGACGAGGGCAGACTGCCTCGCAAATGGCTCATCCATCCCGCGGACAGCGGATGAAGCTGAGCTGCGCCCGTGCCATCTTCAATGTTCTCGGCACGGCCCTGAGAGGAGCAACCAGTTGACGTTTCCCGGTACCGCAGCGCCGCAACAGGCATCAACTTCAAGGATGGCTTATCCGTTCAGGGCACCCTGTAGTACTACTTCCAAGCGAACCGACCAGTCACCAGATATAACTCAGTCTCTATCTAACCCCAACCCTAGCGAGCTGGAGGCTTTGGATCGCCCCGCCGCAACGGTCCGTGGACATGTCAGTTGACGTCGGGGCACAATGGACAAGTCACCCACTCCTCGCGTCTCGGCATCGACGATCACTCAAACGCGTTAGCACGAGCCTTGAGGGCTGGGTGGGTTTACGGTGATGCTTCCGCCGACCCCTGTACCTCGATGGGCCGCCGGCAGGCAGGGCTCGGAAGACGAGGCGTGGAGGTGGCGCGATGGCGAGATCACTGGCAGCCTTTGTGATATCTACGGAGTATGGACATACAACCCAATACGGGGACGGGACGAGATGAAATTTTCCAGTCATTGCGCCCGGTTAAGCGAGAACACGGCCGGACGACCACATCGAGCTTGCCGACGAGGCCTGGCATTGGCTTGGGCGGCAAAGGCGGCTGCGGTGGCTGCTGCCTATTCATAGTTGATTTCAGCTCCGTGACATGCTGTGAGAAAATAAGCAACTATTACACAGCCAAAACTTTAAAACATGCATACCGGACTTCTTATCACAAAATGGCTCACCCGAGGTCAAGTGCTCCGGATGCTGGTACCACCACAACACTGCCATAATATAAGCTTCCACAGTCCATTTATTTAGGGTAGTTCGCCGTTATATGAGTCCTCCAGCAGCTGATGACCCAATCACCAAGATACCAAGCCAGCACTGCCATCGGGGCAAGCAAAGCATGGGGAAGAGTCCAGCAACCATGCCGGCCGACCGCCGGAACTATTCCGAGGTCTCCGTCCCACACCACTTTGAAAAGTTGCCCAAGTGCAAGGGTTTAGTTGGCTGCCAAGCTTCTTTCCACCCTCTGCAGTTTGATGGGTGGCTCGGAGAAACTCACCGGGCCCATCCTCTTAAGGTTGTATTTTCGGTTGAAATTGAACGGCCGCCCCCTGACCAGCCCCTTCGGGGTACACCTCCGGACCAAACACGCAGGTATGTAGCTAACCTGATTACGTAGTAGACCTGGCACTGTCGGTGAAACGGAACCGGGACAAATACCACGGGCTGTTCAATGTTTGCTCAGCTGCAACCACTGACTGTGTGTTTGTTTACCCTCTGAAGCACATCGCCAGCCTGTGCCTGCCAAGAGAGTGCCGCCGCTGTAGTTATCTGATCCGGAATTATCATTCGGCGGCAAATTATGCAGCGCCGGTTTGTAATTGGGTGGCTCGGGCCTACTCGGTTTCGTTGCCTTGCATCTTTTCAAGTTGCCTACCAAAGGTGGCTCGATACTGCTCCTTTGCGAATGGCAATCGGCTGATGCGCAAGACCCGTCAAAGATATACAGCCATCAGTTGAAATCTAAAGTAGCATCACGTCTATGTCGAAATACCCTCGTTTGACGTTGGTCGTGAGCATCTTGATTGTGTAGTAGACCCAGATGCGTTGAGAGTACATCACCAACCAACAGTCCGACGTCTAAACTACGTGCTCCTGAGCCTTACATTGCAAAGAAAAATGTCCAAGTTCCTCAACGAAGTGCCCTTTGGGATTGTCCTCAAAGTGTTATTCTGCCTACTGCTTGTGGGATTCATACTGCAAAGATGGTACGTATACTGGCGGCTGCGACACATCCCGGGCCCCATGTCAGCCAACATCTCGGATTTCGCGCGGGTGAGATGGGTTCACACCAAGACGGCGCATCTGAAACATCAAGAATTGCATGCGAAATACGGCGATGTTGTGCGCATGGGGCCAAACATGGTCTCCATTGGCAACCCCAGTGCTGTTCCTCAGCTGTACCCCATGAGACGAGGATTTCCCAAGGTAAGAAGATGGTGAATTACGCGACTTGATATGGCAGAACTTGGAAGGCTAACATGATTCCACGGCACAGAGCGACTTTTATATACCGCTTCGACCGTATTCGAGAGTTGGTGGCGCTTTGCCCGCCATCTTCACGTCACTAGATGAAGAACTGCACTCGAATCTCAAAAAGCCAGTCGCCCAAATTTTCTCCCTGTCGAATGTCGTCACCTTTGAAAGTCTGGTGGACGATGTGCTCAAAGTTGTCGCAAAACAATTCGATGGTCGATTTTCCACAAACGACGAGATATTCGATCTCAGCGAGTGGCTGCAATTCTTTGCATTCGACGTCATGGGCACCTTGACCTTTAACAAGCGCTATGGGTTTCTGGAAGAGGGAAAGGATGTCGGAGGCAAGTTGAATGCAGTTTGGCTTTTCATGAAGCAGGCAGCTCCGGTATGGCCCTCTTACGATTCCTACGGCTTTTATATCTCCATTGGCGACTAACGGGGCATCTAGATGATGCAAGTTCCGTGGCTGGACAAGCTACTGTACAAGAACCGCGTCGTTGATGTATTGCGGCACACACCGGGCAATTCCTTGTTGAAATTTGTCGGTGACACAATTCGAGAGCGTCAAAGCCGGTACAAGGCCGAGAAACATGCTCAAACTCCGCATGAAAGGCAGGACTTTCTCGACCGATATATCGAGATTCAAAGGAGCAATGACAATATCCCGGCTTGGTAAGATCATAAATCGTATACACTACTTGATGTATTTGACCCGTCAAAGCAGAATCTATTAACATGTAGGCGTTGAAACAGGGCCGTGACGTCGTGGACGTTTTCCAATGTTATTGCGGGTTCAGACTCGGTCGGCACGGTTATGCAAACTGTCATGTACAATTTACTAAAAAGCCCGCACACACTTAAAAAATTGGTCAGAGAACTCGAAGAAGCAGGCGCGTCCCGACCATATCCCAAATGGACCGAAGTAAGCACGCTGCCGTACCTGGACGCCTGTGTTCTCGAAGCACTTCGTGTACACCCCCCATTCGCCTTGCCCTTTGAGCGTGTCGTTCCCGAAGGCGGCATCACAATGCTGGGCCACTTCCTTCCCGCGGGAACTATTGTCGGGGCCAGTCCATACGTCACCAATCGATGTAAAAAGATGTACGGAGAGGATGCAGAATTCTGGCGGCCAGAGAGGTGGTTGGAGGGCGATGCAGAGCACAAGAAGAAGATGGAAAACGTCATGCTTACCGTGAGTCAAAACTTCATGAGCCTCTCCCGGTGGTGTCGGCTAACTCTGTCATTCCCAGTTTGGCGCCGGCCGGCGTATTTGCCTAGGACGGTATATTGGAATTTTTGAGATAAAGAAGATTGTACCGTTCCTGGTTCTCAACTACGAGGTTTGTTTTGTTGCCTCTGATGCATTTACAGCGCTGACGGCTGCTCCGAATAGTTTGAAGCCATCGACCACACCACTTTCAAGGGAGAGAATTATTGGTTCTTCAAACAGAAGGGGTTGTATACACAGATCCAGAAGCGACTCGGCAAGAGTACACGGGAAATTGCATAGCTTTCAAAATTTAATAAAGTCAATAAACAAGGATACTAGTGGCAATGATCCAGAGGCGTTGCTCATTGCATGCGCATTTCGTACTTTGTCAAGCTCGCCATTGTAGTGAGCATGTAGCCGTAGACATGCTCCTGGTAATATTAAGTTTCAATAGCTTCGAACTCAATCCAACCCAAGACGCTAGCTCGCTACCCGTATTTATTGCATTATTAATCGTCTTTCAACACTGCCTTAGTTGAGTGGCGTTATATGCAACAGAAATTGTATTATTGAACCAACCCGACAACAGCCAAGGTTAAACTCCGACATGGTTGATACCCCGTATTCTAACATTGCCTTCGAGACGCCATAGACATTGTCCACTGTCAAAAGCCTTGGCTCAATAGCGTTTTCTTCAAGTCGTCATATCATTCGAGGGAGTCTTTGCGTCAAAATTATATATTATATTCAATTCTCTGGTTCTTCGAGTATTGCAAACAGCTAGAGGGTATCGCGGGATTCAGCATTGCGCTATCAAAACCTTGGTTTTCTGGGTACAATGTACACCCATATCAGCTACTTGGAGTATATACAACCAGTTATATGATTATGTTGGACTTTGGTCGCCTGTTGACTCATTGCCCATATCGCATTCCAGTTTGGACATTGTATCATTTTTGGCCCTGGAAGATACTGCCTATTCAAAACACGGCGACCATCAAGGCCAGTTTCCCTAGGCCTTCCAAAGCCCCTTGATTTTCTCCTTCAAAGGCTTGTGGGACGGCTCAGGGTTTCGATCCTGCTCATCGAGAGGCAGTCCATCAACACCCACATTCGTCACAGCATTTTGCTGCTTCCCAAGATAGAAATTGCTCATAAAGAAAGCTGCAATCAAGGGAACAAACGCCAGCCCAAGCGCAGGAGCGAGGAGATAGTAGAGGGCGTTTTGGTAAGCTTCGATGGCTCCCTTCTTCATATCTGTATCAAAAGCATAGGCTGTGCGAAGCTTTTTGATGTCATTGAACAGAGCTTGAACATCCCTGTCTGTGGCCTTGGCTGGAAGATACTTGCGAAGCTGCTTTGGCATTTGGTTGGCCCATATAACGGAGGCAATGGCACTTCCAATGCTCCTCCCAATACTAGACCATAAAGCAAGGAGCGAAATAGTGAGAGCTACGTCTTGGTGTGGCACACTGGCCTGAGATGCCACGCGAGTTCCAACTACAGCCAAGGAACCACCACCGCCGATGAGGACCTGCGTCATGACCAACGCCCCGGTGCTGACGGTTGCCTTGTGTCCGTTGAGCATGATGCCCATACCAATCACCTTGATGCAGAGACCAATAATGCAAATCGTCTTGTAGCGATGTGTCCATCGCTGCAAAGCTCCAGCAAGAGGGCTGAACACGCAGAGAGCAAGAGTCAGGGAGTTGTTATAGTAAACCCAGTTCTGATAGCTCCATGGCTTCGTAACATAGACATACGAAGACCAGTAAAGGCCTCGCATATTCCCGGAAACTAGCAACTTGGTGTCAATATGCCTCGAGTGAATGTATGCAGAATAGCGACATATGGGGAGTGAACTTACCAAAATACGATGCCTCGATGATGACGCAGACAATGAAAGTTTTGTTGAATACCAACCGTCTCGGCGCACTGGGCATCTTTGCCCATTTGATTTCATATATCACGTAGGCAATCAACAATAAACCTCCGACAACCCACATGGAGATGAGGGAAGGATTAGCCCAGCTTTTCCGTGCGTACGTCTTCAACGAGAATGGAAGCAGCAAAAGAGTCCAGCCAAAGCCAAGCAGCAGCAGACCAAACGCGTCAATCTCGATTAATCCGCGGCGGAGCTTCTTGAGCCAGCTTCCTTCGGGCTTGGCCATTGTCACCGTGTCGACCATTGTCTCACCGCGTGCGGCTTGATCCGCAGCCTCCTTCTCTACGCGATGGGCTTCGCCGCTCGATGCGAGGTTTACCTCACCAGTCTTTTTCGCCTTTCGGTCGAGATAGATCAGTGTGGCAATGGCTGGGCCCACGGCCACCGGCATGATGATGGCAAACATTCCGTAGCCCCTGGGACAGACAAGTCAGCATCGAACAGGGTGGAATACAAGGGCGGCCGTAAACATACCATCTCCACTGATTCCTGGACAGCATTGCCTGTACAATCTTTCCCGCAAACCAGGTATTGATGATGAATGGCGTGGAGAGCAGCGCTCCCAGAAATCCCCTCCATTCTAGCGGCGTCAGATCGGCCACGATGATGTCGTTGACAAGGTCGATGCCAGAGCTTCCCAAGGCGACAAATGATTCACCAACGACGTACGCCGAGATGGATTGCGAAGTCGCCGCGACAATGTAACCGACGACATAAAACATGAGCGCCAAGATGTACGTGTATGGCCTGCTCGTAATGTCGGAAATCTTGGCAATAAACGGCTTGCTAACGGCGCTAATAATGTTCGTGACAATGGCCAGAGTTGAGAGAACCGAGCTATGCTGATGATAGTACGAGGAGACGTCAACCGCGTAGTTGTTGGTTGTTGCAAAATCCAAGGAATACGCCCAGGCGCAAACCAAGACGGAACCTCCGACCAGCCACAAGGTCTTCTTATTTGTCTTGGTCGAGCGATAGATGGCCTCCATGCGAGTTACGCCTTGTGACTGAACCACGGTCCCAGCTGGGGCGGTTGTCGCATGGTCTTCATTGTGAGAGCCTGGCGACGTAATGTCGCTCGCAACGGGGCTTTTGCTTGCCATGGTGAGCGAGTTTGCGCACGTTGCTTGGAGAGGAAGCCGTGGAAAGAAGGAAACAACGGCTCGTCGGGGGACCACGGCCCATGAGCTTCAAATAGAGAAAAGGTAATGTAGGAAAACAAGTACAAGTATGAATTGCTCGCCTGCTTCCACTAGTTAAACCCGAGTACATCCGAAACACACACATGCCACGGGACACCAGCGCGTCTTCTCAGACGAGCAAGAAAGAATTTTCCCTAACCCATGTGTGATCAAACAGTGGGAAGCCAAGGCAACGCTTCCGTCGCTATCGTGCTAGATTGCCACTCCGTGGATGCCATGCCACAAGTGGTCCGAGGCTCCCATAATCTATCTAATCTAATCCATCAGCACTAGTTGGTCAACGGCGGCGGCTTGTGATCAGATGCTTTTGGACCAAGCCGCTGAATTTTCACCGTCCCCCGTCGATTTTCCTAAACCGGACAAGTCCGCGGCCCCGTCTGTTGATCAGTGACTGTGTCTGATGGTCATTCGTCGCCACCTTGTGTAACGCTCGGCTCGGAGTATCTATAGGAATCTGAAGGGGTGACCATTCACACAGCTCGCCAAATCCATGTCGATAATTGGCCACTTGCGGAAGTGGGTGGTAGGAATAGGCAAGGATTCTATGCAACATGAAATGTCGGCCGAGTTGGTCATTTATTGACCGGGTTTAATCAATATGCAGTAGCCTGATGTCTCCCCGAAACTGTAGTCGTCTCCTTCGAAGACAACCACTCGGAATGAGTGCCAGTTTTCCCAGTGGGACCTACTGGATTAGGTAGCCCGTTTCGGATCCTGAATCGTGCAATATCGTATCGTTGCTGTGGGTGCCGTTGCCCAATTCTCTCTGTAGAGTAGTTGGAGCCGAGTCGACCCAGCTTACCACCGTCAGCGTCGAGCATGGAATGCAAAGGCATCGCTAGCTTCTTTTTCAAGTCAACAGCACTTTCGAGTTGTCCTATTTGAGTAGCCGAGTTCCGTAGCCGATAATCTAGGTCTTTTGTTTTTCTCCGTAGTGTGAATGGCTGCTCTCCATGCCGAGCTGCCACAACATTCACGACGAGTCGAGGCACAACAAGAAGTACATACATACGGTACAGCCGCACTCCACAGTGCTTACGGCCAAACTTGCTGGGTAAACACACCAGCACGTGCTGTGATTCCCCGAGTATAGATAGAAACTCCGGGCTAAATGTCTCGCTGGACATGTATTTGCGAGACGTAGTGCGGCGTATTTCGAGACCGATCAGTAGTAAGACTGTGGCATGTAAACGCTACTTAAGAGTAAATTATCCAACGTAGATTCATTGCAAACTAGCAAATTGAACAGCGCAACGCGGGAGCCATCATGTCTGAGATTCTGGTCATCACCTGCCCTGGGGGCAAACAATGTTCACGCCTCCTTCCTTTGCTCTACAACAAGGGCAAATTCCAGCTCCGACTAGCGGCTCACTCAGAACAGTCTGCCCAGAAACTGAAGAATCTCTATCCGGATGCAGAAGTTGTGACGGTGGATCTGCAGTCACTCGCTGAATGCACAAAGCTGCTTGAGGGCGCTACAGCCATCAATGCGGTTCTGCCAAGTCTGCATTCCCATGAGAAGGTCATGGGCTTCAACTTGATCGATGCTGCTGTTATTGAATCACGACGCGAGGGTAATGTGTTCAAACATTTCCTCTTCTCCAGTGTTCTTTCAACTCAACACAGAACTCTGTTGCATCATGACCTCAAAAGCTATGTAGAGGAACATCTCTTTTTAAGTCCAATCACTTGCTGGACTATTCTGAAGCCGGTAAACGTTAGTGTCACCAAAATAGACCCTTTTCTTACACTCTTTACGCCGAACATATGTACTGATCCATTGCAGTTTATGGACACCTTCCCTCTCGCAAGGCTTGCCTCTCAGGAGAAACCGGTGCTCGATAAGTGGTGGTCGCCAAACTACGCAAGCAGTCTGGTCTCCCTCAAAGACCTGGCGGAAGTGTCAGCCAAGGTTCTGAATGAGCGAGAACGCCATTTCCTGGCCGAGTATCCCCTCTGCTCGACGACGCCTATTGCAGAGACGGAGGTGGTCAAGTTGGTCGAGAAGCGCATCGGAAAGCAAATCGAGGTTAGAGTTCCATCTTTAGAAGCTGGGTCGGACAAATTGATGGAGTTTCTATACGGGGACAAGACTGGAAACACGGGAAACCAGGGCGATCCTCGAGGCGACTTGGTCCGAGACACGGTCGAGCGCCTCATTTTGTATTACAATCGTCGCGGGTTACAGGGTAGCCCCAACGTCATGAGGTGGCTTTTGGAGAGGGAGCCAACTTCGGTTGAGCAATGGATTGAAAGTGTGTTGTCTAGCTCTGCTTGAGCGCTTTCTTATGTGACAGATACCAAGAGGCGTATGTATGGCTCAAATACAATATCTAAATAGACACGCATATCTGTTATCTACACGCAAGACCAGGTTACTGACAACGACAATAGATTCATGTTTTATGACAAGAGAAGTGAGAAATAAGTGCATGCGAACCCCCAGGAACTGGACTTGCGAAGTTTGTACTGAGCTACTCTGGTGGTAACTAAGTTACTTGTGTATCGTCATGTTCCCATGTATGCCACTTCAAAGCGCCATCACAGCATAGAGCTAATTCTTCCATCAAAGAAAGCTATAACAACGCTCGACTTGGAACGCGACTCGTAGTATTCAGTTCGTGAAGATCGAAGTTGGAGATTATCAAATCTGTAGTTCAGTACAGGGTAAGTGTCATAAAAGATATCAACAATGGTAAAACATTTACCAATTCGGAACAAGTCAATAAGTTGTCGGTTATTATACTGCATTCAAGCTTATACACCCGTAACAGTATTTAAAAATAAGTTTCGTCGAATACATCATAAGCGCTCTCGATGACTCTACAATAGTACCTACTTGCAAAGTCCCCAGCTTACACTACAACTGGGGGGACAAAAACCACTTACGTACTCCATTGCTGTTATGATCAACAAATGCGTAAATATACCAGGAAAGACAAGGCTGACTAGAACAACAGGATTCCTATGAGGGAATACGAAGGATGTGAATTGGTAGAACGAAACTTGTCTCAGGTGACAAAGCCACCGATGCCAAACACTACTCGAGTTGCCTGCGTTCAAAGATCACTTTGCGATATCTAAAACAAGATAAATATCCCCCCGAGGAGTAACCGTACCTATTACACAGTTTTATAGTTTCTTTGAAGCTTACCTAAAGCAGGGAATGCTGTATTTAGCCCACAACAAGGCCATGTCAGTACCCCAATTAGATGTACAAGACAGGTTTCTATGTAAGATTACAGCTTACTCAAAGATTTGAAACAAGTTGCTCAGAGATTAGTAATGCTTTATTTTACGTGTACTATTTCCGATTTGGCGACTTACCGAGCAGTCCCAACATTTGCTCGCGTCTACGAGACAACGCATACACAAATATTATTGCAGCCCCTTCTGGGAAAATCTTCGCAGAACACGATAAACCCATAGGTCATTATTTTCCCACTATCTATTGAATCTAATTCACAGCCTAGTTACTCTACTCTAGATTCTTGGAGTGAATCAGCATGTTGGCTCGGACCTCCTTTCCCTCACTCTACCTGTCACCGCGACACCGCTCTTTCACCACGGCGTTATGACAGTTCAAAACGATATTGCTGAGAAGATTGGCCCACAAATACAAACCATCCATGATGATGATAACCATTTTCCAGCAAGTGGCTTAACCACGGTGCTCATTATCCACAACAATATGTTCACATTCGTTGCCACAATAAATGGTACGGCTAAAAATATTAAGAACACCGGGCACTTTAGAAAAATATCTGCCAGATATATAATTGTCCACATTCAGCACCAAGTCCCTTACTCACTAGCTACACTAGTTGCTATCGGGACTTAAAAACAAGCTTAGGCCCAAATATCAGATGGAAATCTCTGAGCCTGAGTGATCAGCAGTCTTTGAATACGGCTTTTGGCAACTTTTACGATGCAACAACAGCAGCCTCGCTATTACTGAAAGCTGGAGCACTAAGCATTAAGGTTTAGATCACTGCCGAGTTTACCACCATTAGAGCCGTGTACACTACTTGACCTTACAACTGGCTTATTAACATTACATTATAAGGTGTCGCGGCCCCTGGCAACCTTGAGGTGGCTTGCGTTTGCAGAAGCAGGTACTAGGAAGTTGAGATGCGTTAACCAGCTGCGTCACAGGACATTGAGCAAGGGTAGGAAGTATGGAATACGGCACTTGGTTGGGATGCTGTGAGTACGCGCCCATCACACCGAGCTAAGAGATAGACAAGTACGACAATACATGGCACATATTCCGCGTCTGTCTAGTAGATCAAGTGCTTATGGTGAGTAAATACATATTAAATGAAATGTCTTTGAGTTTCGATGTATCATTCCCGGTCATGGCAGGACTTATGCGACAACATGATATCCAAAATCATCTACGGTACGTGTTTCAAATAATTGAAAAGAGCATCTGCAGTGGAAAGCTTTTTTTCCTTTAAGGACTCCTTTGGGCCTGCCTGGGCAGGTCAGACTGCACTTCAAGCCTCAGAAACCTATAATAGAATGGAAACTAGGATATTGTACATTTGTCGTACTTGCAATTTCTAATCGTCTTTGAACGCTCTACATTTGCTTTCGTAGAGGACTTTCATTCTATTGGTGACTTTCTACCTCTTTTCTTGAGGCAGGGTATGGCGGCTTCCCTGCACTTGTAGAGCTAAGCAGCTCATCGGGGTAAGATCTATACAGGCAGAGGGATGATGTTTCTGAGTTTTGTAGCGCTCTTTGCTTTAGGTCTCGTACATTGCATCCGTTGTAATATGTTTACATCTAATATAAGAGACGTTCAGCTTGAGATGAGAAACTCAAGGGTGTGTACCTGGGAATTGTGGCCGCGACTAATAAAACCCCCAAATGAAATACGCTACCTGTCGGTCGGGTTGCAAAACGACGTCATAAAAGAGCCCACACGAGACTCACCCGAGTCATGTTTGGAGGTTATTACAGCCCCATACGTCGGCCGGATTCGTGGGAAAGGCATGGGCTAGACAATGTCGCGGCCGAGCAAATGTTGTCTCGGACTTGGCGTTAACCCTTCCATCTCGAATCATATTCTCAACGTGTCTGACAACACCAGCTGTTGAGACGACGGTATAAACTATCACAATTAAAATCCAAGGATCTCATTAAACGGTGGAATTAGTCCTTAATTAAATCTATCTATGGAGGGAATTGAGGCCATTATAGTTGAACATTGAAATGGCCATCATTCCGTAGAGTTAGCCAGCTGGCTCGTAATTTGAAGCTTGCAGCCTAGTTTGAAGCTTCCAGCAGACAAGGCCCTGCTAGATGACTCATTTTATGACCTAAATTGCCTACTCGTTGACGCAAACGCTGTGCGTGATCCGTTGCCGAACACAGTATTAATGCCTCTACCTGCCGATAGCATCGCGGCGGCAACGGAAAGATCATACCGCCAAACTTGGGCGTAGACCCGATTACTACGGTTCTATGGCTGCTGATGCCGAAGAGATTTGCGATTGGTAATTAATAGAACTCGACTCAAGTAATATGAGTAGGAGTAACAATGTCAAGGATGAATGGGGTTGATATTGGTCGCCTCCCAGGTATTTGACTACAGTTGAAATCTCCGTCCAAGAGTGGTACATACCTGCTCCTGCACAGCCTAAAGGGTCAATTTTCTTAAGCTACCTTCTCGCATGTGTTGTGTGTAGCCATTGTAAGAAAGCGCCCTCAACACTTGTAGCTACTGTTATCCGTTTAAGCTGTTGTCTCGAAAGAATAAAATTAATGGGAACAGCCAGCTCACTCTTGTCTCGTGACATAGTCAAGGAGTCAGAGGCTCATGGTGCGTCCACGACTGAGACCTGGCTCTCGCCCGTGGCTGCTCCAGCTTGGCCATCCCGCGACATCCGAGCCGCCATGGGGGGCTGCCACGGATAGCCCACCTCATTTCGTTATCTCAAATGACTGAGAGAACTGGCCAGGTTGTCATTGTACTAGAGAGGGGTGGCTTGCTCCAGCCAAAAGCACGGGCAATAGTTGGTGGCGTGCTTTGTGCAACATCTACCAATCCAAGCTGGCCAACATTTGACATCCCTGACACGGGCTGAGCACCGGCGAATCCTCCATTGAGTGTCTGACGCCGGTTGCTTTTACCTAACAAATAGACCGGGCTATAAGCCAAGTCTTTGGGGGATATGCCCGCTGCGGAAGTCCGGCTTGTGGTTCTACTTCAACGAGTCAGATCAACTCGATCTCAACTCCACAGAACCCCATGGGCACGCACCGATGGGCTGGTACGCATTGCCATCCCCATCAATAGCTGGCAGAGACGGTACGTGCCCGGCCTAACCGGGGTGCTTGGGCGACGTTGACGTTGCAATGACAACCCGAAGCGGGTTCACAGAGCATCAACTGATGGCAGAATCGGGGCATAGTACGCGACACGGGAGCTTTGGCAGCATGGCATGAACCCGAATGGCGTTTTTGTTTAAGTTAAACAGTAAAGCATAAGTGCCCAGGCCATGTGGCCGCCGTTTTGACCGCCACACCATGGCCACGGGCTCGTGGTGGTGGGCTAGCAACGCCATATCAAAAGGTCCTTTGTCCTCATCGGATTTCCACGGCTCTGCGGCTCTGCGGCTCAGCAATCTCTCAGGGGGAAGAGGCAAATAGTCGTCGGGCATCATGCTGCGAATGATGTTGGTGGTCGCCAGCAGAGGCGCGGTGGCTTCGGTCTGGTCCTGTTTGGCGCATTTGCGCGAGCAACGGGCCCCTGGGAATAGACAAGGGTGAGCCTTCAATGTTCAGATTGCGCGAGTACTCCAGTCAATATGTCACTGCGACATGTTTCTTGGTTGGTTTTAGCCGCGTGGCGGCAAGGACACGACATGTCCGCGTGCCTCCACAGTAACGATCCATGTACCACGCCATGATCTTCTCACGATCTGTGCCAAGCAGTTTTCTCTTGGCATCAAGACCTGCCCGAGGAGGAGCCCTGACATGTTCACGGTCGGAAATATGCCTGCTTAGATGGTCGCGATTGGGGAATCGCTTCACATGGCCGTTTTACACTGCTGGGCGCAAGTCTAGACGCAGCTGTCGTTGGTTGCGTCTGGTAGAACCAAAAATTGCTCATATCACGCGCCTCTGCCATCCCCCGTTATCACCAGGCTAATTTCGGATGTAAACCTGCTGCCAACTTTAGTTCAAGTTGACGCCTTGGTGCATGCTCCAGCTCGGGGGCTGATAAGAGCACACAATTGACTGGCCCTTTACGCCGTACATGTACGGATTGACACAATCTCAGGCCAATATCGCGCCAATTAAAGCCCCCGGGGACCTTTTGTAGGGCGTCCTCGTGGCTGGATAATCCCAGTTCCCACCCGGCTGGGCTCTACCAGCGCGACCAGACAGCTTTACTGCAACAGGAAGGTCGCAATGGATAACCGGCACAATGTCGATTCGGGAAGCGGGGGGCTTGGAGACAAAGGACCGCGTGGCGTCGAATCAGCAGCCAGACCTGGTCAGCAGCTTATGTTGTATATACAATATGTAGGTTTAGTTTCACAAGTTGCCAGAACCCGTCCTGGAATCCTGCTCGAGATGGGCCACAGATCACGAGTCTCCAGAGATACAAAAGGACCATGAAGCGCAATTCGGTGGTTCACGGCGAGGTTTGCACTTGATGTATATCCCTTTCAACTACGTTGCGGATTCGGGACATAGGCAGAGCCAGCAATTCAGCAACTCCCATCATGGGTATGTATCCTGAGTCCCATCTCATCGCAACTGGTCTTGTCTAGCTTCAGCCTTGGAGGCCTTGTCCCCCGAATACCAACATTGAACTAACACGCTTCACTCAGCGGCAGAAAAGGAAGCTCCAAACGAGCTCCGGCCAGCTCATGTGGCCGACGAAAAGCACGGCCCCGGGTCCATCAATGACTTTGATATCGCCCGCGAGCACGACCACGACAACGAAGTGGCCATCATGAGAAAGGACTACGAGGACAAGCCGACGGACGAGGAATTCGCCACTCTCCGCCGCGTGCCTGGAAAGATTCCCACGGTCGCGTACCTCCTCTGTGCTGTCGAGTTTTGCGAGCGCGCTTCCTACTATGGTAGGTCACCGGCGCCGATGAAGCATCGACATGAATTTTGAAGCAGCCGCTTATCCATGTCTCACTAGGCTGCGCCCAAATCTGGACAAACTACATCAACAGGCCGCTGCCCAAGGGGGGCAATGGCTACGGTGCCGTCGCCGCCGGAAGTCAGAGTACGCAGGGTGCTCTGGGCATGGGAGAGGCCATTGCCGTAAGTTTCCTGCGATTGACGCTCTTCTCGTTGCGCCCTCGGGCAGCGTCCATCGTCGCCCGGCACTGACCGATGTATCCATTGCGCGAAATAGAATGCCACCACCCAGTCCTTCAGTTTGCTAGCCTACTGCCTTCCGCTCTTTGTTGGGTATCTCGCCGACACGCGATTTGGCCGGTACCCCATGATTTTCTGGGGCGTCATCATCTGCGGCGTCGGGCATATTCTCATCGTTGCCGGCGGCGCCAAGGAGCTCATTGCCAACGGCACCGCCAAGATCCCCTTCTTCCTTGGTGTATACATCCTGGCGATTGGAGCTGGTAAGCAGTCCTTTCCTGTCACCCCAAGCCTGTCAAGGGCCACCGGTTAACATGGTCTCAGCAATGTTCAAACCCAACGTCACACCTTTGTTGCTTGACCAGATGAAGTCCCACGTACCGAGAGTAGTCACGCTCAAATCGGGCGAGCGGGTGATTGAGGACCCCGAGCACTCTACTGAGAGAGTCATGTTGTGGTTCTATCTGCTCATCAACATTGGCGCCTTCATGTCCACGGCAACCTCGTACTCGGCAAGATATGTAGGCTGGTGGCTGGCCTTTTTGCTTCCGTTGCTTCTCTACCTCCCCCTGCCTCTCCTCTTGTTGTGGCTGAAGCCGCGTATCGTTCTTCACAAGCCCGGCGGCTCTGACCTTCCCAATGTGTTCCGGGCCATCGGCCACGGCATGGCGAATGGCGGCATCTTCAGGATCGGACGCGCAGGCTGGTGGGAAAACGCCAAGCCGTCCGTCAGGGCGCAAAAAGGACTGTCCCCCGAGACTCGCTACAGCGATGAGTTTGTCGTGGATGTGCAGCGGACTATGCAGGCAACTGGCATGTTTTGCTTCTTCCCTGTACAGTACTGGAACGACAACGGGTATGTTTGCGTAGCTTGCCTTTTGAAGCATTGACCGATTTAAAAAAAAAAAAAAAAAAAAGAGAGAGAGACGACCCTGCTGACTTTGGGCAATGCAGTCTGGGAAATTCGGCCAACTATTTGGGCACCATGCTCACCGGTAACGGTGTTCCCAACGATGTCATTGGCAACTTCAACTCGCTCAGTATCATTCTACTGGGACCTCTTCTCAACGTAAGTTGTTCCGACCGTCCGACAAGCACAAGTCAATCACAAGTAGAAATAGGTCAGGTATTGACACAGAGTACTCTAGTACGGCGTCTACCCCCTCTTGCGCAAGGGCAGAATCCATTACGGCCCTGTTGCTCGCATCTGTACCGGGTTTTTCCTCAGCACTCTGGCGGGCATTGGCTACGCCGTGCTCACGTACAAGGCATATCAGACGTCCCCTTGCGGCTGGTATGGCTCTTCCGATCCCTACTGCGTGGACAATGGTCTAGTCTCGCCCATCTCATTGTGGTGGGAGGCCATTCCGTACGCATTGGGTGGATTCTCGGAGCTCTTTATCAACGTACCTGGTATGCTGCACTGCCGCACCATCGTATTTTCGCCCGCTCGTTGTTTGCTGACATGATGTTTACAGCCTACGGCATCGCTTACTCGCGCGCTCCGATTAACATGAGGGGCTTGGTGTCAGCCATCAACCTCTTCAACACGGGTTTTGCCTACATCGTGAACCTCGCTGCTTCCGCCGCCATTGCCGATCCCCATTTGATCTGGGACTTTGCTGGGCCAGCCATCTTGGGAGCTATCGTGACGGTTGGGTTTGTACGTGAAGATACATGATTCCCTTGCTTCATCTTGTCAGAATCAACTTGACTAATCTCTCGGTAGTGGTTCATCTTCAAGCACATTGATAAGGAGGAATATGTACTTTCCACTACCCAGACTAGTGAGGCTGCGGAAGCTGAGATCATTGAGGATACTGAGGCGGTGCCGACAGATCGCCGCTGATTGTAATAGATTTACATGTGTTGTGTTGATGAACATATACCACGCTGTAGTCGGACCAATCCACATGCAATATATAATCAAGGAATGCATGTTGCTGTCAGATTGAATGCGGTTTCCTCGCTCACAACACCTATACGCGGCATTGCGTTGCAGAGAAAAGAAGCACTTGGGCCATCTTAGCTTGTGTTTGACAGTCAGTGGAGGAAGCATTGCCAGCCAAAAGTCCAAAATTGCTCCCTGTCGACCCCTACTCCCAACTTCAACCAAGCCAGAGCGTAGATACTTGCCACGACGGCAATAGGTTATCTGCTAGCCAACAAGCACAGCCGCAGGCCGAGATTGAACTCGGAATATTCTTCTGGTGCACATATAGACTCTCTGGCTCCGGTCCCTCAACCTCGGATCACCGAGTCTGTCACCACCGACGACCCGGTGGCGACGTAAGCCAGCCCGGTGATATTTCTCGACGATCCGAGGCAAAGTTGCCCCATTAGGAGATATTCCTGCTTGCTAGGTCAGATCATCATGCCTGGGCCACGTCACTCGACATGATTAGCACGTCCACGGCAACCCGTGAGTAGTGATACTCGAAACTGTTGGGGATCAACTTCGTAGTTTTCAAAGGTAGTTAAGAAAGGCGCTTCTCTGTCTTGGCTTGCCCGTTGGTGACATAGCACTGCAAATTCTTCGGACCAGTCACATCATCCGCACATGACACATCTACGGCTGTCCCAGACTGTCTTCCTGTTAACAAAAAACATTGGCATGTCTTCCCCCGTTACTACTTATGCCGTTGCAGCGGCCATTGTCACTTGTGCCGCTATATTCATTGTCGCATCTGTATGCGACAAGATGGCACAGGACCTAGATAATATAATACTCCAACTGTATTTTATAACGTACAACGGCATAAAGCTCACTATGGCGTAATAAGCTGAAAAAGTGGCCATAATTCTGTTTCATAACCAGGCGTAGCAACGCCGTTTAGTGTCCCTGAGAATATCTGGTTTTGGGAGTCATCCGATTTCTGGTTTTCTGTTTGAGGTCGTGTTGTCTCTGACATAGCAGTCATGTCAAAGTAATTAAGATTAATGCCAGTCTCATTGTGATTCCTGACTGCGCATTCCACTGTCGAAAAGACGGTTGTATCCGATCGTGCAGCCTCCTGATACTCAGTCATCTGACCCAGTTGCCGAGCATAGACAGTAGTCCCCCGAACCAACAAAGGTGCATAGTCTTGCGCCGGGATACTCTCTTGCAAACGTGCCCGGCTTGGGTCTTGGTCCGAGTCATTCGGAGACCATGGGAGGTCGATTTCAAAAACCACGGCAACGCCTAAAGGCAAGGAGCTTTGCACAAACTCGGGCAGGCAGCTTGAAGAAGGCAGTTCTCCCTCGCAGAGATAGTAGTCGACTGAGGCGGATATCATCAGGTATGCGCGTGGAAACAGCACGAATGCGTCACCCCAGTTTTGTGCTCGACTTGATCCAGATCGACGGTCATTCCGACGCACCGCCGCATCGTCCGGCCCATGACCATTGCCCAGAAATATCTGGCGTGTAAAATCATACGCCAGGCGGAGTAATTGGTTCGTACATGAGCTCATGACATCGGCTACATCGTATGCCCTCCCACAAGCAGAGTGAAGCCTCCCCAAAGCTTGCCAGCGTCGTCGTCGAGTTTCCATCTCCAAAGTTGATGGGGAGAGTTTCAGGTCGATTGCGGCAATGATGAGTGGCATTTCAACAAAAGCAAGCCTGTATTTAGATTTAGCCGGGATTTCCTCTTCACCTTTGGCGGGGCTGATACGCACAAGGAGATGGGAAAGCCATGATGTTTCTCCTCTTGGCTGAATCCCTCCATAATTTGAATCAACTCGGCCATCGAATTGTGCAACATTTTGCCCACATTCCGAAATCGCTCATGATATATGGGTCGGTCAAAGTTGCAATACCCTTCGAGAAGCATAGACTCGTAATGAGCAATATCTATGCACGCAGCACTACCTTTTCATTTAGCTTGCGCTTTCTGCAGGGCAAGGTCACTACGTACTGGTAGTACATCAAGGTGATCTTGATGTTTCGCCTGACGGGGACGGGAGGATCCTCTGCTAATCGTGCGGGAAGACGAGAAAACGCCATCCAGTCAGCCAGCGCTTTCTTGGTCAAGGATATGGTGGAGAATATGGCGTCGATCTCGTCTTGGGACGCAGAGGAGCAAGATTTCTTGTTTGGCGCGGCGCCCAGCGAGACCATGGCGGTCAGCAGCAAGCCCAGTTGGCATTGCTCGCGGAATATGCCTGCCAAGACATGCTTCGTTGGCCTGTCGTAAACGCGGGATTCGCAGATTTCCCGCATGAGCTCCTCGTCTTCAATAGGACTGCTGACAAACTTTAATTCCTTGGACGTCATGAGAGGTTTTCGACGCAGGCCGAGACAGAGACTTCTATCGCGAATTAAAATGGACCACCATAGTCGTTTTTTCCAAGTTGGCTGCGGATTAGGTTGTTTTACACTTTCCTTGCAAGTCTTTGGATGTGTTTCTGCTAGCTTTCCAAGTTGAATTGCACGGTCGAGCCACGAGTTTGCGGCGTGAGCATTCGTAGGAGGAGTGTAGAATGTGAGGAGGACGGCAGCGGAAGACAGGTAGCGGGGCCGATCTTCTGTTTTGATTTCAAAAAGAAGCTGCGTTTGTCAGTGGCATGAATTCAAGATGACGGGTGAGCTGCGGCCTGATTTGTACCTTTGTTCGATGGTATAGTGTGCACAATGCGTGGCGCCGGTCCTTGAATCCGCATTTTTGAAGGGTTGACACGTCGACATACGGAGCACTAGCAAACAGTATCGCCTGAAACAAAAGCAGGGGAATTTTGCATGCATGGCCCTTTTGACTGTTCTCATACGCTCTCCAGAATTCCGCCTCATCAACCACAATGGTGGATGGATGAACGTATAAGAAATACTGCCTCAGGAAGTCGTCGGTCAAGCTCTTGTCGGGTATACTTAGACATCCATTCGCCGCAAGAAGGGCCAGATCGGCTTGGCTCAAGGTGGATTTGTCATTCAGCTCGAGAAATGGCAGCATATAGAAATGCACATGATGGGGAAGCTGGGGCACGATGGGCCGTGATGTGCATGTATGGCTGGGGCTGACGACTCTTGGAGGACCATGCTCTTCCACGCCGCCCGCCAGCAGCGCCGAATCTCTATGGTGACGGCCGGGCTATTAGTAGATGGTATTGAGAGTCAATCATGGAGAACTGAATCCTACCTCTTTCCACTCCTCGTTCTGAATCGGCAAATTGCTCCCTGTAGCTTACACTGCGTACAAGGGGGCCCCGATATCGTAGCGTCGCATTTTACTTTTTTCTGCCGACACCATGAACAGGCTTTTCTTGCTCTCGCCGTGCGTCTCATCACGCCTCTTCGTAAAGGCCAGATGAATGAAGAGGAATGGATTGTGGAAATGGTGAATGTCTGTGGGAATAGACACCGGTCTTCTGCATGGAACGGAGAATAGAATCGATTCCCGGCTCCGATAACGTGACCTCAAATAGGCAACATTGAACCGCCGCCGTTTAAGAATCGAATAGCCTTCATTCGGAGCCAATCATGACGATTTCCCCGCACTGGGTCCTTCAATGTTCGGCATTGTCTTGATGGAGTCAAATGCCAGAACCCGCCAAAGCAGGGGAACGCCTCGGCTGGCGACAAGCCCAGCCAATCATGTTTGCCCTGAAATCTCAATGTTGTCTCAATTGTACCAGACCATTAAACTGCAGCGAGTGGTGCAACTAAGAGATTGTTATTGGTGCCGGCACCGCGAGGGAATGAAAGCATAAGATATCAATTGATTGAACCCGTACCAAGGGGATGGCGGTTGCAGGGACTTCATTTGACATGTTCGCAAGCCACCAAGAGGGCCATACATGAGCAAACCCGAAAACGCAAGCAAGCGATATGGAGATACAGCCGTCCTTATCGGAGAATTCATGGCCCATGGCCCAGGTGAGGAGCGAGCGCGCCAAGCCATGGAACGAATGAACCAGAATCCTTACTTGAAGCGTCATTCTTGGCGAAATGGCATCGAGTTCTACAAAGACCAGTGGCATTACAGAGTGGGCTTTGCAGTACGAGTCGCAACCCATGGTGCCTGCTTCCGCAAACAAACAAACGGCCAATGAGCTATTTGCATTGCTACTGTACTACGTTCCGAAACCATTTCGCTCATTTGCCCAAGACTGCGTCGGTGTGCTGATGGGCCAACGACTCAGAACAGCCATGATGTAAGTCGTCCACTGTCACCTGCAACCATTCGCAGTTATTTCCGATGCCTTGTGCATGTCACTTTTCTCCGGGCCGACTCTCGAGTTACTAAAAGGGCTCTTATAGGCATCAATTGATCCTACTCCATCGCCGGCCGCTTTTGCGATTGTGAACGGCAGCCTTGCCCTGCGGCGCCTTGTGTTGCGCCATCTGGCACTTCCGCGGTTTGCTACGCGGCGCGAATTCACGAAGAAGGAAGGATGGCAAATCCGGACGCCATCATCACCTGAATTACATGGTACATCCGTACTACGGCAAGCCCACGCTCCGGAGTCGATGAGGCGTGCAAGCGTGGTTGACGTGGGCTCTGGGCGGAGTTGTGCCTGGCGGAAAGGGAGGCGACAAGTACATTCTCGAGGGTCATCTTTACAGAAGTTGGTCCGGATAAGAAATGGGCCTTTGTTTAGGATGAGCCCGGGGTTTGGGAACTCAAGGTTGAGGAGTCCATGCCTCTTGGATGCCCTTTCGCGATTTGATCAGATGAACAAAGTCACCGAACCGATATGGTCATCAACCTAGGTGTTGGCACAAATGACCGACACGCTCTTCACCAAGGCAAATGTGCGACTGGTTCGAAATGTGTTTAGTTGCTAGAATAAGACTCCCTCTCCCACGTCTTTCGCCACCTGAGCCATGAATTCCGGATACCTCGCCACGATGCTCTCTGCACTTGAACATGTAATTCTGTTTGCATGCTACACCAACGACAGTTGCACAGCAAGATCCAATTCCGCCCACGCAGGCCACATCAACACTTGGAATCGGAACAACTCCAAATCTGTAGGCGAAACGTCCTCACGTCGACGCCCTACCAAGCGTAGCAGCGGCACTCAGTAGTGTACCTGCAAACTGGGTAAGGATCGCAGCAGCTATATTCAAGGCCGCACATATAGCCGGTACAGTAATTGCAATCTGGACATGACGAATCATCAGTCGGCACACCCCATCAAACGCCGGGTCGTAGAGCTCGCACTTACTGGCAGCGAGGGCAGAATTCTTGCCCACATGTATCGCTGGCTGCGACTCGGCACCAGGCGGAATAGAGCTGCTGTCTAATCGCTCATTAGCAAAATACAAAACCACCCGCCACGCCGTCAACACGTCGGCAGCGCACCTTTCGAACCGTCTTTGCCCTCGGGCGACGGAGCACCCAAGGCCTGAAGGCAGTATGCCACGAGGCCGAGAACAACAAGTTTACCCTGCATCTTGTATTGACAAAAGAGTTTGTGGATTGGAGTATTCGGCTGATTCTCTGGGTGGGTGGATTGATTCGAATTGTTACAACGGTTACGTGGGCTCTCTTCGTCTTTATACTTTGGCTTCGAGAGCATGGCGATTCCTGCCCACCGATATCAACGGCGAATTACACCAGACGAATCGACGCAGCTCAAAGAGCCTCTGGCAGCAGAGTCAGATGGCACCTGACCAATATACACGTCGCGTAGCACCAAGCCCCCTGTATCGTCTGATCAAGGAGGAGCGCCCGCAGCCAAAGCCAACGTTTCCACATCTCTCTGCATGTTCTCCTCCATGTTGAGTTGACAGGTTATTTTTGTCGGATGCGGCTACTTTGCCAATGGGTCAGTTTCTGCCAACTACCAAGCCCGGCAACCTTCCGGGTTACACGTTGTGGAATAGAGCCGAGTCTAGAATCATGAATGGATTTCCCATGTGCCAATCTGCAGGCCCTAAATGACTTACACTGGGTCCGTTGGGCTCTATGTCGTGCAACATTGCTACACACGAGGCAATGTAAAGGCAGCTGCTTCACTTCAAGGGGCAGCCTGAAAACTGAGAGGTCAAATTGAACTTGCCAATTGAAGTCGGTTGTCATGTTCATCTGGCGCAGTGTTACCACTGGACTTCCTGTCAACGGGATACAAGAGGCTCTGCTCCGTCGTTGCTTCGCAATTACGGAGTAGAGCATGCTGCCTTTGCGACACTTCTTGTGTGCCAACATGTGTTGTCACATTTTTGCAACGCCCCCCTGCCGACTACTGGCCAAGACAGTTACACCAGACAGTACACAGCAACGCTTAATGTGGTGCTTATCCGACTTCGTTGTTGCGGCGGAAATTACAGATGTAGTGCTACGGCAGGAAAGGGCGGCTACTCTCCCCGTCGAATGTTTGTCACTGTTTGCCCAACTGTCAGACCGTAGGACAAAGGTGTACAGTTCGTCTCACTTGTAGCAATCATTGAAGCGGTTGTTGATCCATGCAGGGTTATCATGCTGGTTTGTGACTTGTAAGGATATTGACTCTTGGCCCTTCTCCCCGTGACAGAAAACGCTTCCAATCTTTCTAGTTGCATGTGTTTGATCACTCAACAAAAGTCAAGTACTCTCAACTTAGGAAACTAGAAGAAGAATTTACGCCATGGCACATGGATATGCGTTGGCTGAAGGCGGGCATAGCATGTTGGGACTTGGGATACGGAGGTTTGTCAGTCCTCGGATGAAGCAACATGTCCATGTACTGTGACCGCTGGGACTGAACTATGCTCCATCATTCTTTATTAGCGTACTCATCTCCGCTCACCATGCTCATCAAGATTGTATGTGGGAGCGAGCAACAACTCAAAACATGATGCGGCACAACAAAGTAGTCATAAACCAATGGACCAAATTACCACCACCAATAAACGCCCACCATATATCTCAACGCCAAGAAATGAAAACGCAGTCAGCAACTCATTGACTCATTAAGCAGCCGCCATATCCACCTTCTTCCCCTTCACACTCTTCCACTCCACAAACACGGCGCCCGTGATGGCCGCAGACGCCGTCGCCGTCGAAACCCAAAAGCAATTCGTGAGTGCGGAATTGAACGCCTTCACAATCGCGCCCAGAAACTCCTCAGGGAAGGCGGTCCGAATACCTGTTGCGCCCGCCGCGAGAACGGCCTTGGGATCAACCCGAGGAGCAAACTCGTGCACGAAGTTCTCGAGACGGTTGGTAAACACAGTTTGGCCAGCCGACACGAAGAGCGCGCCGCCGAGCGACTGCATGAATATAATGATTGCCGTGCCGGTGGGCACGTCTGCCATGTCGAGGACAACCTGGACTGCGATGAGCGGCTGCTGCATACCCACGCCCACGCCAGCCCCGGCAATGACTTGGAATCCTATCCATGCGGCAGCCGAAGAGTCAACTGTGAGCGTGGACATGAGCCCGTAGCCGATGGGCATGAGAACGGCTCCGATGATGATGAAGGGCGTGTAGTAGCCCCATGAGGAGACGATTGCGCCGCTGGTGACGGTGAAAATCACAACACTCAGCAGCATGGGGATGTTCATGACGCCCGACTTGACCGGACTCGCGCCCTTGACCGCTTGAAACCAAATGGGCAAGAAGTACATGGCGAGTAAGAAACAGGCACCAATGAAGAACTCAAACAGTGACGAGGCCCAGACCGTTCGTTTCTTGAAGATGCGAGGTGGTACAGTTGCGTTATCTTGCATTCGCCATTGGACGTAGAGAAATAAGAGGATAAGTACTGCAGCCAGCATGAGAAGAGACGTGATTCTCGCGCTGTCCCAAGGGTATTCGGATCCTCCCCAATGCAGAGCCAACAGAAGACAAACGACAGCCGGCAAGAAGGCAATAGTGCCAATCGGGTCCATTTTCCAAATGCGCTGCTTCCATGTCATGGGCTCTTTTTTCCTCTTTGGGTCGGGAAAGAAGAATGTGATGACGGCCACTGTGACCAAGCCAACGGGAAGATTAATGTAGAAACACCATCTCCATGACAACCTATCTGTAAAGACACCACCAAGAAGGGGCCCAGCGACCGACGAAATCCCCCACATACTACCAATCAAGCCGCTGTAGATGGGCCGTTTCTCTAGAGGGACAGTGTAGGCTAGAATGGTGAGCGCTCCAGCGAAAATGCCTGCCGATCCCATGCCGGCGACAGCCCGTCCTATGATTAGAGTCATACTGTTGGGTGCGACAGCGCAAACAAGGCTGCCGAGTTCAAAGACCCCAATGGTGCCGAGGAAGATCCATTTGATGCTCCAGAAAGTATAGAACTTGCCAAAGAGCAGTTGAAAAGATGACCCGGTAAGCATGTATGCGGAACCGTACCAGCCAATGTCGGGTAGACTGTGAAACTCGTCTGTTATCCTTGGAATAGCAGTAGCAATTATGGAGTTGTCTGACATCTCGTTAGTAGATTCACTCTATTCAAGATAATTCACATATATATGATTACCTAGAGCCATGACAAATACGGCAAAGCACAATGCAGTAATGATTAAAGCAAGCTTCATCCCCGTCGCGTGCTGCATGCCGTCGTCTCGCATTGACGCCGTGTCAATGGCGTCATTTTCATCCTCTGAAAACCGCGATTGGCGTTGTTGAAGCTTTTCAAACTCTTCACCTTTCCTCAGAGCCATGCCGGGAACCATATCCTCATATCGTACTGCTCCGAGAAGAATACTTCCCCGCACAGAGTCTCGGATCGAACTACGAACGATTGAGTCGGCTCTTGGTCGTGCAGCCACCTTTCCCAAGGACCTTAAATCAGTCTCAAAATTCTTCTCCAGGGATTTGAGATCGGAACAGAAACTTGTGTGTCCTGTCGACGGCAACTGGGTCTCGTCCTCGGATAGCCATGTCTTGATGCGATAAGCCATGACATGACTTTCATGGTCCTCCAAGAAATATTGCGATGACTTCTCCAAAGAGGACTGTAGAGTGTCGCGGGGCAACTTGACACTTAAGCGTGCCATATCTACAGCTTGTGACTGCCGTTGGGCAGCTGCAGCCATGGAGCGAGAAGTGATGGTGGTGAAATAGCTGTGGTTTGGCCACAAAGGGAAAATGTCACCCTTTTCAGTGATAGGTACGAATGGTCACAGGCGTATAGGAAAAGCAAAACGACAAGGGTTTCTAATATGAAGCACCGCCTGGGGGGGAAGCATATCGTTTTGTGGCAACGTGAGCCTCCGACAGCAAGTGGCTCGGAGGCCGGGACGTATTCGGTGGACTTCCGCCTCACAAAGGGCTTTGAACTGCTTTAGTATGCTTGCCGAGTCATCAATGGTCGATCTGACTGGGCTGCTCTCTGTGCTCGCCTCGCTCCTCGCTCTTTGTCCGCGTGGCGACAAGATTGCGACTGATTCCAACAGACCTTCCCCTCCTGCCACAGACGAAGAAACCCGCCCCAGGAAGTCCTGAGGTAGTGACTTTTCGCATCATTTCTGTGCTCTCAGGACTCCAGAGCCTGAAAATTGAGTGTATCTCTCGAAATCGCCACTTCCATGACAATCTGCTTCGGCTTTGCCGCCCGCCGCCCAACAACGGAGGTCCACTTCGGCACTGCAAGTCATCTTGTCAAGAGAACCTAGGTATCAGCCTACTGCAAGTTGAGACACAATTTTATTTTCCTATTGAAGACGCATAGTAGCAGCTAGAAGTCTATAGTCATATAGTGACTGCGCAGCACATACTTCACATACCTAAACGCCTCTACTACCCTGTGGTGTGCAACAGCGGACCATGGCAATATATCCACCCCGCCAAGTCGGACTCTGCACCGTCCAAGACGGAGATGTGCTTGTCGTATCCTTCATTAACTGGTCCGCGTCCACTCGACAGACCCAAAGCGATCAAGTGATAGATACCAATGCCTCCCGCGAATCATCTACAGAACGATGCTTGGGTATACCGAAAAAATAAATAAATAAGGAAGGTAAAGGGGACCAAAGTCTTATATATACCGTCGTTGGACTGCCTGGTGCATAACAGTCGCTGCTGTCCAGTGTCTACGGTGTCGTATCAGCTGAGGCTTGACCCTCCAAAAATGACGTCAAGCGCACTCGAGGACTGAGTCTGCGTGTCTCATCTTCCTCATCTATGGCTCTGGAAGACACTGAAATGAAGTTCCGCATTCTCTTAGCACCTTTTCCCCCGCCGTGCTTTGCTTCCTCGTCCTGGACTTCGCTCGACGGCTTGTGACCAGGACAACATGCCTGTAAAGCGTTGCCGCGGGTCATGGCTGAGGCACAGTAATCACTGTGATTGAGGCTGTTCTCTGCCATGCCCACCTTTCCAATGGCAATGCTCGGTCCCTGCGGAGTATACAGTTGCTGCGACACATGCCGGGTTTCGAGGCGTTCTTGGGTATCTACAGATCCATCCATCGCTGTCGTTGGAGAAGGGCCAGAATGTTGCTGGTTGCGGTGTTCCTTTCGAGATATTACTTCGGCGGCAGGTGTGTGAAATGCGGAATGATGCAAATTCATTGGCAATGGTTGATTCAACAACGAATTCGTCAAAGAGTCGGCCAGTTCAGGCGGAAAGGATGTGTTATCTGTGGGGACCGGAAACGCAGCCCCTAGATGCGGTTGAGTTAGCAAGCTGCGCATCTAAAATCCTGAGAAATATTCTCTAAATACCCTACCCTCTCTCTTGTGTTCAACGTCGGCGGACGGCGCGTTGATAGGGGCTTTAGACTGTTCGCTTTGCCTCCCATCCTCACCGGGAAAAGGTTCTGGGGCCAGTTGCTGTTCCACACATTGGCTGTCAGACTTCGCAGGGACGTAGTCTGGCATGCTGACATCAGTGCTAGTTCTTCTTGTACTTCTCTGTGCAACAGAGCTGTGGTTCGGGTTGAAGTGATTATCCCCGGCGGCCGCGGTCATGCCTATGTCCATACAATTCAGCCATTCGAAATATGAGCCGGCGTTGCCAAATGGATCCAACCCATTTTGTGTAGGATAAAAGCATGGTCCGTACACAGGGTGTGTTACTCGTCGCCCCCCAGGCATAAGTACAGAGTTCGTTCCAGTACTTTGAAATGAATTCGTGGCATAGCTCAACTTGTCGGAGCTACTTCCTCGCCGTTGAGGTGAATGAGCATGGGACTCGGAGTCGTCCGGTTGAAGCGTGGGGACTTGCATAGAGGCAGCAAACGGCGCTCTTCGCCACATGGAAGGATTCGGCCAAGCAATAGAAGAGCTCTCTAGAACTTCTGAAATACTAATTAGCAGGGCTCAACTCTCCATGACGAAGCTGCAGTCAACGGAAGTACCTAATGGGGCGTGCTGGAATGAAAAGGCCACAACATTCTTCACTCTTTCAAATGGTGTGGTAATGGAATCGCGGGGAAATCCTTCGCTCAGCACTAATTTGATACGGCCAAGATCGTCAGCCGGGCTCCAGAAGTTTTGCTGGAGCAGCTCTTCTCGAAACCCAGGGAAGCTGAGTGGTTCCAGGTCGCCACTTTTAGAGAAGTCTGGAAGTGTCAGTTCGCGAAGAGTTTTGCAAAATTAAGCATCCTTACCAAAACTGTGTGCTACAATATGTGGCCAGAGACTCTCTCTGTCGAGCGCAGTAGATCTGATTTCAATCAACATAATGCAGGCTCAGGGCTTGGGAGTAGGTCCTGGGGCGACATACGCTACGAGTCTTCCGTCAATGAACAGCCGGGCCTCAAACTTCACGTTCTCCGGGAATTTGCTGTATGAGTTGGTGAATTTACTCACGACCGGCGCATTCCAGGAGTGGATGGACACCCGAAAGGGGGTTCCCGTCGGAAGACTCGGAACAAAACAACAAACCGTTGGCAGGCCGAACGTGCCCCCAAGATGAGGGGATTCTGAAGGGAGTTGTGAGCCACAAATTAGCATTGTCGGAGGTTTGCGCCCCAGGGGGCTTCGTGGCACCATACCTGGATCATGGACAACATGGCAAGCCACTTTGAACTCCTTGACTGGTACCTTGCAGTTTTGTGGGAAGAGAAGAATGTCCCAATCTTCGTAACGCATTTTGAAGTTGAATACGGCAAAGGAGCGGCTTCGTCAATGATTGCAGGTGGGCGTATTCTCCAAGTCAAATGATGAATGGAGATGACGTCAATGCCATGTCTCTACGACGAGAGACGGCCACACGAAGAACAGTAGTAGCGTTGGATCGAAGGAGTTGGCATCCAGGCTTCTTGTCGTAATCAAACAAAGGGATTCTCCACCAAAGGAAAAGCCGAGAATCGAGATACGGAGCAAAACAAAACAAGAAAGCCAACGAGTAGCAAATAATCTATTGGCGTGGTTATGGTAGAAAGAAACAAAGCGAATACAAGTAACGGCGATAATGTCAAGAATAAGGCACGCTCCTGCCATTGCAGCCTCGCAAGGTCGCTCAAAGAAGCAGTGGTAAGCGAGCATGTGAAAAATATGGGATGCATGTGCCAACTCGAGCGAACAGGCTACCTGCCCAGGTAGGTATCGTAAACATGACATCTGTGGAAGTCGCCCGGGTCTGTCGCGGCCCGACACCACCGTCGCCTCGGAATCTTTACTCAAGTCCACTTACCAGGGTGAAAAGTTGTCGGCTGCAGCCATCGCTTTGCTAGAGGCTCAACGCGCCGATAGCATTCACCATCACCAACTGCAAGCCTGGTCAGATACCATGAATACTGAATCCGGTTCTTCGACATTCGACGGATAGAGCCTATCTGTCCAGTGTTATCTTCATGAACAAAGGAAATGACAATTCTACCGAGTTTGGCCGCCTAGTCGAGACATAGCCACATCTTGGGTGTCCGAACTACTACTTAAAGTGCCAGCAGAAAGTGTGTTTTTTTATGATTGTCCCTTTATTCCGCACCTAGTATATGTACAAGTCCACTTCTCGACTATCCCCATGGTCCTCAAGGGTCTTCAAGGGTCCTCGTCACCTTCCCTTCGTGCCTGGAAATAGAAATACATTGCATTAGCCATCGTGTTATCCCAATTCCCATTATCCTCCAACAAAACACGTTATTTCACTTACCCTTACAGCTCCAGGTCCGCCCAGTTCTCGTTCCAATCCGGCTTCAAATTCTCGAGGGTATGTGGGCTGATCAGGATACTTCAGATAGACTAGACCTGAAAGGCCCAGAAACACAGCAACAAAACTGCCAATCATGATCAAGCCAGGGCCCGGCTTGGTCCAGGTGTACTCATAGGGTGAGAATATACCGAGGACATCGTTGTCCTCGTGGATAGGTTCGCCGAAATTTCGTCGTTCCTGGGGGTCCCACCAGGTGGCGTACGGGTCACGGAACTGTCGCTTGATTCTAGGAGGGTTGATGTAGCCGCCATTCTACTCAAATTCGATTCATCAGTCACATGCTATCATCGTAGACAGAATATGGTCTTGCGCGATGGGGGCCTGGACGAACCATGCCAGGGTCCTCGGCCTCAGACATCGTCTGGCGGTCGGGGTATTTGGCATCGAAAACCTTGCGGTCAGACAGAGAAGCAGGCAAGAATCCTCGTCGCTGAGCCACTGGCAAACATCGAGTGGCCGCAAGGCTGGAGCGGACTGCGGATGACCGCACAAGTCGTTGAAAAGGCATCTGTTGGAGAAGCAGTCAGCGGTAATTGTCTGGGGAAGGTCACATGCCAACGGCACATATTCTCACGGGTACTAATCAATTTTTCGTCGTACCTTGAGCCGGTTGATGGCGTCGTTGGCGCCCAATTGCTCGTTTATGACGTGGTGTCTCTGCAAGTTGCTTTCGGATCCAACTGTTCGCGCTGGAATTGGATCGCAGCTCGTTGCCTGTTGCTGCCTGGGGCATCCACCTATAACCATCGTCCAATCTGCGGCCACCAATGGCAACGGGCCATTTCTCTGAAGTGAGTCTCCACCCTGGCGAGCACGGGGGAAAAGGAAGCCTCGAGAAAGCACAGTCAGCACAGAACACAACACAAGGGCATGTCATCCAGGTCTCCATTTTCTCTCCATTCCCAAAAGTTTTGCTTGACAGGCGGCATTAGCTTACATTTTCTGCCACAACGCACGCCACAGGCCTCTGATCATGTTCAAGTTTTGTATGAATATTTGTTGAGACGCGACAAATCTCTAGACCATATTTTCTACTCTGCAAATGCTCGCCTCAACGAGATCACGCCCACTGCGTCTCCAGGCTCCACATTGCTATGATGCCCGAGACCGCGTCTCCCGACAACGACGTGTCCATCGCGGATCCCCAAGCCCACGAAACAGGTACCGACGCCAACAACTTGCACGAGGGCGACGTGATAACGGCCGGTCTCAAGGCGAAAGATGTTTCTCATGAAGCCGGCACGAATGTGCTGGCGAACACGGACGCGCCGGCGTACACAAATGGCCACCCCCCGCGGCATGTTAATGGCAATGGAGGGCACGATGAAGAGGACAGCCGACCAGCGAAAAGACGACGAACTCATAACAGTACCCCTCCGCCAACACCGTCATCGGCAAAGAAGCTCAAGCCCATATCACCCCCATGGAAGAGGATTAGTGCCGAAGGGCCTACTAGTTTCACCGAGAACGGTCGTCGCAAGTCAGGTCGAATCAATACCCTGCCGCTGGAACTTCAACCGCAAGGCAAGAAGAGATTGACTAGACAATCGTTAGGGTCAAAGGGTACTGCAAAGCCAGCAAAAAAAGCAGATGCAACGTCCAACAGACCACCTAACAATAAAGTGGGCTCGCAGAAGAAACTCCTAGGGATGCCCAAATCGACATCTCGAAAGCCCGAGGCACCACCTTCCAGAATCTCCTCTCGATCTCTTCGGCGTCGCTCACCGTCTCCACCAGCCCATCCTACCAGACAATCTACGAGAACTCGACGGGCCTTCCGTGCTGCTAATGCTTCCGATGCCCAAGACGAACTCTCTACTCCAACTCATGACCCAACCTACCAATTCCACGATGGTGACGGACGATCTCCCCGGATAAAGTTGCGAGTCGGTCGCTCCGGTTTCATACCGCTGGTTCACGCAGACCAAGTCCGCAAGCGACCCAAAGTTGGCACCAGCTTCGAAGATTTTTGGGCACGGGCTGGAACAATTCCAGTAGAGGATGGAGGGCTCTTTGCGTCTGAAGATGGACCAATCTATACTGATGAAGCCGCCATGAAAGACGCTTTTTCGATGACGCGAATTGAGCAAGAAGTTCAGCCTGGCGGCATCCTCTCACTCGGTCGCTGTTCAGCCTTTATTCCCGAAGAGGAAGAGGAACCTAGTAGACAATACGCTCGCCAAGATCATCTTATCAAAGCTATGGCGAATTTCCGTAAGCTACTGCTTCTAGAACAACAAAGACACCGCGCTATAGCAAAGAAACTTGCAGAAGCGTGCCGTGACGCGTGGGTAGATAGGCAACCCAAGTCAGCAGAACAACTTGAAGCGGAGGCACGACAAAAATGGATTGGGCACTATCGATATGTCATCCGCGCCATGTTAGGTACTTGGGAGAATGTCCGCGCTCAAGTTAACCGCCGACGCCTCGAGCAATGGGAGGCGGAGGAGCAGAAACGTGTCAAAGCCGCTCTCAATGAGGCAGTGAACCTCTCAGAACAAAAACTGCAGGCACGTCGTGGGTTGGACTCCGAACAAGTGTCCGGTGATGACGATGGTTTCGATGACCTCAGCGACGATCTTAGCACCATGGACGATGATGACATCGATGAATCGAATATGGCATCTGGCGATAGTGATGGTGATGATGAGGACGGTCTTGATAGCGATAATATGTCAACATCCGAGGAAGAGGAAGAAGGCGTTGATGGGGGAATAAAGGATACCGGAGATGAAGGTCTCACGCAGGAGGAGCTAAGGGCAAAGTACGCCAATCTTCCCGATCTCAAGGAGTCAGACAAGCAGTCAAGCATTGATGCCACAGCAAGCGATGCCTTGGCTGACACGGACGTCGGCGGCGAGACTAGCGACGAGTCAGTTGACATGGATGATGATTTGGGCTCTAGCGACGTGGGCAGTGACGATGATGACAATGATGGCGATGAGGATGAAAGCGACGAGGAAGAAGGCGACGAGGATGCGGGCGGTTTGCTTGGCCTCTTGTTTGGCAAATCAGAACTCAAGCAGATGAAGCAAGACGCTACAGAGCAAAGGGACGATGGCACTGATCTCACCGTGGCTTCTCCTGAGCTTGGTCGCGATGCGACAGAAGGCGATGATCCGACGTTGAAACAGCAAGTTGACGAGATTGCATCCCTAGTTTCTCTGCCGAGCGCAGATTATCAGCCATTCACTAGTGCTCACGATCACCCAGTGGTATCTTTGGTGGAGGATTCTGCGAATGCTGAAAATTCCAAAGCCGCGAGCCAGGACCAGGAGGGTTCAAAAATTGAACCTTCTGATCGCAACACAACTGAGATGGTCCCTCCACTTCAAGAGATGCAGGCTGGATCACCAAATGAAGATGTGACAATGGCAGATGCTCATGACGAGGATGCTGTCCAGCCACAGGTTTCCACGCAGGCCGCAGACTTGGGTAAACCCTCAAGCCCAGAAACAGAACCAGTTACTAATCCCACGAGCCCTCGACGTAGCCAGTCGCCACCAACGTCGGACACAAAACCCTCTGAAGTCGAGGCTTCGTCAGCTGAACTTGCTGTCGCAAAACCTTCAGGGAGTCGATCGGTAACCCCTCACACTCCTTCCACTCACAAGTCCGACATTCCATTTCTCCTTCGCGGAACTCTTCGTGAATACCAACACGACGGTCTGGACTGGCTCGCTGGCCTTTACGCAAATAATACCAACGGCATCCTCGCAGACGAAATGGGTCTAGGCAAAACTATCCAAACTATTGCACTTTTAGCACATTTGGCCTGTTACCACGAAGTCTGGGGTCCCCACCTGGTAATCGTGCCCACCAGTGTCATGCTGAACTGGGAGATGGAATTCAAGAAATGGTGTCCTGGATTCAAAATCTTGGCTTACTATGGATCCCAGGACGAACGGAAGCGAAAGCGCCAAGGGTGGAATAATGATGATGTTTGGAACGTCTGTATCACATCATATCAGCTGGTACTCCAGGATCAGCAAGTATTCAAACGTCGAAGATGGCACTACTTGGTCCTAGACGAAGCTCACAATATCAAGAACTTCAAATCCCAAAGATGGCAGACATTGCTCGGCTTCAATACCCAGGCTCGTCTTCTACTAACAGGTACGCCTTTACAAAACAACCTTACAGAATTGTGGTCACTTCTCTTCTTCCTCATGCCTGCCGAAAACGGAGTGGGTGGCTTTGCAGACCTGCAAGAATTTCAGGATTGGTTCCACAAACCCGAATCCCAAATTTTAGAAAGCGGCAGAGACCAAATGGATGAAGAGGCGAGAGCAATCATTTCCAAACTTCACAAAGTTCTTCGCCCGTACTTGCTGCGCCGTCTCAAAGCAGATGTTGAGAAGCAGATGCCAGCCAAATATGAGCACGTTGAGTTTTGTCGCCTATCAAAACGGCAGCGTGAGCTTTATGACGGGTTTCTTTCGAGATCGGATACCAAAGAGACTTTGTCATCTGGCAACTATTTGTCTATCATCAACTGTCTGATGCAGCTACGCAAGGTTTGCAACCACCCAGATTTGTTTATCGACCGGCCAATCATGACCTCTTTCCGCATGTCTAAATCGGTACCGGCCGAATACACCTTTACGGAGCGCAAGGTTCGATCACTTCTGGCGGATGCGCCAATGAACACAGTCAATTTAGGATTCTTGAATCTCGTACCTACCCAACACGAGAAATTAAGCAGCGTCAATGCGGATCGAATCGCTCAGCTTAGTTCTCATCGAGCACTGATGGACTTGCGTGAGGCACAAAAAGTCAGGGCTCAGGCCGCACATACAATTATTGATCCCTCCACGGTAGGATCCAGCATTTCGTATCTGGAGAGCGGAGCAAGATGGGGTCGGTTCGAAGAACTTCAACATTGCGTGTACCTCAATGCGCTCCGCCGGCAGCAACGACCAGTTTATGGCAAGAATGTCGTTGATCTCGTGTCGATCAATGCGTACAAGCGCCCTTGTCGGCCCAAGCCCAAGATCCCTCAAAAGATCATGTCCTGGTTCGAGGGTGACCTCGCCTTCGTCCGTGCCTTGACGCCGACCCTTGATCAACGTGCCGAGACTCTAAAATCTACAATTTCCAAGTTCTCGTGCGTTACACCACCCGTTGTGACCCGAGATCTGGAGCAGGTACTGTTAGGCCCCAAAGCAGTCCAAGCTTTCACGGATGAAGATCTCAGACTCTCGGCTCCTGTGCGATGGGCGCCTTTTCTACCCAAGCAAGCTCCACGTGACCCTTGGCATGAATCTCGTATGAGACACAGCATTCAGTTTCCGGACAAGCGACTCCTCCAATACGACTGTGGCAAGCTGCAAGTCTTGGATAAATTACTTCGAAAACTGCAAGCTGGTGGCCACCGAGCGTTGATATTCACACAAATGACCAAAGTCCTGGATATCTTGGAGCAGTTCCTCAATATTCACGGCCACAAGTACCTTCGTCTCGATGGCGCAACCAAGGTAGAGCAGCGGCAAATCTTGACAGACCGATTCAACAATGACCCTCGCATTTTGTGCTTTATCTTGTCGACAAGATCAGGCGGTCTGGGTATCAATTTAACGGGTGCCGACACCGTCATCTTTTATGACCAAGACTGGAATCCAGCTATGGATAAGCAGTGTCAGGATCGATGCCATCGCATCGGCCAGACACGAGATGTACACATTTATCGGCTTGTCAGTGAGCACACAATTGAAGCAAACATTTTACGAAAGGCTTCACAGAAGCAGATGCTGGACGACGTGGTGATCCAAGAGGGAGAATTCACTACAGACTATTTCAACAAGATTTCTGTCCGAGAAGTGTTGGAGGACAAGGTAGACTTTACCAGTGAAGGCGTCGCCGCTGCAGATGCCGCGCTGGAGAGGGTCCTAGGCGGTCCTGATACAAGCAGAGACCAGAGAACTGTTGGTAGAGCGCTTGAGCAAGCTGAAGATAGAGAAGATGTTGCAGCGGCGCGAGTGGCCGAAAGAGAGATTCAGGCCGACGATGCCGACTTTACCGAGAAGACCAACGGTACGGCCTCGGGTACATCAACGACACGACAAGGCACACCGGCTGGAAAATCCGTGATGGACAGCGGCTTGGACCTGGAGGAAATGACACCTATTGGTGAAGGCGAAATCGAGTACAACGCGTACGGTGAAAGTATGGGCAATATCGATCAATATATGCTCAAGGTCATGACGGAGGAGCTGAAACATACGAAGCTAGAGCTGCCAAAGGGCATGAAAAAGAACAAAAAGAAGGGCCGAGACACGAGGAAGCGCTGAGTCTGGTCAGCCGGTCGACGTGGTGGTTTTTTTCGTATGGCCAAAGCGCCTCCGACTCCCCATAATGGCTATGGCTTATACCGGTTTTCTTGGTATAGTGTATTATAGTAATGACTGCGGCACGGCGCGTACGGCACTGACAGGACGGGCATTTTTTGGGTAGGGCTACTACGCTTCTGAAGTACGATACTGTATTGCAGCCGGGGCGGCTCATGGGTTTGGTTTTTGCATGGAGGGGAGTTTGATACCTGTTTGGTTTGGGAAGCAAGGGAAGCACAAACAAAGCGAGCTCTCGTGTATGATAGGCGCATGGTGGACAAGCATAAAATGGATTAACCAGTATATGGATTGGATGTTGGGCGCGGTATGGTTGCTTGGCTCTTGTGGTCATTGGGTTACCCTGTACCTGATTGCCTCAACGTCGTGTATAAATTAATAGCCTGTGCACTTTGCAAAGCACATTCTTATTTGGCACAAAAAAGCCGATAGGCATAGTGACAATTTAGCACATACCTTTTGATATACCCATACACGCATTGACGGACTAGCTGCGCTCCTGATGTTGTTGGGTTTCTTGCCCCACCCCAAGGGGAAGCTTTAGGGTGACGACGAACTGTCGTCTACGTCATGATGCTTTGGAACCGGCAAAAACTTTTTATTGTTGAAACTCGTCCTAGCTCGAGACATGACCATGGGGCCGGGCTGCTTGCACGTTTTGATGAATCAAGCACGCCGTAGTCGCAGCGGTAATACATATTGCAATTGTAAATGTGCAGTTGATCAGGCCATTGTAGGTTGAGCACGCGCGCATGACGACCAGATGTCAGTCGACCTCTGTTCGTTTATGCTTTGTAGATGGAGGGTGGTGATGTGCCGAGATTATTCCCGCTCATTTCTGACTGCTGGGTACGTGGGACGTGATTCTGTGAATACTCGGGCTCAAAGTTAAGGAGGGGGACATGGAGAGACATGGATGGATGCAGTGTCTCTATTGGAGCTTTGCCAATGCCCACCACAGTCAGCCAGTCCGCCTCTGGTTCTTCGTACTCCCAATTCCCATTTCCACGTCCATCACTACGCATTTTCTCCGGTATCCATCATCTCATCCGTCCCTTCGCGCCTAAAGACTATTCACGGCAAGCCTTGGCACCAACAACTGTCAAGTGGATCAATCGTTGATCCCGCCTTCTTTACGTCGTGGCCAAATTGCGCTGTTTGGACTCTGCAACAGAGCAGCGTCTGGCATCTGGCTTTTAACGTCTGGCAGCGACTTTCGACAGAATCGACGAGCACGAGACGGACTAACATTGAAACATTCGACCTTGCACCTTGATTTACAAAATACAGACCGGCTCTCTCGAGTCTCCAGCCTACCCACCTCGGCCCACTCCGCCTGCAGCCGCAGCCTCGCGCGTCCAAAGCCTCATCCCAACTCTGGATGCCTCATCCATCCCAAGCTTGGCGATTCTCCTCATCTGGAGTGATCCGACGAGCCAACTAGTTGGTACGCAGGCAGGCAGGTTCTGTCTTCTGCTTCCCCAGGTGACCGAAGCCTTGGGGGCCATTCTACGATCTCCACCTCCGTTCCGAACAAGGCACCCCGGACGTCGCACACCGACTGCCCAACGCCCTTTCACAACCACCGATACAATACTGGCGCTGGCTCCTGTCCTCCTTTCTTTTCCTGTACATTTTTCTCTTCTCGGCTTTCCAAGCGGCGGAACACATCAGCTGAATCCCAGCCCTGGTGCTCTTGTCGCGCAGGGTTGACGCGTAATCAAGGCATGCAATCAGCCAAGGGGAAGGCTGACGTGCAGGGGCGCAAGGCCAAGGTACGGACCATCATGTTTGGCACAATTGCAAGCCCGCTTTACCAACAATCGAATGCCCTTCAAGGTAATCGCGAGAAGCTAACCTTCTTTCCCTCTGCTCAGTTGGCCAATTCATACCAGCAGTTGTTGGAGTAAGTAGCTATCAGCCTTTCCGAGTTTGCCCCTTTTGTGAAGGAGATTGTCATCATCACCATCTCACATGCTGTTGACCGGTGCTAACAAACATGTTTTGTCCAGCGAATTCTCCAGCAGCGAGCTGAAATCCGTTGGAAATTATACCCTCGGCCGATTAATAGGAAAGGGATCATTCGGAAAAGTTTATCTTGCGACACATAAGCTCACCAATGGGTCGAAGGTATGACCTGTGGTACACTGTCCTGTGCCGCATGCCACGGCGACTAGCATTCACGTGTTAGTTTGGCTGAAACTGACTGTCTCTGCTTGATATGACAGGTTGTTTTAAAATCCGCGCACAAGGACGATGCCAACCTTGCTCGCGAAATTCACCACCACCGACAATTTGTTCACCCGCACATTGCGCGGCTATACGAGGTCATTGTGACGGAAAACTTGGTGTGGCTCGTGCTCGAATATTGCTCTGGTATGTAATTCGTCGGCGGTAGGCGGAAATTGGTCTACATATCACGGCTGACTTGGCTAAGGTGACGAATTGTACAACCATCTCCTCCAACATGGACCACTCCCCGTGGCCAAAGTACAAAAGATATTTTGCCAGCTTGTCGGGGCTGTATCGTACGTCCACTTGCAGTCATGTGTCCATCGCGATTTGAAACTCGAAAATATCCTGCTCGATAGAAACGAAAACGTTAAACTCGTCGACTTTGGCTTCACGCGAGAGTACGAAGGTCGCACCAATTATCTGCAAACTTTCTGCGGTACAATATGCTACGCAGCACCCGAGATGCTCAAGGGGGAGAAATATGCCGGCGAAAAGGTAGATGTTTGGAGTTTGGGAATTATATTATACGCGCTGCTCTGCGGGGAATTGCCCTTCGACGACGACGACGACAACATTACACGAACAAGAATATTGTCCGAGGAACCAAAGTACCCCGACCACCTTACTTCGGATGCTATTTCCTTACTCAAGCTCCTCCTTTCAAAACGACCCCTTCCTCGACCGGCATTTCCTGATATACTAGCACACCCCTTCCTTGTAGAATATGCTCCTGCACAACAAGCAATTCTCGACGTCAAGGCACACTCCCCGTTTTCCACGGCTTTAGAAAAGGACTGCCTGGAGCGTATGCGAAGTGCCGGGGTCGACATTGATGCGGTAATCGAAAGTGTCTTGGCGCAAAAATGCGATGCATTGGCCGGCTGGTGGACGTTACTATTGGAGAAGGAGGAACGGAAGATGTTGAGGAGGGATCGAAAACGACAAGAAAAGGAGCTAGAGAGGAGCCTGCGAAGGCTATCTGCCGCCTCGAGCCGACTTGACCGCATGACGCCGATTTTGCAGGATGTGGACGAGGATGCAGGCCTGACAAGCCAGTTTATTAGACTCGGTGAACATGGCTCCAGAAGAGGAAGGCCAGAACGAAGGAGCACAAATTACCATGGCGATTTTACAGTGACAGACTTGCCATTGCTTCCAGAGTCTGGCCGACCTCACAATGACATTCCGCCGACACCAGTTGACAAGGACTCAATTCGGTCTGCATCCACTTCACGGCACCGTCGACCCATCCCACCACCGAAGGAAGGCGTGATTCGCAGCGCCAGGTCCCGTGGATCTACATTGCATTTGGTAACAACTTCGGATACGCTTGGCATCAGAAGCAATGGCAGTGCCGCGCAAAATACTCAACAAAATGGGCAGCAAAAGACGAAGAAGAAGCCCAGTCAAGCTATTATTGCCCACTGGAAGAACCTGTCACATTGGTTTATTGAAAATGCGACGAAGCGGAGAAAGGGCCACGAAAGGCGAACGAGTCGAAGCACGCCTAACTTACATCTGAAGGATAGCTCTGGTAACAGCGGTGGCAAAGATGTCAGCCCAAGACCTCAGACAAGCAAGTACCCGACTACAAGTTCTGTTGATAGCGGCCACCCAACAGCATCATTGCCAAAAGGTGTCGTGGCAAATGGCTTGACCAAAGGAGGACCGGTTAATGGCCAAGCCAATGTTCCCACCAGAACTCCCTCAGGCTCATCTTTCCCCCCTTCGGCTCACATACAACCTCTCCGGCCACGAGTAGCGAATTCTTCATCCTACAAGCGCCAGTCGTTGTCTCCCGCCCCTGTTACTCCTCGATCTGCTATGCGTCGATCTTCTGCCGGCTTGCGAGGAAGAAAGTCCACCTCGTCATCTGTGTCTTCCATTCGATCTATGCATCACCACCGTCACTCGCATTCCAAGGCTTCATCAACTAGCTCAGCCGGCTCCGTCTCGACGTCGAAAACTCCTCTTGGACGCGGACAGTCTCCTCATCATTCCGTCAAGGTGCTGCCGGCTACGCCGACGGCCAACTCGTTTCCCTCCAACATTCGTCTTGTTCGAGGGTCTCCAGCTCCGCCTCCGTTGCGTATTTACGATGAAGGAATGCCGAGCGGCAACCAACAACCGCCTCCTGGTTCACCAAATCCCTTTTCTTCCGGGGTGCTATTTGCCAAGCGAAAGAGAAACATCTTCAAGGGGCCGTCGTTGAACTTTGGCAGCGGTGGCCATCACATCAGCCGTAACGCAAACTCAGGATCTCATTCGCGCAGTGGAAGCGGTTCCGCGCTGGGTCGGCGATCGGGAGAAATCACCATTCAGGAAGAAGATGAGGAGCCCGTCGTCGAGGAGGACGAAGAAGAGGAGGATGAGTTTGAAGAAGTCGAGTCTTTCCAGCCTATTGTCGGGAGACCAGGCGAGATTATCGAAGAGCAGATTCTCGAAGACGAGCCGTTGCAGTTGGCCGATGCCGAGAGCCCATCAGCCGAAAATGCACCCGCAACGGCAAAAGTAGACGCAGCCAAGTCGTAACTTGAAGCGCTTGGCTTGGGCTTGGTGGCTGTCAGAAGTGGACGGCCATCGTTATTTTTCCTGACTTTTACGACCCAACTATATATATTCCTTGGGAAGCATTTGCGCTGCTTCTCAGATATATTTCATGCCTGTATTTCGTTTTTGTTAGGTTGCATTTGGGATGGAGAATTGTGCATGTAGCTTGGAGGAATATACCCATGTACGGCTATGGATACCATGAATGTATTTTACATGATGAAAATTGTCTCATCGACTATTATTTAATTTGTCCACTTGATTGGGGGAACTCTATCGTGTGAAGTTGTTGTCTGGCACCTGCATACCTGTCCGTCACCGGCACAATCCACAATTCTCAACGGGATACAGCAACTTTCTACATGCCGTGCAGGTGACGTCACAGGCTACAAAATGTGTACATGATAACGTGTCGTAAATTGGGTATAATCCTACGCCGGCCCTGGGCATTAATATCCAACACCACCCACCCCCTCTGGCCGTAGCCAGGAAATATCAAACAGGATTCCTCCGCCCCCCGAATCATAGACCGTCATTCCTCGTGCGTGCGTCTCTTGGCCGCAGCACCCGTTCTCATCCTCTCCACCACGCCGGCCTTTTCCTCCCTCAGCGTAACCCATACCCAAAACCAGGCAATCATCTCAATGAACACAAATGTGAAGAAGACGCGGTTCTTGAGACCGTCACCGCCCCACGAGGCGGCCGAGTATGAAGCGTTGTAACCGCCGCGGGTGCGGTGCGTTGCGCCGCCGTAGAGAGGGGATGACGGGCCGAACGTGTAGGTGTAGAAGGTGAGTGTCATGGAGAGGAAGGCTCGCATGGGGGCTGGGAATCCGTTAGCAACTCCTTGGTGTGAGTACGGTTGGCGGGAAAGAGTACCTTGTGTTCCCCAGTAGTACAGGGAGCCTAGCTCCTCGGGCATACCCAGCGAGAGGAGGTCGCTGAAGCCAAAGAAGGCGAGGACGACGGCTAGAAAGCTGAGGGTGTGGGATTGTGCGTCGAAGCCGCGCGCAAAGGGCTATTGTTGTTAGCCGTGTTTTGTTGGTTTTGGGGATGGAGAGATTGGGTAGCCGTGGTTGCTTACGATTCCCATGCTTTGGCCGAGGACTTGGACGAGGATTTGGTCGTTGATAGTGCTGGGATTTGTGAGGAAGAAGAAGCCCAGGGTGATGTGGAAGAGCGATATGGACGTGATGAGGGTTTGGGATGTTATGAGAGCCATGGCGGTGGGTGTGATGGGTTGTTGATTGTTGGTTTTGGACGGTAGCCGAATGGTGAGTTTGCTAGTTGCTTGGCAAGATGGAAGAGTATTTGGTCAGTGCTGCGATGGGGGCCGGCTGTAGAGACGGGGCGTTTGCAAAGGCGAGTCGCAGTGTAAATGGTTAATAACTATAGAATAGTCGAAACGGTCGTCTGAAGCGACATGGGACGAGGACACGTTTTTGAATGTTTCAGAATCGCAGAACGGGAAACAGAGGCTGGAAGAACCAACGATGCGTAGCCTACGGAGTAGAAGAAAAGTAAAGTCTGGTCCTGGTAAGCTTGGGAAGCTGGTCGCTTTGTCGAATGATGGACTTCGGGCGCAGAGTCACACGGCCTTCAGATGCAGCTGGCTTTGCGACCAGCGTCACTGGGGTCCGGTGGTTGAGGATGCGACACGTATTTTGGTCGACGTGTAGAGTCTGGACAGGGGTAGTCGGTAGAGAGGGACTGGAATGTAGGGGCGTGGCTTGGACGTGGTACAAGAAACGGTGTGGCGTTGAGCTTGTTGGATGTTTTTACAAAGAAAAAAAAGGTGGACTCGGTGGAGGAAGGCATACATACGGAGTACCTACCAGACGGTAGCTGCAGGTGACGTTGGAGCTTGAGCTTTGCCGGAAGCCTGGTGGGGGTGGGGAAGGGGTCCTGAGCCCTTCATCAGCCCTCGTTCAAGCACCATCATCTTCAACGTCCGCGATGCTGCATGCAGAGGGATTGACATGATGTTCATATCTGCTAGGCAACAAGACTACTCAAAGTAGACAATTGCACCTGGCGCCCAGCACCATGGCGTCTCTCGACAAGCCACGGCATGTCAAGTACTGGCAACGCTGCTTCACCAGCTATCTCCCTTCGGCATACACAACCAACGACTCCACCCGCCTTACATTCGCATTCTTCATTGTCTCGGCCCTCGATTTGCTTTCTGTGCCATTCACCTCGAAGGAGCGCTCATCCATTCGTTCCTGGGTGCTGAGCCTGCAGCATCCCGACGGCGGTTTCTGCGGCAGCCCAACCCATGTCATGTCAGGGCAAGATGCGACAAAGGGGTCAGCAAACCTGGCTACAACTTTCTTCGCCCTACTCTTGTTAGGCGTTGCCGCCGGAACAGACGACGAGGCAAGAGCGGCTTTTACAGGCGTACAGCGGCGCAAACTTCTCCGGTGGGTGACGAAATTGCAGAGACCGGACGGGAGTTTTGGCCAGGTATTGTGGGAGGGAGAGGCTGTGGGAGGGAGAGATACCCGTCATAGCTACCTGGCGAGTGCAATTAGGTGGATGCTCCGTGGGGAAGGGGATGAGGAGGATATTGACGTTGAGAGGATGGTTGATCACATACGACATACGCAGGTAGGTTTTTACATGACATTCGACATGAATTGGGAGCTAATTGCGAGGAGACGTACGATGGTGGCGCGGCAGAGTTATCGCAACACGAGTCTCACGGTATGTAAGATGACACCCTTTTCGATTATAAATAAATGCTAATAGGAGAAGCCGGCTATGCCTACTGCGCGATCGCAGCATTATACATGCTCGATCGCCCCGCATCATCAACAGCGCCACATAAAAGCGAAGCCGTCGGCAAAGGGGTACCAGATCGCGATGCGTTGATTCACTTTCTTGTTCACAGACAGTTCAACTACCTCGTTGAGCAAGAGCAAGATGAGTCTGACGAGGGAGATGCGAATTACGTGCAGGCCAAACTTGGCGATCTGAGCTTGTCACATCACTGCGCCCACGTGGGATATAATGGGCGGTGGAATAAAAAGGCGGATACTTGCTATTGTTGGTGGGTTGCCGGGACCCTTGCGGTAAGTAGATGGTGGTTGGTATCACGAGTGGTAATGAGCTTTGCTGATGGTGAGTAGATGGTGGACAGTTTTCACGCCGTCAACATCCCCCCTTCTAGGCAGTACCTTTTGGATGTCACACAACATCGAATAGGCGGCTTTTCGAAACATGCCGGCGGGCCGCCTGATTTGTATCATTCGTATCTGGGATTAGCGGCGCTGGCGCTGATGGGTGACACTGACTTGAAGGAGTTTGATGTCGGGCTGTGTTGCAGCAAGGAGACGGTGCGGAAGATTGAGTTGGCAAGGGCTGGCTTATTCGGGAACAGGAAGGGTGACTTTGACGGCGATGGATTTTGGGAGAGTATTAAAAAGGCGGATTAATTTCGTATTCGAAGACGTGGTAAATTGACCTCGTGGCACACTGGTCACTTACGTGATTTGGTACTGTGGATGTTTATTGTACTCCGTACTGTGCGAATGATACCGGGCTCCGCCGTTGCCGATATTTTGCCGTGGAATGACTTCATGCCAATGCAGAGTCTGGAAATCATCCCAACCACACCACCCGACATGTCAGACTCAGCACCCCCGGCGTCCGAAAAGGACCCGTGGAACATCAAGAGCAAAGAGAAATTCGAGACGTATGCCGCATATGCCGATACAACATAACGCCGCATTGACTGACGAAATACAGGAAATCCAAGTCCGAGTTCTACGATCCGTGCCAAGAGGCAGCGCAGCGAAGTTATAAATGTTTATATCGGAACGGGGGGGATAAATCTATGTGCGGAGAGTATTTTCAGTATGTCCTGTCCCATGAAATTAGGGTCGACGCGTGCTGACAGTTGTAGGGCGTATCGGGACTGCAAGGCTGCCTGGGTACGTATGGCCCATGTTCAAGATTGCGGGTGTGCCGCAGACGAGACTATATGATGGACTAATTGTTGATGATTGGTAGACCGAGAGGCGAAAGAAGGAACGCGGGGGCATCTTTGGATGATCTGGGTTTGGATGACATCAAGATGTGACTACAGGAGATTGACCCATCCTTAATATTTGATGTGAGGAGTGCCGAGCTCGCCAATGGCGGCTGCATACAGCCACAGGGAGTTAGTTGGCATTCTTTCCAGCCATGATGGAATAGTGTCAATGTACGGAGCAATCATGTATATTATTGTGTGATTAGGAAGGGGGTTGGTGAAGAACGATGCTGGGGGCTTTCTGGAAGGGCGTTGTGTGGCTGCGTAAAAGGGTGCGACAGACTTGTATACCAATTCCCCTACCTATTATGGAAGAACATTCATAAACAAAATCATGTGTCTCAGGTTCTTCAAATGCCACGGCGCAAACAGCATCTGACAAGAGTGCCGCATGTACGCACAGTGCATGTACTGTACTAAGAACTCCTGTAGCCCCTCCAAAAGCTGCCCCGCCAAATTTTATGTGAACAACCAGCCTTTGAATCCTCAACTATCGCCCTCGTGCCCGAAAAGCACACGGCTTCCCATATGCAATGAGTCGTCAACGCCCCCGTTTGAGAAACGGGGTCGATATCCAGCTTCAATCTGCTTTTCAGGATGGCAACTGGTCTGTGGCTATGAGACTGGCCTCTCAACGAGCGCGCACTTTCAACGACCAGTACTTTGATGTGAGAGATCCAGGAGAATACAGTGGCCGCAAGCGATAGCTTTCCTTGAAGCCTTAGAACTAACTTGGATTGAAGATTGTAAAAGTATGCGCCGAGAGCCAGTTGGACGACCCTAACGCCAAGTTTGCCGCCGTTGCAGCTGTGGACAAGTTTGTCAGGGATGGGACGGTGGTAAAGGATGTGGATGGCATTGACTTGTTGGAGTGGGCGACATTAGACCTGATTCCAGAAGATGCATTTCCAGAGACGATTGGGCCATTGAGGGTAAGGGCTGTCAAAGCGGCGCCCAAGGATAAAATTGCGGCCACGAGGTGTTTGCAGTCGTGTCTGTTGCATTGGGACTTGGTTAGCGCTCAGCAAGTATGTCATGCCCACGAAGATTCCAGTCACGGTGTGAAGCTAACGGCTTAGATTGCGGCCATTATCGATAGATCATTTTCCCAAGAGAGGGACTTTATGTTTTGGAACATTGTTATCACTCACATGCTAGCTGTAGGTTGACGGGATCACAGGCGTTTTATACAATTGCTGACTGTGACCACAGACGAGCAGTCAATCTCCCCCGGAGAAAAAAAAGTTGTATGGAATGCTCGCACAAAGGCAAATACAGCGTGCGGCTCAACTCGCTGAACAGGCGCATGCATCTGAGTCAAAAGAAGCGCCCGCGCGAGGCATTAAAACCGAGGAGGAGATTCTACTGTTGTACGATATTGTTGAAACGCACGGAACGGCGGACGATGTGAAAACGCTCATTGAAAGCCCTTTATTTTCTCCCATTGCCCAATTTCGACTTGGAAGAAAGGAGCTTTTCCAGCGAACGGCAGCAAATTACCGCAAGCAACAAGATTGGGAGGCACTGTGCAATCTTTGCGAATCATGCTTGTCACACACAGACGAGAATGGGGAGTTGTCGCTATTGGCCTGTGACTGGCTGGTGTGGAAGAACTTTATTGAAGGCGCATCTTATCTTAAGAGCTGCAACACAGAGTAAGTCTGTTCCTGCTGCCACCCGTTGATTGAGGAGGCTGACGTTGAGAAGAATCGTGGAACGGTTAAAAAGCTTGTTGCTTAGGCTGGCGCGGTCCAGTGGTCTGAAACCTATTTACAAGCGAAATATACTTTTGGCTCGTGTTTCCAGCGCTTTCAAGCTACAAACGCATGACGATGACGACATGAAAGATGATCAACCCTTTTCGCTACGATTGAGGGAGTTGCTCAACTATATCCAGGATCAGAAGTCAAGCGCTGCGTGCTTTGACGATGTTAAGGAGTTCTTGGAGCAGCTGGACATCTCGGGCCTGAAGCACGTTGCGTACACTTACGTCGCTCAGTTGATACAATCTGTTGACGACCCCATAAAGCGCGCCAGGGTTAGTCTGCTCTCTCTGAAGACACAGTACTTGCTTTCAACTTGTCCAATTGGACGAGTGCCAATCGCCGGGGAGAAACCCAGTTCAAAATGCTTGGTTTGCAATGCCAAGTTTGAGTCAGAGTCGTGTCCGACCTGCTTGACAAAGATATCCGAGGAGGCGTTAGCCGCATATAAGTCCGCAAGTAAAGACTTTGGCGAGAATCCTGTCATCCAGAACGAAATTTTGCCTGAACTCTCCGTTGCCGTTGCATTTTGTAATGTCAAATTGACTTTTCGTAGTCGACCTGGGTACATTCCCTCATCCCCACCTGTTTCTCAGCATCTCTTGCGGGCGCTGTTCATTCTCGAGCACCAAGCTTTTCTCACGCCCAAACACAGCCAGATTTCTCTTCTACTGGTGCAGCTACACCTTCTCCTGGGGTCGGCGCACAGGTCCCGCGAAGCCTGGCATGGTCTGGCGGTAAAGAGAACCATTGTGGACTCGCTTGCGCCCATATTTTATGATCGCTTATCGACTGTATCGCCAATTATTTTAGACTCATCCGATAGCTGGGGCTGGGAGCTTGTTGAGACCCTGAGGTCTCATTATGTCAATTCGCTGAAGCTAAAGATGCCAAGGCGGCTAATTGATGCGTTCGAAGAAGCTAGCTATGGGAGCATCATTGACATGCCCAAATACATTGAGAACCTGAGATCTGGTTGTACGAGGGCTATGAGTCTGGTTGAGGAGGTTCGAGCAGATAGACTGCTTGGCGAGCCCTGTGGCGAGTTTTTGAACGATGCTCGGTTTTGTAAGTTTTTGTGTTGGATTTCGCCCCGGGCTGTGCTAATTTTTTTTCTCTTTTGACACACTCAGACGAAGTCCCTGATGACCTGGTACTGAGAAATGTTGTTGACCACGGATCATTTCCGTCGTGGGACTGTTACTCATCGCGACCGGTTTACGAGCGACTCCGTCTTGGCCCCGGCCCTTCTGTGAGTATACACCGATTTTCTCATGTCGGCCAGTTGCTAATGATGTAGAATACTCGATGTCACCTGGCACTCCTCGCCGAAGCCTTTCAGGATATCCTGTCATACCGGCCTCCAACAGTCTACAAGGCTACCGCAGCGGTAATGGGCATCGACAATACCTTTGTCATTGAAATGATGTGCCGAATTGGCAATTCCATGTCGAAATTTGTGCACAAGGCGTCGGGCAATTGCACCTCAAGCGAGATGCTTTACTACGAGGCTGTCAATGTGCTGGCCACATTGATTCCGCTGTGCGTAGGCATCGACAAGTCAGCACCGCTTTCAGACATCTTCAGCCAAATCACCGAGGCTGTCAAGGCGGCGATAACAACGCAGCTCGACGAGCTGCCCAAGCTTGACGGCACTGTCGCACAGACTGTATCAGCGCTGCGGTCGTTCCACGAGGTAACAATGCTTCGCGACACCGCCATGGCTGCCAAGTTGACTGCGCAATGGATTTTGTCGTTTAACGAGCGAGAAAAGGAACGCGATCGATCAGGGAGCAGCAATTTGCCGAAAGAAGTAGTATCGCAAGTCAAGGGACTGCAAGCTGCTGCAGAGGCAGGCTTGAAGGATGGCAAGTCGCTGATTGCTCAATTGAAGCAGGAGGTGGGCACCGGAAGCGAATTTGTTGGAAAATTACGGCCTTGGGTATTCGAAGACGGCGCCGGGGAATTGAATGACTTGGTGGAGGACGGCACTTTGAAGGAAGTAGTTGAGAGCTGGAGACAAAATCTTGCCGGTTGGGGCCAGGTAAAATGGACATGAATTAAAAATTACGTTTTAGAGTTTGGGTATATCGTTTGTAGCAGCAACCAAGTGTCTCGATTTACCACGAACTTCCGACCGGCCAGGTACGAGTTACGAGATGTACGCATCCGGGCTGGAAGAAGCTGCTTGCGATGGCCCAGGGCAAGCCCCCAACATCGCATGAGGGTGGCGATGACGACTTCCAAACACTGGCGATTAAATGTGTCGTCGCGGACTTGGGCATTCTGTAATACTTGACTCTGTATGTCTTGCCGGATGATGGTAAACTGGTACGGAAGCCGTGATTTTTCCTGCGGTTGCCGCATGGATCCAAGGGCCGTGTTGGTTTCTTTCCAGCCTCGCGACGGTTGATGCATTGTCTCCCTTGGTAGACTGAGTGAGCTCGGTGGTAATGAGTACTTTTTTCCAAATCGTACTGCGAAAAGTAGATATGCCAAGTACAACCAAGGCTTTATAGGAAATGAAGAGTGATAAGTGGGAGGGTTACTCGCATGGCTTCATCGATCTCGCCTCTTTGACGGGCCAGACTGTGGAAAATGGCCTCAAGAGAGCCGGGCGACACCTCAGCGACGACAAGCCAAGGACTTGAACGGGAACTGTCGTGTTCGAATCCTGAATTGCTGGCGTCTATTAAATGCGTCGACTGATGAACGTCCCCTTGCCATGTGTGATTTTGAGACTGTAGACAAGTCTGATCTGCGGTCCGCGGATAGATTCTCGAGGGAGTATGTCGGTGAGATCTACTGGCACTTATTGCCACTTACCGTTTGTGACTAATACTCTTTTTCATCACTGCGTGATGAATCAAATGAAGGAGATACGTATGCATGGCATGAAATTAAGAAATCTGCGTATTGAGCGCCCTCTACCATCTTGTTCTGTTCTAAGAAGGCCCCTCATCATAGATAGTGTCTCATTCATCTTCGAAATTCATGCTCAAGAAAAGAAAATGGAGGTTGTCTAGAGAAAATGGCTTCAAAAGCACTCATCAAAGCCAGCAAGGTTACCTCGCTCTTGGCAATGGCAGTCAATCCAATGGGTCTGCCGTTGCATGCGATGTACCCAAGAGGTAGTGAACACAGCGGATGCCCTAGAAAGCATCCGTCAGCTAGAACCGGCCAACAACTAGGAGAAATAACGGCTTGACTGACCAGTTGCAGCGGAGTACTCCGTACTGGCTGAACCAGCTATCTGACGGGCCACTGATGACATTGATGTCATACTTCTCCAAAGTATCCGGGAAGATCTGTTCCATAGATCTCTGCCAGATATCTGATGATTTATCAAACGCGATGGAGCGATCGATGGGAGTTTGGTTTGGATACTTTGTCCATGGATCAGCGTTGCGAGTCGTCTTGCAGAGGCATAGGGTTGAACATGTGAGCATGGGCAGCGGGCCGCGTTTGACGTACCAGGAGGGAGAGCAAGCTCGGCGTGAGCTGTATTACAGGTCTCCAAGTCTTTTGCAGAGCGTATCACCGAAATTTGGGTGCCCTCGAGGTATTTGTTGAGGTCGGACTGGAAATCTGCCACTGTTGATGTTTCAGCGCTTCACTCATGGGCTGTGCGATCTTGTAATCCTACGACATACCCATCACTTCGACGAAAAGGTTGCCTTTGGCAAAGTTGAAATCCGAAGTAGGCCTAAGACTCGCGTCGGGGTGGTAAGCGCCCGCCAGTTTTCGAATCCGCTCATGTAGCAGATTTCTGCCAGCAAGTCAGCGTTGTACCATCGATAGAGATTGTTTGGATTCAACACGCGCTCACAATTTGATCAATTGCCTCTGGCACCAGATTCTGGAATGACTCGTCGTATCTAAACGTATCCGGGTCCAAGGTACCAACTCGGATCTCCCTCCAGCCCTCAAGACCCTTCAAGGCGGGCGTCTATCCTCCTTTATGACGGACACTCGGCTGATGACGTTTGTTACACGGAAAAGGCCCAACCGATCGTGAAGCCTAATAAAGGGACCTTACTAATACGGGACTTATTAATTACACAGCCGGGACACGTGCCCGGGCAAGAGCCCTAGGCCTAGGCGTTCCTTTTATATATATAGCGGTTATTATTCCCTTTTTCCCTCTTAGTAATTCAAGACCTAAGAGACCCTTCGAGATTAATATTGAATTGAGCCCTTTTGCTCCAAGCCCTTGTCACAACGTTGCCCGAGGGCTGCCAGCAGAACGGCGGTATCCTGGACAGTCTTGCAAACTGGGCCAGCAATATCAAAATCACCGCTGACTGGGATGATTCCTTGGTTAGGTATAGTTACAAGGGTAAGCAAGTAGTGTGCGTGTTTGAAAAGGCGAGGCAGACAAACTTGAAATACATCATTTCCTGTATTTGGTTAACATGCCAGCTTGATGTTGCAAGGAGGCGACGAACCGAAAGAGTGGTGTTGCCCAAAATGATGGCTTCGGATTGAATCAGCTAGAGACGGTGAGCAAGACGCCAGATGCTGGGTGTGACGGACCATTACATACCCTACGTGTCGACAATGGCGGCATTTTCTGCAGCAAAAGAGTCGACGAGGGCAAGGTTTCCGCCCATGTTAGTCATTCCCATGCCGAGCTCGGTACCTATATTGTCCTAGAGATTGTATATACTCCTGCTCTGTGCGTCTGTGACCAGTTTGCCAGTCCAGCGGCAAGCCATCGATTGGGGCTGTCATCCTGACTTGTAAACCAATAACAATGCAGCCGAGCCAACAATGCCTTTGACCAAGGTGTAAAGATGGATAGCCATGGGTACCCGTGGGTATCCTGGCCAGTCATGTCTGATAGTGAAGACGATGACTGGGGCTAATAGTTATAACCGCTTTACTAATAGGCACTACATGTACCTTGGGTGGTGAGAGTTTTGACTGAACAGCCGAATAGTGGAGCGTGGCACGAGTCTGGTATAAATCATAATCGATGATCTCATCAACATCAGGTTGCAGTGGGCGTCCAATGACGGCAAGGTGACGTTAAGTAACGCTCCTGACCCTGAGAATATATAGCCGCTCCCTCTTCGCAAATGGTTTCAATCCACATAAAAAGTAAAATCTCCATCACATCACTTGATAATTTTTTCTCTTCTACCCCGAGAACACATCCTTGGTCAAGAATCAAGATGCCCAAGATGGACTCTTCGACGACGCCACAACCCACCAAGGGCGGCGTGCCGACGCAAAACTCGCAACATACGACCAAGGACACCGAGGACAGTCGTGTTCCGCTGTCTGCGGAGCCGGGGGTCTACAAGGACGATGGTGTTCGGCAGGTTCCCCTCTCTGCGGAACCGGGAGTGTATAAGCACGATGACCGCAACAGCCCCAAGGAGGGTACGGCGGGGGACAAGGGCGTGAGGATAGAGAATGAAGGCAAGGGGATTACGCCCAAAGTATAATGGTGTGAAGGGAGTGTTGTTGATGTACGTCCTTGAATCTCACGAAGCAAGATGCGGGTGTGCTCGACTTTCTTTGGGGCAGTTGCTACAACTCGGGGCTGGTGTTGTATTATAACAAGGTTGTCAACTCAACTTGTATGTGGGGATCAGACTCTAAATATTATCATGAAGCAAAGCTGCGCGAAACGTCGTACTGGTAAGCACCCGCGTGCCGAGGCTATTCTGGCTCTTACATGCGCGGCTGGTCGAGAATCCATTCATGTGCATGTATATGATGAAATGGGCTCACCAACACTTTTTGAAACGAGATGATTGATGTCCAGGCTTGTCGTCATGGGAAATTTTACCAAAGCCTTTTGTTGACCAAGACTTGTTCCTCAGACAGGTGGATGGTTAGCCCAACTCCTCACCAAAGAAAGATAATCCGGGAACATGGTTAGAAATACAAACAGATGAAAAAAGTAAAATGAAAAATAAGCACCTACACGTGCCTTTTGCCTTTTTTTCTCTTCTTGTTTTTTTTTATTCTGATGGGTTGACCCAATGCCGGTAGAAGCCGAGGCAGTTGGGAAATTATCAGTTGGATATGTGCCGAGGCTATTTAATCCCAAGGCCATATATTCTGCTTATATCGCTATTATACCGGTCTTGACGCGCTTGCCGATCATTGTCTAGCCGTCGTCTCCTATCCACGGTCGGCAACATACATAGCCTGGCATCAGGCGACTACGAACACGAGACATGCCATTTCACGCACAGGGTCCAGCCTGCACCTCTGGTACATATCCCAGCATGGCTGTGGTGTATCTTATAGCACCGGGCCATTATTTCTTCACGTCTGAATCATGCGTGTTCCACTGCAGCATTCAGCAGATGAGGAACCTCTGTGGCCTGATAATTTCCGCACTGTCCATGGGCCGGCAGCTGGGGTCAAGTTTGTTCATTTGACCGGCAGACATGTCGTGGTTGCTGCCAGAATATATTACTGCAAGGGAATAAATTAATACTAGTTCGTTTATTTTCTGCTCATTCCCGAGCTTGAATGATTCGGCCGTGTGGGCGGAAACTGCCATGGTGGAGCTTCAGCTTGCGTAATTTTTGTCATTGAATCCATCGCCAAGGATGGTTAGACGATTGCATCAGCCCAGCCCGTTTGTCGCCGGGAACTGTCCGTCCAGTGCCCCCGTGCCGTATCCCTTTGAATGTGCGCAGGTCGAATGTGATTGGTGTAGCAGACCAGGATCCTAGCTAATAATAATTGCTAATAAAAATATATATAAACTTACTAAGAATTATATAATAAGATAAGTACCTGATATTTTAAGATGTATATAAATATAAAAATATACTAGCTATTTACCAGAGTTAAAAGTACCTTCAAGTATCATAAAAAGAGTGGGTTGAGTACCAAGTACATTAGTTGGACCTGCGCACATTCAAAGGGATACTACTCCGTATAACATGAATCATTGGCCAACTCTAGCATTATCTAAGCATCCATGTCGCGCGAACGCCCTGCATTCATCTGTCAACCTCGACCGTGGTGCGAATCGAACTAGCTCATGATGGAGGAGATGCAACATTTACCATGTTATACAAACCGTGGTTAACACCTGGAAACAACGTAGAACTAGTCAAGACAAAGGTAGAGGTGGAGTATTTTCGAGGAAACTAGTCATACCACTGTTCATATCGCCGGGTTGGCGATTCTAATGCAACCTCGACGCTTCCTCTATGGACCCCTGTTCAACTGTGGCTCCTATCGTCTGCCCGTCTTTCTCCTCCACGCCGTCAGTACCTATCGTTGCAAAAATTCACAACATACATCGCGTCCGCTATGTCAAGCATGAATCCAAGCCTCAGAATGAGACCATGGCATGACGTAACCCTTGTTCCCTTATTCCCTTAGCATTGTGAATAAGATGTCACAACATCACGAGAATACTCCGTACAGCACCGGCAGCTCATCCACCTCCACTCCTCGGCCCTCACAATTTCGGAATCGGTACGTTGTCGGTCAAGGCACGACGAGAATTCATGTCCCGTCAGCAGATATCGCGGCAGCGTTTGACTCGCCATGGTCAGATGTCAGAAACCCCCAGGCCTCTTTGTTGCGGACCGCCGCTCCTACGCGCACTCGTCGACTATAAAGGAGCTGCATCCGCCGTGAACAAATGAACCTCCTTTAGCAGAGACCTCAAGCAACAGCTCTTTCGAGTTTCCCTTCTTCGTCAGCTCATCCATACTTGAAGGCTGCACTTCTCTTCGCCATGCACTCCCTCGGCAAAGCGGTCGTCACGGCCCTTGGCCTTGCGGCCTCCAGCCGTGCCCTGGAAGCCGTCATTCTAGCAGACACAAACCGAGACGGACAGCTCGATGTCACGTCGGATGCTCAAGGAAAACAAGCCTGGACCGAGGAGCGCGGAGCACTATTCATGGCCAATATCGCGGATACAGATGGTCGATGTGCCGAGAAAATCACCGATACAACTCCGTTTGCCGATCTCGACAAGTGCAACGATGCTTCTGATAACGTTCTACGGAACCCCAAATTCTTGGCTCCTCTGCAAACACTCCCGAATTCTGGGCTGACCGACGCGGCCCAGGGTCGAATTACCGTTTCCGGTGACCTGGCCAAGGATAAAGTCCGAATTTTCCACAAGACCGGCAACGACTGGGCCTACGTCGATGATAGCCGAGTGTTCCAGGCTGCTGAGCTGCGTGCTGGCTTGGAGCTCGGCATTGACGCTCGGGATGTGCGCCGGCCCGGCGGATGGGATGGCAGGGTTAGAGTTCACTTCAACCTGACTGACAACGGCGAGTCCGCCGCCGACAATGTGCAGCTTCGCGTGGCTCCCGTCTTGATACACCACCACTTGCAAAAGTTGACACAGGTGTACATTGCTTCCATCAAGGACCACAGCCAGGGTACGAGGCAGTTCATCGAGAATGTGGAAAAGTACGCCAGTGACGCCGGTGCGCCCGTCGCCAAGTTCGACACGGGAAGAGATACCTGGGCGCAGGACGTGTTTGAGGTTGGGTACACGAGCATTCCCGGCCCAGACGGTCCCGTGGTCCTCCGCGTCCTCATCAGAAGCAGCCAAACAAATCAACGCGACGTGAGTGGCCGAAACGTTTACAAACAATTGCGATCTGCGTCCGTCGCCGCAGTCCAGCATCTCCCCCCCGTGGTCGACGGTCCCCTATGGGGCATCGACTCGCTGGGAAACCTCGAGACTGTCCCTCCTCACAGCCACAATGGGAAACACTATCCGAATGGACGGGCCGTCATGGGCAGCAAGCTCGGCACGAAGCCGCACATGGTTGCGTTTCTCGAGGCCCAAGAGGTCCAGCCTCCGATCGAAATCGACACCGACTGGCTACGAGTCGGCCACACGGACGAGTTCATGCAGTTCCTGCCGGCGAACAATGAACGCGGCTGGGTCATGGTTGTCGACGACCCCAAGCTTGCTCTGGACCTCTTCAAAAAGGCCCAACAGGAGGGCCACGGCGCGACGCAAGCCATGTCTCGTCCTCACATGCTCCACGATATTGAATTTTTGACGTTTAGCACCCAATTCTCGTATCTGCCCTCTGATACCATTGACGGTGTGCTTCGGCGTTGGAAGCTTGAGGAGAGGAACCTGCTTGCCGCTGCGAGAATCGAGGCCAACATTGAAATCATGAAGAGGGAGACGGGCATCACGGACGCCGACATTATTCGCATCCCCGCACTGTACTACGTGCATGGAAAGGGATGGGACGACAATAGACGCCAGTGGGGGAAGGAGAAGGGGCACAAGAGGAGCGAGCGCGAGGGTCTCATGCCCGCGTTTGGGGAGGAAGACGGGGAGGCTCGGCTGGACCGCCGCCAGGCCGAGAAGCCCGAGAACCTGCTCGTTGCCTTTCATCCTGCCGTTATCAACGGCGTCGTGTTCAATAACGGCCAGTACTTGGCGCCTAATCCGTGGGGGCCGGTCATTGACGGATCCGATATCCTTGCGGCGGCGGCGAATAAGGAGTATGCCAAGTATGGCTTCAATATTACGTATATTGATGATTGGTTTGACCACCACGCCAACGCTGGCGAGGTTCACTGCGCCACCAATGTTGCTCGTGACGCTTCCAAAAAGTGGTGGTAGGGTTTGCTTTGCCGTCTCGGGCTAGATATTTGGGTAGATACGGACATGGATATACGGGGGATGCGACTTGCGACTTGGAGCTGTTGCAAACTTGGCATGATACGCCTTCTCTTTGTTCTTGTTGTATACTGCTAGCTGTCAATATATATTTGTACCCAGTCAATATGTTTTTTTACGTGTCCAAACTTTCGACATCGAGTACCGCTGGTCTGCCGCGTGGAAGCGTTTGGGATGTTGCCTAAACCGCTGTTCAGTATTTGTGAGTGGGATCCTCGTTGTGTCTTGGCTTTGCCCATCCTGGAAGCTACATGCCGCAGTTAACGGATACTGCGCCCCCTACGATTTGGATTATATGCCGGTTCGATGTTGGAATTGGACGACATATAGCGCATTTATTTATCTTGGGCAGGTGACGCGCCAGGCTGAACTTGGCCGCGGAGCTTGGCCAATCGGTGGACAATTCAACATGGAACAAAGAAGCCGCCTCTGTCATCGAGTGAAGGTGGAGCAATGGGAAAGTGTTGAAAGGAAAAACGGAAGAATTGTGTGAGGCCTTCTCCACTTTTGGCAGAGCCGTTCAAGCAAAAAGGTAGGCGGTGGGCGAGATCTTTTTGGCTTACATGAGTCAGTCTTGGCAAAGTTGACCTTTTTTCTCCGTACAAGGCCCGCTTCGGGAGATTTTCTGCACGCCCATTTCTGCTCTCGTCGTGGCTAGTTTGCCAGTCGCCCACCGACCCGACTCTTATCTGATCAATATATACCAGACATGTATCATCATTAGCGACGGCCTACGGAACGCGAAAGCAAAGACGAGACGAAGCCTCCAAAGTGGTGCGCGGCCTCCACCAAGATCCCGCTCGGCGCCCGGCATCCCATCATCCCTGGAAAAGGGACGCCAAGTCTTGCCTTCAGCCTCATCATGCTCATGCTCCCCGCCGACTGCGTCATGCGCTGCCAGACTTTGCCAAGTCGGCATCAAGACCATCGCAGCCCGCGCCCAACTGACAGGAAAGCAATACTAGTCGGACGGGAGTGACCAAGGGCACGTTTTAGCTCTTGTCATCTTGTCCGCTCCCCGGGGCCATCTTATGCAAACAACGTGGTTGCGGTTTGATGTGCGACAGACGCGGGCATCTTGCGTCATGCAGCAAGTCCCCGGCCAAATAAATATTAAACAGGGGTTATACTGTATTAACATTATCCAGATGTCAATCCTGCTGCAGTGCTGCAGTCTCTTGGTGTCAATGGTGGGCTTGGCCAGAGTCCTCCACGCAGCCCTGTAATTTCCACGCGTCATGTTTCGGGCCACATAGATCCTTGCGCATGACGGCGGCACTGCAATCAAGTCGATCTGATCCAGCATGAAAAATGCATAAAACTAAGCGCATAAAGGCTCAATGGTCTGGTGCCTGGAGTCTCGGAACCCGCGCTGACTGGCTCCAGCTTCCTAAACCGGCCGCGCCGATCTACAGAGCCACCCTCGGCACATCACCAGGGCACGTTCTCTCTCCACCGAGCCAGTTTTGTCATGAAGCATCAATCAAGGCCAAGATGCAGGCTGACTAAATCACACGGCCAGCTAGTACGCGTACTGCTCGGCGCCCTGGGGCCATGCCGCTGCGCATTGATAATCAGGCTCCGTACCCATGACTCGAGCCTCAAGCCGGCTCTCTCTATATATACGTATATACGCATCGTCCGTAGTGTTGGTGACTGCAATACAACCCCAAGAGTTACGGCGAGTACTAGTCTTTTGAGTTTCAAAGTTTGTTCCTCCTCCCCCGCCGTGCCCTTTGTTTCCGACCACCGCCCAAGATGCGTATCCAAGCCGGAGTTGTATCCCTCTTGGCCTCGAGTGCCCTTGCCGCCCGGCCATTCCTCAACGAGCCAGACACTGGCATTGAAGATATACTGAAGTGCTCGTCCAACGGCACCCTGCCTGACATCAAGGCCATCGTCGGCCTGCCCGACTTTGAATACGTCGCCAGAAAGTACTTGCCCACCAGAAACTTCACCTACTACCGCAATGGCGCCGCCGGAGAGTACTCGTATCGCAACAACCTCGAGGTTTACCGCCGTTACCGTCTTCGCCCACGTGTGCTGGTAGATATTTCCAATATTGAGTCTACTCTTTCGTACGTTGTCGCGTAGAAGACACCCAAACCAAAGAGAACCACCATCTGATATAATAACCGTAGAACTACCATCCTGGGCCACAACTTTTCCGCGCCCTTCTTCATTAGCCCCTGCGCTCGAGCAGATTACGCACACGCCGAAGCTGAAATCAACTTTGTCAAGGGTGCTGCCGCCGGCAACATTCTTTACATGGTACAGATGCCATTGCCCATCATGTTCTAGTGAATAAAGACATGTGCTGATTGTCCATCTCCCCAAAACAGCCTGCATTGTTCGCACAGCGTTCGATTGAGGATATTGCTGCTGCCAAGAAACCAGGCCAGGTCCTGTTCCAGCAGGTATGTTTGGACATTCTGCCCAGTTTCCCCCATTCTGATACTAACCATGCATCTCCGCCAGCTGTACCTGGAATCCAATGAAACCTTCAACAAGGATCTCTTCGAAAGGACCGAAAAGGCTGGTGCAAAGGCCATCATTTTCACAGTCGACTCTGCCGCAGACGGAAACCGACACCGCGCGGCAAGATTCGGAGTAGGCTCCGCGTAAGTAAACCCCCTACTACGGGTGCGCATCCGGCGCCATACTCGTCAAGACATGTTCTAACCATGGCAAACAGAGACTCGTCGTATTCTGCCTTTAGCGTAAGTAGAGTTGAGCTGAAGCGGCCCCCGGTTCCGAGTGTAGAAAGCGCAACGTGCAGCTAACAAGAACCGTTACAGTGGACCTTTTACGAGCAGCTCAGAAACCAGACCAAGCTGCCCATCATTCTCAAGGGCGTCATGACCGTCGAAGACGCCCAGGAGGCCGTCAAGCGAAAGGTCCCGGCCATCATCCTGTCCAACCACGGCGGCCGACAGCTCGACGGGTCCCCGTCCGCCCTCGAGGTTGCGCTCGAGATTTACGAAAAGGACCCGGAGCTGTTCAAGAAGATCGAGGTGCTCGCCGACGGTGGCATCCGCTACGGCGTCGACGCCATCATGCTCCTGTCTCTTGGTGTCAAGGCCGTCGGCCTGGGTCGCCCGTTTATGTATTCCAACATTTACGGCCAGGCAGGTGTGGAGAAGGTCATCCAGATTATGAAGCACGAGATAGCTATTGACGCTGGAAACATGGGAATTGCCGACCTGAAGAAGGTCAGCCCGGATTTTGTAAGTGGTTCCATTTCCTCGTTTTTGAGCTGCGTCTAATGAAGGATTCAAGGTCGAGTGGAAGAAGCCTAACGGATGGGCCATGTAAACATCTACGAATGACTGGACAAGACTTTTGGTGTTTTTTGTTTCCATTGTTGGTGCAAGGACCGACAAGTCTGTGGATTCATGGCTGGCCATGACTAGCTCTGCTGCTTTTGAGTGATTCTTGAGCTGTGTTTGCTTGGGTAGCTCGTGGAAACTTGGTGTGGTCGCATCGCCTGGCGAAGAATCATGATTATGGGAGACTTGTAGTTTTTTGGCTTCATTGTATATCTCTCACCAAAGAGCGTTTTTTTCTTCAGTCAAAATGGATGAATAGAGCATAGACTTTTGTGGTTTTGGCAAATTGGCTTGACCTGTGGTGAACTTTTGCGGGAATTGGGCGACGTCTTTGATTTAACGTGACTAAACGTGGTTCGTACAACTCCCGACGATGAGCATGTAGTTGGCTGGATATCCGGAGACCTTTTGCTTCTTGATTTGCTTCCACGATGTAGGCGCCTATTCTACTGGTGTCGGAGAATGACTAGCCCTTTAAGGCGTGGACCGCGGCACGCGCCTCGAGGGGATGAAAATCCGCAAAGCCCTCGTACCGTGATAGCGGGCAATTACGAAGGATCGTGTTTGAATTTTCAAAAACCACTTGACACCGAGATATAGACCATTCGGGTCCTTTGGAGGCCATTGCGTGCCTGTTGGCGGCACTCTGGCAGTGATGTGGTGTCTCGTGTTAGCGGCTCATGCAAAGGCATGCTGAAACCGTGAAAAATATAATCGCCGATAAGGTTTGAGACCGGATGGCGGGATTGGGCTTGTTTCATGCCATCCTAAGTAATGGCCGTCTTGATTGTCCCGAGCGACGGTGTGTGTCATGGCCCGGCCCGGCCCGGGAAGATGACTCAGTTTAGTTGACATCTATACTGCTAACAGAGACCAGAACTTGGACCTTGCTCGTGTTCTTGGAGCGTCGTAGCCTTTGCAACTTTATACGCTGGTTGTAGTGTTCCTAGATCTGTCAACTGCTCTTCTCATGGTTGTACACTTGCTGACATTGGCTGAAGCCATCAAATCTGACCGCTGCGCGGCATATTTTAATTTCTCGCCGACTAAAAATTTCCAGGACATACAAGTACAGATGCCGAATCATGATTTAATCAAATCCAAATATTATCTGGTGGTTCTGAGAACTGTACGCAAGCTGTTGTCCTGGGGCGACACTAGGACTGCTACTTGTGTTACACGATTGGCACACAACAAAGGGCGTTGGGCCAACGAATTGAAGTTACACAACAACAAAAGCAAAGGTCACGAGGCCCGAAGTCGGTCTCTGGCGAGGGTTGCCTCAGGCACAAGCTCTCACCGACTTCTTGTATTTATAGGGGCCTTCTGTCCCTCCTAAACTTGTGCAAAACCAAGGACCTTTGATATCCTACAGTCGATTATTATAGTCTGAATAGAACACTACGTTCTGAGCCCAGATACCCTGCCCTTGTCGAGTGGTTAAGACGGCGTTCAAATTCAATTTAATAACCGACTTTAGGATATTGAAGGTCCTTAGTTTTTCAAAAGCCTTCAGGAACCGGAGTTATCTATAAATACAAGAAGTTGATGGGGACTAGTGCCTGAGGCAGCCCTCGCTCAAGGCTCGTTTCCGGCTCTCGTGATATCTTCCTTCCCTTTAATGTTGTTGTGTAAGCTTTGCGGACGATACCTTTTCCCAGGTCCCTTTGCCGTGTGGCATACTTGAATCTTGGACAACTACGGAGTAGACATACATCAAGAACCACATAAAAATCCACCACGGCCTAAAATGTAAAAATGCACAAGACACATAATTCAAGTGGTGCCAAATATGCAGCGAAAAACGCGTTATAATGACTCAGCTTGATGTGCGTCGCTACAACAGGAAATACAGTGCACGAAACGAAATGAGACATTCAATTTATTTGCCCGAGACATGTCGGCAGGCCTTACGGCTATGGACTGTGTGACAAGCTGGTCAACTGCCAGCGAAAAGGGCAGCATTTCTCCGGGAGAAGAGAAACACTACGGAGTACTCCGTACATTCAATGTTAGCCTTCATACTTTGGGCTGCGGCTGCATGGCCGACTATCGGACTAGTAGGGAAAAGAGAATGCCTCAGCCAGTCATATTTTCGTGCTGCCCAACTGTCTCGTGTCGGCTGCAGTCAATAACCGATCTGGCCTGAAGTGCGGAGTTGCCAGCGCCTATGGTGAATTGCTATGCTGCCAGGGTGTCCTCCTTTCTCCGACAAGAGCTTTTTGGCGGGACGATCGAGGCTGGCAGCAATGGAGTGTCCATATGGCAATTGATGTTGAACATGTTTGCATAAGCCGATGTTAAGGCCGGTAATAGGCTGGCCTGGGCTTCTCGCCCGCAGTCGCCTTCTTACAGTCCAGAGGAGGTACGCGTGGCCGAGGCCGCAATGAGGGCTTTGAGGTCACTCTGCTCATGAAATGTCAATGTTCATCGGGAATACAAAAGCCTATCGAAGGGCATTTAGATGTGTGGACACTAGCATATTCCCGTGGCGCTGTCCACGCGCCAGATGTCCAAGGAAATCTGGACACTGCCGGCTATAAATGATGCCTATCGACGAGAATGATCTGCTTCAAGACACACGGGTGTACGCATTGACTTCATTTTCGGACCTCGGTAATTGGAAGTACTGTGATCAGTTGTAGATAGCTAAGATCTCGGCTGTATTCAGGATATCCAATGCTCAACAGTCAATCCTCAGGGTAAGTTGTAGAAACTACTCCTTGAGATCTCATGTCAGGACTCAACATCCGGTCGAGTTGAAGGTGAAGCTGCTCTTTCAAGACAACTTTGCGCATATTGAGCAGTCGACCTGTAAGACGCTGGTTTTGACCTGGGGCAAAAGAAAGAGTCAAGTACAACAAGCGCCAAAGGCGCCTCTGCCGTCTGTGCAACTGGGCCGTCAGAGTGGGTTTTCTGCTTCCGGAATAAGTCCTCCGCAATGAAGAAATGAGGAAAGTCGGTTGGCGGGCGAAATATATGCACTTGGACAATATAAGCTGCATGGTGCCACCAGACACTGAGACATCGCCGGCGCGCACCACTAATAGCCGGTGCCGAATCTCATCTCTTGCATAATTCAATATTTGACGACGCAGAGTGATCAAGTGATGCGCGATAAACATGTAATCCGATCTTGTGTCTCTTGTCCCGCTCGCTTTGCACCTTACTTCTCCAGTTATTCAGCTGAAGAGGGCACCCTCCCTGTTCTTAAAACGTAGGTTGAGAAGCCGGTAGACACCAGAGGAGGCTGACTCCCGGCTCCCACTGCTCCAGCAATCTCATATTTTTCTTTTCACGGTGACCAAATTCGACTCTGTCCATCTGCCCGTAAGATGGATAGTCGGCAGACAGCGGGACAGGAAAACCATCGAGCTCCCAACCATGTTCCCGCCGGCCTGCCAAAGAGTGACGAGGACGACACTTATCTGCCTCATGTGCTCTCTGAGTCGTCTCCGCTTTTGATCAAGGTTGATGATGTTGTTCAATACCAAGCAGTGGTCTGGGAGACTACCGAGGAGCTTCGAGCGGAAGCAGTCGTCGAGGCCACACCGTCTGGGGGCGTGTGCGTCACATGGAAGACGGAGGCCAAGTACATTGCCTCGTCGTCTGTGTCTCTGCTCGTCACATTCGTTCTGCAATATTCAATAAATGTCGCCAGTGTATTTTCTGCGGGCAGAATCGGCAAGGTGGAGCTGGGGGCCGTTGCTTGTGAGTTCTTCACGTTTTCCCCTTATAGCTCAAAAGTATTTTTTGGATGACATTGAATTTGCTTCCCAGTGGCAAACATGACGACGGGTGTCACCTGCTTGGCGCCATTCATGGGGCTGGCGACGAGTTTGGATACCCTGTGCGCTCAAGCATATGGAGATGGACGCAATCATCTTGTTGGCATCCAGTGTCAGCGCATGGTTATGTTTCTTTCGTGCCTGTCGCTGCCAGTGGCGGCGCTGTGGGCTTGTTCCGAAGGAATCCTCCTGCGAGTTATTGACGATGGCGAATCGGCTCGCCTCGCTAGTTTATATCTAAAGGTAATGATATCTGCCTTGCCGGGTATTGTTCTTTTTGAAGCTGCCAAGAGACTGCTTCAAGCGCAGGGCCTATTTAGGCAAACTACCTACGTTATCCTTGTATTGGCTCCTATTAATATCTTTTTAAACTGGCTGCTTGTTTGGAAGCTTGAACTGGGCTTTGTGGGTGCGCCAATAGCCGTGGCACTCTCTAGGAATCTTTTGGCTCTTCTCCTTATCCTTTATATTAAACTGGTCAACGGATATCAATGCTGGGGAGGGCTCAGTCTGAAGGCCTTCTCCAACTGGCGGCCCATGGTCTTCTTGGCATTGCCTGGCATGGTCATGGTGGCGGCAGAATGGCTCATCTTTGACATAATAACCTTCCTCTCTAGTCGATTCGGAACCGATTATCTAGCGGCGCAGAGCATTCTGGTTTCTGTCACGACTCTTATCTACCATGTGCCCTTTGCAATTTCGGTTGCGGCCTCTACCAGAGTCGCCAATTTAATAGGAGCCGGTCTTGTCGATGCTGCAAAGGCTGCGGCCAAGGTGGTCGGTTGATGTCCCAACTCACACTTTTCGCAGGAAGCTTTCTCAGCAGCGGACTAACTCAGACGTAGGCCGCTGTTGCCGCGCTCGTTATGAGCGTTCTGAACTTCTTGATATATATGATGCTGCGATATCAGATTCCGCTGCTGTTGACCCGGGACGCAAGCGTCATTATGCTTACTGCTCAAGCCATGCCTCTTGTCGCTCTTGAACAATTCTTCGATAGCCTCTGTACCGGCGCTCATGGGTTGCTACGCGGCATAGGCAAGCAATCAATTGGCGGGCCTGTCAACCTAATTGGACATTACCTAGTCTCGCTCCCGTTGTGCCTGATTTTGGGATTTCAGTACTCCTGGAAGTTGGCAGGTCTTTGGGGCGGCATAGCAGCTGGGCTCATGGTGTGAGTTATACGGTGTGTTGCGAAATGATGTTACTGACAGTTGGCTCAGCGTATCTTTGGTTGAGTACGGTTACCTGCTGACGATTGACTGGCAAGTGGCGTGTGAGGAAGCAGAGGCTAGGAATACAGCTGGTTAGAAATTGGAAAATATTCATCTAGGTCCAGTGAGCCCAACAATCCCAGCACTTTCTGAAATCGAGGCTCATAAACCCCCCTCTCGGCTGCTGAGCCTGGAAACGGAATCCAGTGAGGGAGCGGTTGGAATGGATGCCTCAATCGCAAGCATAAGCTTGTATCAATGTCGATGCAACAAACAATAGCTCGTTATTATGCTGCGGGCAAGCTGAGATGAATGAGTTCAATATCCTGCCACGCTCAAGTTCCAAATTTGTGTACTTGATTGTTGCGAAGTCTGAGTTTAGTGCTGTGTTCAAAGCCTTGCATCTGAGAAGATCAAAAATGGCGTGGAGCTGACATACAAAGATGGACTCTTTGTAAAACCAAAACCGATACCGATAGGAGTAATAACATGACGTAGACTCACGGAGTGTAGAAAGGCGAGAGATGAATTGACAGCCCTACTTCCCTCACAATGAACGGTAGAAGTTGCACATGGACGTGGACGAACCCAACAGGATTTCTCAGTACAAGAATTAAAAGGATGAAACGAAAAATGAGAATACCGGCAAAAGAAATTGGATGCCAATAAGATTTTCAGTTGGTGGGTAACAACGCTACTTGTTCGTCGAAATCACATCACCGGCTTCAAAGAAACCAGAGGCTGTTAGTCTTCGGGGGGCGCCAACAGTCATTTGTTTCATGATTGCTCAACAGCAGCAATGTTTCAAAGAGCTCCTTTTTCTCGGAACAATCCAGGCTCTCGTCGCAATTCAGAGGTCTGTTAATCTCATTCGTCAACCTGCGACGATGAAAAGCCGTTGGTGCTGAATAGGAAGTTGTACCCAAATCTCCTTGTTGCTCGCTGAACAAGCAGCCTTGGCCACTCTTAGTAAGGGTCTATCATGGAGAGTGTCATAAACCTTACATACGAGGCAAAGGTGGATCAAAGGGAGTACCAGATGAAGGTCCGACAGATCAAAAGCTTCGAGAGCAGTAAAGAATCAATTGTCTGGTGGATCATTAAACAGTGCTTGCGAAATGAACAACACTGTATGGATCAGTCAATTTTTCCGTAGCTGGCTAGAATAAGAATCGCCGGCTGCTGTGAAGTCCAGAGCGATTGAGCGGTTTGAAGCTCAGTAAAGCCCTTGAGTAAAATGAAAAAAGCTCAGATATCGAAAATCCGCTAAACAGACGATCATGGGGTGGGACGCATAGCTCAATTGATGGAGTCGGTCGGCACTGTACTGTTTTTGGACTAGCCCATGGTAGCAAAAATGCAGTGAGATTCTGCCGCACACCACCGCCCAAAAAAAAAAGTTACAGACAAGATAGCTCGCTAATACGTTAACGTTCTACCACATGGCCATCGCTTCTTGATGAACCTGGGATGTCAACGGCCATAACCTCTGGCCCGTCGCCAAGATGAATATCGCGCAACCCATATCTTCCGAGGTCGATGCTGTCGACTTTACATTTCTGTCTCCGGAGGAGATCCAAGCCATTTCTGTCAAGCGCATCGAGAATGACAGCACTTTCGACAGCCTCCTCAACCCCGTTCATGGAGGTCTCTATGACCCCGCCCTTGGATCATGGGGAGACGAACCGTGAGGCTCATTTCTCTCAATTGCCATATTTTCAATCAAACTGACAATTTTCTCCAGATGTGCGACATGTAGCCTAATTTCGTCGAGCTGCCCAGGTCATCCAGGGCACATCCAGCTACCAGCGCCAGTCTACCACCCAGTCTTTATGGACCAAGCATACCATTTACTTCGAGCGACCTGCGTGTACTGCAGGGGTTTTCGACTACCCCCAAAGGATCTCCATAAGTACATGTGCAAACTCCGCTTACTGCAACATGGCCTCATACGCGAGGCACATGTCATCGATGCTCTTGGCGAGACGGATTCGTCCGAGATGGATGAAGCACTTGGCTTAGGCGAAAGCGAGGCGGATGAAGAAAATTCGTCTTTTGACAACGTAACAAGAAAGAGGGAACAGTATGTTCAAGTGTGCCTCCGAAGTAGTGCGCTTCGACGAGGTGATACTAGGAAGGGTAAACACGAGGGCATGGCCCAGGCCCGCCGAGAAGTCATCAAACAGTTTCTCGCAGAGATAAACAAGAAAAGACAATGTGCCTCATGCGACGGCATCTCGCCCCCGTATCGAAAAGACCGATATGTAAAGATTTTCGAGAAGGCGCTCTCACCAAAGGAGCAAGTAAAAATGATTAAGAAGAATCTCTCACGGAAAGATGCAATGACGCGTCATTATGATGCCAAATTGGACCCGAAAGCTGACGTCGAAATGTCCGAGCCTGACGCAATTGTTGAGTCACTAAGCGATCAAGACGAGGAAGAACCCGATGTTGATGGCGCATCGACACAGAGATACATTAGTCCTATGGAGGTACGGGCCCGTCTGAGTGAGTTGTTCAAGAAGGAGCAAGACCTTGTGTTTCTTTTGTACAACTCGAAACCACGTACTCGACGCTCTCCCGATGTCACCCCAGACATGTTCTTTATCACGACCATCCTTGTGCCGCCGAATCGCTATCGACCTGAAGCTCGTATGGGAGACTCTCAAGTCACTGAAGCAGAGCAGAATTCGCTGTACAAGTCGATTTTACGAGGCTGTTCCAAGATAGCCCGAGTATATTCTGTCCTGAAAAGTGAAGAGCGCGTCGACATTACACAGTTGCACCAAGCCTGGACAGAGCTTCAAGAGGGAGTCAATGCACTCATTGACAAGAGCAAAAACCCTGTACAAGGCGCAGCCGCCAAACGCAACGAAGATGGAATCAAACAGAAACTGGAAAAGAAGGAGGGTCTTTTCCGAAAGAATATGATGGGTAAGCGTGTCAACTACGCTGCCAGAAGCGTCATCTCCCCCGATCCGAATATCGAGACGAATGAGATTGGCGTCCCGCCAGTTTTTGCCCAGAAACTCACCTTCCCAGAGCCCGTAACGAGCCATAATTTTAGGGATATGCAGCAGGCCGTTATCAATGGAGCCAATACATGGCCAGGGGCTGTCGCCATTGAGAACGAGAATGGTCAAGTACAGATGCTTAAAAATAAATCTGTTGATGAGCGCATATCGCTAGCCAACCAGTTGCTTGCCCCAACAAACCCTGCTGCAGTAAGGTTAAAGAACAAAAAAGTGTATCGCCATATTACGAACGGCGACGTTGTGTTGATGAATCGTCAGCCTACGTTGCATAAGCCTTCAATTATGGGCCATCGAGTTCGGGTGTTGCCAGGGGAAAAGACGATTCGCATGCATTATGCGAATTGCAACACGTACAATGCCGACTTTGACGGAGACGAAATGAATATGCACTTCCCCCAAAATGAGGTTGCTCGAGCAGAAGCACTACACATAGCGGATACCGACCATCAATATTTATCTGGAACTCAGGGAAAGCCGCTGCGGGGTCTAATCCAGGACCATATCTCGATATCTATCGCCCTATGTACTCGCGATACCTTTTTCAGCCGTGGCGACTATCATTCATTAGTTTACTCTGCAATTAGACCCGAAAGCGGCCATATTTTCGGGGAACGGATTCAGCTGGTCCCGCCTGCTATTATTAAGCCCGTGCCACGATGGACTGGGAAACAAGTCATCTCGACGATATTGAAAAACACGCAACCAATAAATTATGGTGCCCTCAATCTACGGGGAGAGTCACAGATCAAGGCAGAGCAATGGGGCACTAACTCTGAAGAAGGCACTGTGCTGATCCGAGATGGTGAATTTGTGACTGGAATTCTTGACAAATCCCAGATTGGCCAAAGCTCGGGCGGTTTAATCCATGCCATTCATGAAATTCACGGGCCCGCCATCGCTGGCAAGCTTCTCAGCGCTTTTGGCCGACTTCTAACTCGGTATCTCAACATGCGGGCTTTCTCTTGCGGTGTGGATGACTTGAAACTTACTGCCAAGGGTGAAGAAGCTCGGCGTCAAGAGCTACAGGCTATTAATCGCGTCGGCCTCGAGGTTGCGTCCAACTACGTCTCTCTCAAGGACGTTTCTGACAGCCAGAATCCGGTGCTTTTGGAACGCCTTGAGGAGGTCCTCCGTGACGACACGAAGCTAGAAGGTCTGGATCTCTTGATGAATCAATCGACAAAAGACATCACAGACAAAGTTCAAAAGGTCTGCATTCCCAACGGCCTAGAAAAGCCGTTCCCGCGAAACCAAATGCAGGCAATGACAACGTCTGGCGCAAAGGGATCCAGGGTTAACGCGTCGCTCATTTCATGTAACCTTGGGCAGCAAGTCCTAGAGAGTAGGCGAGTGCCTATTATGGTTAGTGGTAAATCACTACCTTGTTTTAAGCCCTTCGAGACTAATATCACGGCCAATGGATATATTGGTAGCCGATTTCTTACAGGCATCCGCCCGCAAGAATATTACTTCCATCACATGGCGGGACGAGAAGGACTTATTGATACAGCCGTTAAGACGTCGCGTTCCGGTTATCTACAAAGATGTGTCATCAAGGGGCTTGAAGGTCTGATGGTTGGGTACGATACAACCGTACGTGATGCGGACGGCTCTATTATCCAGTTCCTGTACGGCGAAGACGGCCTGGATGTCACAAAACAAACATACCTCAAGGACTTTGGTTTTATCCTGCGCAACTTAACGTCCGAGGTGGCCCAACTGAGATATGACCCTCAAGTGGTCAAGCGTCTAGGTGCCGATCGTGAGTTGTTTACGAAATACATGAAAAGTGCTGTGAAACACTCGAAACCTGGTGATCCAAAGGGAAGGGATCCGCTCATCAGCGCGTTTAACCCGGCAACGAATGCATTTGTCTTGTCTGAAGCCTTCTACAATGCCATGTCATCTTACCTGAAGGCGAATGCAGATGGGCTTATTCGTGAAAAGCGTGATAAGTCAGCACCAGACTCATCTAATGCACTAAACAAGAAGAACGCTGAGGTTCTGTTTGCGATGAAATACTTGCAGTCCCTGGTAGAGCCCGGGGAAGCAGTCGGTATCGTCGCAGGCCAGTCCGTGGGCGAGCCATCGACACAAATGACCCTCAACACGTTCCACTTGGCGGGACACGCGGCGAAAAACGTCACAGCAGGTATCCCTCGGCTGAGAGAAATTTTGATGACGGCCTCGAAGGATATTTCTACGCCAGCCATGTCTCTTTACCCTCGTGATAGTCTTTCCAAACAGGAAGCCGAAGCTTTTACCAACTCAATTAGTGCTCTTCCTCTATCGCATATCTTGGACAGCGTTATTGTGGAAGAAAAGGTTGGCCGTGGCAAAATATATCCTTCGGCCAAGATCTATCACATCAAACTCAAGTTCTTCCCTCCGCAGGAATATTTTGAAATGCACCATGCCAGCATATCCGATGTACTGGATGCCGTGGAGTGGAAACTACTTCACCACCTTATTAAATTGTCAAAAGCCGAATTGAAAAAGAGAGCACTGGATGCGACTGCAGCTACACCTGATATTGGAGCCAAGGTCGGGGTTGTGGAGACGGCTGCTGCATCAGGTGAAACTGTTGGTGACGATGACGATGGTGATGATGCGGGTGACGACGACTTTACCTCTGCCAAAGAACGGGCTAATCGCCTCGAAGCTGTCTCATACGGCCCAAATGATGACGCCGATGATGAAATTCAGCAGGCAATGGATGAGGATGCAGCAGCGGATGAGCTGGAAGTAGAGAGCTTGGACGGCAACCCACAGAAGGAGACGACAAGCGAGGATGAGGACGAAAGTGCCGAGCGCAAAGTAGCTGATTCGGCCAAGCCCCGAGCACAGCGTGTCATGTGCGCGTTTCCAGAGGTCACGGGATTCGAGTATGACGAAGCCGTTGGAGACGGGTGCAATGTGACGATCGAGTTTGACGCGAAGGTGCCAAAGTTCCTCATGCTCAACATTGTCCAAAGGGCTATAAAGAAGACAATGGTCCGGGAAATTCGAGGAATTGGGGCTTGCAGACTGGACGAGGAGGGTGGAGGTGGGAAGGAGCGCGTCATTCACGTTACTGGAGCCAATATCGGGGCAATTCAAAAGTACAGCGATCAAATCGACCCGGATCGAATTCAGACCAATGACATCGTGGCTGTATTATCCATGTATGGTGTTGAAGCATGTCGAAGCAATATTGTTCGAGAGCTTGCGGGCGTGTTCGGGTCCCACGGCATCAAGGTCGATAACCGGCATTTGAACCTCATCGCGGACTATATGACGAGGAATGGCGACTTTACAGCCTTCAGCCGCTTGGGTCTACAGGGTAATGTCAGCCCCTTCACCAAGATGAGCTTTGAGACGACTCTTGCCTTCCTGAAAGACGCGGTGCTGGATGGAGACTGGGACGAGCTGGCTACACCGAGCGGCCGTCTTGTGATGGGCCGACTAGGGAAGCTGGGCACTGGTAGTTTTGATGTTTTGACGAATCTTCCGACCGTCCATTTTTGATTCTTTGGCATAAGGATTCGTGGGCAAAGCAGCCGTATACCGATCTGAGGAAGTAACTTTGAGCGAGACGATGGATGATTTGAGGCGGCAGCTAGACCATGCGCGATTTGAGCATTGTAAATATCAATTGTATTACCTGTGTGTACTGGTCTTTGTGGGTAGGCAGCCATGTCTATTCACGTTCGGGTGAACCCAGCTCGTAGTTTGCACTACAAGTGAACACACCATGTGTCGACCTCCAGACCCAGTATTTGCTGCAGGGTTCCGTCCTACATTCGGAATTATGGAAGTACATTTTCGAAGATATAGAAGCGATGTTATTCGTGCATGATTGTCAATCCGTGGGAACAATTCACCGCTTTTGCAAATAAATGAAGGAGAAAGCCGTGGGTCGTCTTATCATCACGGATTCTCTATCAGTCATTTCAAGCTCATCCTATAAGACCGAGCCGTTCTGATAGAATAAGCACTATTTTGCTATTGGTACTAGCGTTTCTAGACAATTTGGCGGTTTATGTATCCATCATTCCACAACAGTGAAATGATGAGCCGCTTTGTTGTTACACGGAAATGGCTGGTTACACAAGGGCTACGGTCACGAAACCTAGGGCAAAGTCCCTCACCGACTTCTTGTATTTAAAGACGTCTTTGACCTTCAAGGCCTTGAGGAAAACCAAGGACCTTTGATACCAAAGACTGTTATTAGTTGAATTGAGCTATTGCCCCAAGCCCTCTCTGAGCCCTTGTCACATTTGTGCACAGTCTTTGAGATTGCGGAGTCCCGCCTGCAGCATGTTACTGTTGAGTTGAATATGGTCATTACAGCCGCTACGGTAACATATTCGTAGGCGTCTACAGTTTTTGCCCCGTTGCTTAGTTGGGATTTGATCCAACAGTTACAGGGTGACGACGAAAGTAAAGCAGCAACCAATTTGAATCCAAGGTTATTGGTGGGCCAAGGGGTATATTTCTTGATGACGTCCTGAACGCCTTATTATTGTATAGTTGCTACGTTGACATTTCCATACGGGAGGTACCATAAGAGTAGGTTCCAAAATGGGGCATCACCGCAAGGCACTGCTGAATTTCCTGGACCACGTTTCTCAAATCAATTTAGAAACTGAAGCCATTGTTACACGTATGCTACTGTTTCCGAAAGCTGTGAGTTGACATGATTCTTGAAAATAAGTTCTGTATAAATAATCCGCCGATCCAAGTGATAAAGCTCTTAGGCGACATGCTAAGACACGTATGACTAGAGCAAACAAATGCACCATGCTTTGAATTTTTCGCCCAATTGCCCTTTTATTTTCATAGAAATTTATTTCACGGCGATATAAACGAATTTCTTTCAATAATTTAGTATTTATATTACGACACTATAATATAAGGAGTGACAGATGTAAACAAAATAGCAGCCAAAGTATAAAAGTACACAACACGTCCCGACCAAGTCTCCTCAGCCCTTAATGTCCGTGAATAGCCTGTTGACCCTTTGTATCCGACTGCAGCGACTTATCCTTCAACGTAGGACAGCCAGGGAACTCCTTCACCTTGGCGGTCGAATGGGCCTGCAAATCTCCACGACCAGCCGTGTACTCCTCCATAGTCTTTGCCGGCAGGACAGTAGTCTCGTGATGGATGGGGGCGGCATGGTGAGTTTCGTGAATCGGAACAGTGGTGTGGATGTATTCCGGCTGGATGGTCTCCTTCTCGATGACGGGCTGGATGTGGTGGTGAACGTGGTGCTGGGTGCGCTCGCCTTCGACTACCGGTGCTGCCGTGGCCGTCTGTTTGGTGTCGTGGGTAGTTGACGTGTTGACGTAGTTTTCGGCGTCTCGCTTCAGGGCAGCTTTCACATCCTCTTTGTTGCCGTGCTCGACGGTTTTGTGCTCAACGGGAACGGTGTTGTGGGTGTGCTTCTCGGGCCTGGGTACAAACAAATGGTAAGCATTATGGTAACATGTTGAAAATCTGCTCAGGGGGTGGCACATACAATGTTTCTTTGGCTTTGATGGGCTGAATCACGGTTTGATGGTGGTCTTGGTGGACTTCGCGGTCAACAGCGGTGGTTATTTGTTCATGCTGCTCAGGAAAGACATGTTCCTCTGTGACGGGCTTTCGAACGTTCTCATCAACGGTTGTCTTGTGCTTTCCGTCCTGAGAGAGGAAGTTGGAAACTGCCTTCTTTGCTTTCTCCATTGTTTGGTAGTTGAGTTGAAGTGATTAAATGTCTGTTTTAATGCAATATTGCTGATGGTGAGCTTCAACTTTTCTTGCATGGGGAAATGTCAGGATTAAATACTTGGGTCTCATATCACTAAAGGCCTATATTGGTTCCAGTGAGTCTTGAACCGTAGGAGACTAGTAGCAACGCAACGTCAGAGGTAAACTACCCAAGAAGCTAGATGATGTGGAAACTTGGCCAATTGATGTCACAACCGGTGTCATAGGTATGATTGTTACGTATCTTGCCAGAACCCTCGAGTTACGGTGATGATGCTCGTCTTCCATGATGAATCGCCCCGTCAGCCGCGCACGATGAGTGACATCAAAATCCGACGGAGAGAGACGTCATTTTGGACTCTGCTATTCCCATTCGGGAGCTGCGATGCCTATTCTGGTCGCCAAAACCACGGTTTAGTCAACATCGGGCGCTGGCCCAACAGCTAAAGTAAGGTTTGCGCCAATGCGTATCTCGATCGATATCTAGCCAAATCCGAACCGAGCTTCCGGGCGCCGTTGAGGCACAGCAAAAGTGGAAAAGGACGTCGAAACCACTTGTGTCCTCTTGGGCGTCATCGATCGCGGATCGCAGCTGCGGCTCCAACCTGTATCGAGGTCGCCTACTGGACCCTAGGAGCAAACTAAGGTCTCTACATCGTGGAGACGATTTACATCGGCTTCTTCTGATTTAGCTCAGCTACTGATTTACAAGACATGACGACATTCGCGTTGTGCTGATGGCCGATGTTGAGGACAGGCCATGGTGAGACACAACCGCTTCCGGCGTTGTAGGCGGGACCATTGCTTCGTGACAACACCGACGCGGCCCAAGTCGAAGGACTTGACTTTTTGATGAGTTTTTGTGAGAACAACGCGTTATCTTAATTACTACGGCTGCGGTCTTGACATATGACGAATCTCAAAATGGTACGACAGGCGGGGATGTTGGACAACTCCAGGGGGAGACGGCTGACGGCAAACCACGCTGACAAGTCAACTCTCCCCCAAGTCCAATCTAATAACATGATAGGTTTCCTAGCTGCAACTAAACCCAGTTATGCTTAGAACGACGTTCGGGGAGCATTCAAGCGTCATGGTCTCCAACGGCTCCACACCAAGCGTCCTAGTTGAAAGTATCGTGATGTTGCGAAGCTATCTAGAGTACAGACTAATACAAAACGGCATACTTGGGGGGTCAAAGTCTTCTCGTTTCATCTCCCCAAAGAAGAGAGTCGTATCTGATGTCGATCAAAGTACCGCTCAATGGCATCAACATCCACACTTGTCTGAGCCACGGCCACATAACCATCGGGGCGTAGTACATAGACGGCATCACGGGTCAGTCCAGCAGAAGCACATCCAGAAGTCCAGCTGAATGACGTCAACCTCAGGCCGTGCTTATTGCTCCAAGCCGTCAGAGCGTCCGTCGCAGTCCCATACACGTGAATCTGCCATGCCACAGACGAAAGCGACTCATAATTCCCAACTCCGTCCACGACAACCCACGGCAGACGCTGGCCCCCCTGTACCTTTCCCACGCGGCCAGAAGAGAGCGTCATGCCACAATAGTTGAGCGTAATCTGCGACACTGTCCTGAACATGAAGCGGCGCACCGCCCGGAAAGAAAACATAATCGGAAAGAGCACCGGCACGATTCTCGTCCGGACAAACTGCGCAAACCACCCTTCCGCCGTGGCCACGTTGAATGCGCGATCCGTCGTGGAAACCAGGCGGTGCGCAAAGCAAGCCCTCTCCTCCTGATACGTATCCAGCAAGACGTCCTCCGCATCGCCCGCCAACACGGCAGCCAGCTTCCACGCGAGATTGATAGAGTCCCCAATGCCAGTGTTCATCCCCTGGCCGCCGGCAGGGCTGTGGACGTGAGCGGCGTCTCCGAGCAGAAACGCGCGCCCCTGGCGAAAGCGCTCCGCCACGCGGTGGTGAAGGCGGTACGTGGAAAACCAATTGACCCTGCTCACCTGGAGCTTCATCTGGCGCACGGCGCGGCCGCCGACATGGTCAAAGGACAAGTCGCGCAGTGCGGCCGACGAGGTGTGCCGAATCGTGCCGATGAGTCGCGCGCGGCCTGGCCCAGCCAGAGGGAAGATGGCCAGGAAGTCGGCCTCGTCGAGACATACATGTATCTGGCCGTCCATGGCGGGACCGGCGCCAGCAATGTCCGCCACATAAAACAGCTGGTCGTACACGCCGCCGGGGAACGAGATGCCCAGCGTCTTGCGCACGGCAGAGTGCGAGCCGTCGCAGCCAGCTATGTAGTTTGCCTCGATTACCTCCTCCGTGCCGCGTGCTGTGTTTACCCGGGCCACGACGGGGCCGGCGCCGCGCTGGTCCTCGAAGTCGACGAGCTCCGTGTGCCATTCTACAGATACGCCAAAGTCCTGGCGCAGCCTGTCCGTCAGCACCCGCTCGTGTTCGTGCTGTGAGTAGATGTGGACAAAGGGAAAGGGCGTCATGCCCTCGCCGATCTGGGCGAGGGGCGCGTGGAAGGCCCGGCGGCCGTGGACCCAGGCGTTGAAGCCGACGGCCTTGCGGCCCTGGCTGACGACGGTGCTCGCGAGCGCAGGGTCGAACTGGGCGTAGAGCTCGAGGGTGCGCGCTTGCACGGCGACGGCGCGGGTCGATGTTGCCGCTTGCTCGGCCTTGTCGATGATGCGGACCTTGACGCCGAGCTTGGATAGCCAGAGGGCGAGCACGAGACCTGTTGGTCCGGCGCCGACGATTAAGACGCTGGTGGAGGAGGCGGGCATGTTGTGCTGCTGTGCGTCCAGGGCTGTATGTGTGGTGTTGATGTTTGCATGTGCTGAGTCGTTTGCTTCATTCACAGAGACATCTCCATCCCGGATAACCCTGATGAAGCGCATTATATATATACACTTGTGGTAAAGCTGGCACAAGATGACGGGCGCCTTGGATGCTGCCGTCTCACAAGGTTCCAGGGCGCATGTCTGGTGATGCCTTGAGGCCCGGCGACACGGTCTCAATTTTGCCGACCTTGGGCTCCATGTAAGACGACATCTGGACCCTTCTCCAGTAAATAGCATCTCTTTGCTGTAAGCCGGGGGGGAATCGGATTCGCGGTCGGAGCAGTCGGACAAAGGTGGAGCCCGAGCCCGACATGGACCAAGGTTGGGCCGGTTCGATAATACCAGACTGCTTTTCGGAATTGGGCCGTGATAAGCAACTTGTATGCACGTACAACTGTGGTGGCAGACGAATAGAAGCGTGTGAGTTGGTCGACTACGTTGGTACTGATCCGAGTCATTGCTCGTGCCAGGTGACCTGGTATAAGAACTATCTAGGTATGTACTTTGGATAAACAAGTAAGATAATTACATGGCAACCTGCGCCGAAGTAAATTTAATTTCCACACATTCCACAGCCTTGGGCATAGCTTATGGCAGGTAAATGAGAGACAGTAAATGTTAGGCTTATGTAGCACACGTAGTATTGATACTTGTGTGCGAAGGACTGGCCCGAAGGACTGGCCCGAAGGGCTTGGGAAATTATGACTACGGGCCCGATTACAACGAATGATTTTCAAATTTTATCCTAGCAGCTCATCCTACCGGTTCAAGAATTGCCAGGGATGCTTTGGAGAATATTCAATGTATAACTCTAGATATTAGTCCTGGGTTTTGCTCAAGGTTCTGTGTTTTTGCATTCTTTATAGTTAGTTATTAATACAGTCTGTGTCTAAACGAGCAAGGAATTTGATTTTGTCTACTCGGCTAACTTCTTCACCATCTATCAGATTGTCATTGTTATGGCCTGGAAGGGATTTTCATGTCATATGCGTGCTTGTATTCTCGCTAGCTAATACTAGATAAAAAACAGAGTCGAATCCGGCTTGCTAGCTGCATGAGCTTCCATCAGCTGCAATTTGATTATACGTCGGGCGATAAGATTGTTAGTCCTAGACAAACCTTATAGTGAGCCATGTCACCCGCGCAGTCCCTCCTTATGCACAAGCTTTTCACACTCAAAAAAAGAGTATAAAAGCGGTTCCTATCAAAAGGCGTAGGTAGAGCAGCCCTCTCGGGTCCGACGGGCATGCTGCGGGAAGGCAGTCGAAAACGGTAGCCAATTTACAGCGACCAGCTTTGCAAAATGCGCAAAGTGCGAGACATTCTATGCAATAAATCATCCAAGTAATCCTCGACGCTCGCAAGCTTCAACGCCCTTTGGATTAAAAATTCCATCATGCTGCAGGTCCAACCCCGCAGATACCACTTTCATCTTCAAAGGGCATGCAGCCAACCACAGTCAGTTCAAAACATGTACCCAACCGCAGTAGGCACGGTCCTTCCAGACACGACACCGCAGCCAAGAAAGAAGTGAGGCTGTAAAAATCGAGAGGGGTCTGGTCCCCAGGGTCCTGCATCCTCGGGCCAAAATGGCTCCCGTTGCATTGCCAGCCACTCGAGTCGGGAGGGGAACCGGGCCGTGGACGCAGTGAAACGGCTGGAGATGCATAGTCCGTGAAACATTCGAAAGCCATCATCTATTCCAGCTAGCCCTAGGTGCTCCCATGCCATTCCCCCTTCCCGCGGGAGCGCATAAAACAGCACCCATGTGCTCGCCAGTGTCAGCGTTGCAATATCGATTCGCCGTACATGTTTCTTACTAAGGACGTGCAGGAGCAACGGGTGATTCGCTGGAGCTCTTCGGGGTGCAACTCTGACGGAGGGCCACAGAGAAACCAAAGTTGCGTCGTTGGGCCTACTAGGGAGTGAGTTGGCGTGACGTGCCGATTTTGGCGTTTGAATCGCGAAACGGGCATTTTTTTCGAGCGTATTGTTTATTCTTCTTCCACAGTTTGAGGACAAGTTTTGATTGATGCTATGCGGCACAAGTGGCATGGACTGACGTGTTTCTGTTGCGCTTCGGCGAGGAGTAAGTGAAGAGGGGGTAATAGAGGAGTGAGACAATTCTTGACAACACGGCATGTTTTCATTACGAGCAATAATCCAAGACAATGTAGGAATCGAATGCAAATAACTGACATATTTTGTGGCTTGGGGTGAGAATATCTCATGGGTAGCATTTATGCGCGTGAAAAACAGCAACGCCGCATGGCGCTTGGTCCAGACCGTATGTCTGTCTCAGCTCGTCAGTTTACAAAATATGCCGTTGAAAAAGGCCATGCGCGGGGTAGAGACGTACTGATGGCCATGATTCTTGGTTGGTTGATCCAAAGAGCCTGCGTTCACTTGAATACCTATAAATACGTCTGGTTGGACGCCTTAAGCTGCCCCGAGCTGATTCCAACGTAGACTCTCCAATATCACGCCCGTCATGTTGAAAAGTTCACTCCTGTATGGTCTCTCTCTCCTTGCCATTGCACCTCAAGTGTGTAATGGAAGGGCGGTTGAGGGCGAAAAGCGTGCCGCCGCGGCACTGACTTGGAAGGCGTTGGGGGGTTCAATCGTAGGTGAGTATTTTCAAAGCAATTCTTCCTCCGTTGAATGCCTATTGATCAAATCTCACACAAATAGGCCACCCTGGTATTATCTCATGGGCCCCTGACCGGACAGACATCTTCGTCAGAGGAAGCGACAATGCTGTATATCACAAATGGCAACTTGGCAACCCAGGCACGGCATGGGGCCCCAGTGATACGGGCTTCCAGAACCTCGGAGGCTCCATTATCAGTGATGTCACAGTAGTGTCTCGTGGCTATGATCGGCTGGATGCCTTTGTGGTTGGTGCCGACAATGCGTGCTATCACGGGTGGTGGAATGGTAGCTATTGGTCGACATGGGGAACTCTAGGCGGCGCCTTTAGCGGTGATATCAGTGCCGTAGCCTGGGGAAATGGCAGATTAGACCTGTTCGGTCGCGGTAACGACAACGCAGTCTGGCACAGGGCTTGGGATGGAGCCGCATGGGGTGCATGGGAGAGCCTCGGTGGTGCCGTTATAGGAAGTCCAAAGGTAGTTTCCTGGGGCGCCAACCGACTTGATGTTTTTGCAAGAGGCACAAATAACGAGGTGTATCAAATTGCCTGGAACGGCTCTTCATGGTCAGGCTGGTATAACCATGGTGGGACAGTGCTGGATGATATCACGCCCGTGTCTACCGCCCCAAACAGACTAGATCTCTTTGTTCGTGGAGGAAACAATGCTCTGTATCAAAAGAACTGGAACGGAGCAGCTTGGAGTGGTTGGATCAGTCTGGGTGGAGTTATCATGTCCAGGCCGTCGGCAACAACCTGGGGAGGCAAGTATATCACGGTTGCAGCACAAGGTGCGAATAATGCTGTGTACCTGCTGGAGTTTAACGGAAACTCTTGGGGCGACTGGCGATCTATCGGTGGCGTCGTGACTGAAGCACCAGTGATCAATCCCCTTGGTTCTGTCAACGCGGCCATCTTTGCGAGAGGAAATAACGCCGGCTTATTTGTATACGAGTAAATTGGCGTAAATTATTAGCTTCGAGTCCGTTGTGAAAGAGAATTGAACAATGTGACAGTGACGCTTGTACATGAGGGCGAACCACCATGTATACACCAAGTAACGGCTGTGTTGCCCACACATTGGACACTTGTTTTTGGAATACAGAGGCATATCAAGTGAGCAATTCAGCCAGATATTTGGCGGATTCTTCATCACCCCACTCAACAATATCTCGCCTGGTTCTTTCTTCCATCTTGCGGGCCACGAATCGTTCCATCACCTTCTGTTGTGAGGCAGAAAGCAGCTTGAGCCTGGCTACGTGGTCCTCATGCTCGTTGGACCCAAAGTATTTCTCGTCCAGGAATTTCCACCAGATAAAATCAAACGCCCAGCTTTTCCTGGCCGCGTAGTTGAGCATCCACGTCTGCTTCTCCCAGCTATCACGCATACGCCGAGACAGCGGCGGTTCCACCTCTTCATCGGTCCGTGGCAAGCTGTTGCCCCGTTCAGCAAGTGCCGCGCGCTTCATTTTCTCCTCCTCGGCCTCCAATGCACGTAAAAAGGTCTGAAATCGAGATTCGTAGGCATCCATCCATGCACGATAGCCACCAGGCCAATATTCGGGTTCCTCTAGAAGCAACCACCACGGAGGATCAAAGCTGAACTGCACGGGAGCTGCATACGCAAACTCCCAGTCTATGACGCCGACGACTCGCATATCCTTATCTAGGAGGACATTCGCCGGACGAAGGTCCTCAGAGTACAATCGGAAATCTCCGTCGAATTGTTCCGAGTCTCGCCACAAGCGCTGTTGAATGCAGAGGTTCCGGAACAGCTGGCGAGCGATATATTTATCCCGGGCATCATCCTCATCCTCCACGGCATCGTTACCTTGGAATGCGAACTGGGCCATGTGCATGTCTGCAAGAGCGTGGTACCACTCGTCTGCCGAGGCATAGGTCTGGGGTGGCAGCGTGCTTAATGGCGCATTAGTGTGCACGATAATGTCACCCATATTTTCGATCCAAGGGCGTCCCTTCACAGAAATAGGCTCCTTGCCATCGTCCACCAGCGAGCCAATGCGAGGAAATCTCAAACTGGCTAGTTGTAGTAGGATATTAGCCATCTGAGCATACAAATGCTCGACATATTCCTCGCTGATTGCAGGGTTTAAAATAGGGCGCTCATCAGCTCTGCGTTCTGGGTCAAGAAGCACCCTAGACATGTTCTGATGATGCTCAATGTAGTCCATGATGATGAACGGGCCAAGACCTGTCGGGTTTTCGGCGGCCATCGCGTAATGGTATACGTGAGGAACCGGAATGGTGGTATGGGCGGCAACATATTTCATTGTGGCTACTTCATAGCCGACTTTCTCGTCGGGAAGTGGAACGACGCCTGTTCCTGTCAGCGATCTGGTAGTTGCAGTCATTTGCCGGTATATTTACCTTTGATTGGAATCCTCAGTATAACGGACGAGCCATCGCTATATTCGAGCCTGTAAATAACATTATATCCTCCCTTGACCACTGCGTGCATCATTTCTGGTTTGCCTTGCCGATATTTTAGAATAATGTTGCCGATATCGCGGTAGGTCTCCTCTCTGCGAATTAACTTGTCCCATTCCTCAGTCTCTTCGTCTAGTTTCTGCCAAACAAGGTCATCTTTATCCATAAGAAGAAATCTCGGCTTAGATTGCATTGTGCAGAGCTTGGCAGAAGCTGTGACAACGATGAGAAACAGACCAGACATGTGCCACCTGACTTTGAACACGGATGGCTGGCTTACTCAGCAGAAGCACTGGTCAGTGGTCAGTGTAGGGGGTTCGTGTTTGGAGCTCCAAGAAGAGTGCCCATTATCCGGGAAGTGTATAAGCCGGGGCAGCTTCTTCTTAACCGGGTTGTTTTAGTTTAGCGGCATTAAACAACGAGCTTTTTGTTTTGGTCTTTTGGGTTATGTAACCCGGCATACAGAAGCTGTTTGGGCGTCAAGACTCAAGACGGACGAAGACGGGGCTTGGCTGCTGTAACAAACACCATTCACAATATCAAGTACATTTAGTTCTGTTATTGGTATATTCCTTTGAAAAAAAAACTCAAAAGGCCATTAATTAGATGGTAACCAAAACCAGTCCTCTCCAGCTGTTGAAGTTTCATTCGAGTCCAAGAAGCGACCTGAGACTTTTCGATGGGCTTGTTTGACATACCTACGCATGATGTGATGAGATACGAATGGACAGGTTACACGACCATTCGATGCCGGCCACACGTTGGCCCAGAGGCATTTTGCTAACCACTTTGACTTACGAACACGCATGGTATCAACGCAGCAGGTCCAAGGTGAGACCAATCGAAACATCCACGCGAGAACTATTGGCCTGTATTAAGTCAGGCAGCCTCTCGATAGTTCAGACAAAGGCAACTCGAGCTCGTCGTCTGATGTGCAAAAGGGAACCACAACCCAGCAGCCCGTTTTCGGGTTCTCGATGATAGGGAGAGAGGCGAAGTAGCTGTCATCATCCAGCCAGGTCGCAAAAGATGCTAGGAAGAACACAGCATCCAAGACTTTCGACCCCTCCACGAAAGCAAAGCAGTGGCGGAACGTGAATGAGTGCACTTGGCAGCTCCGGATCAAACATGTTCATGTGAAGTCGGTGAAGACTGCATTGAGTCTCTCTAAATACGTGTCTCGGTCTTGTAGTTTCTTGTCAATAATGTCAGAGATGTTGGGGCGCCAAAGACGGGCAAAGAATCTATAATCGGCGTTGCTTAGTTCTTCCGGAGAGTAGGAGAAATAGCTGGGCAATATACGATCGTAGAATATCTCCGTAAAGGCTACTGGATCCTTTACCGCTAGCGTGACCCAAAACGCCCCGTTTATCCATGCTTGGCGCATGATACACGAGAGGGGCTCTGCATTTCTTTGGTAGTTGTGAAGCTGTTCTTCTCGCTTGAGCAGCTCGAGGAATGCACTATGCTTTGGTGCGAATTCGGTAGGTTCAATCTCGTCGATTAATCCACCGCCGAGCCAGTATGGCGGCTGGAGAAATTCGATGGGCGACGAGCAGGCAAATTCTAGGTCAATGATGCAAGTAACATTCCAGTCCTCGTCAACAAAGATGTTACTTCGATGCATATCGGTTAAAGTAAACACGAAAGGGCCATTGCAAAAGTCTCTCCGGAACATTTGCGGGAATATAGCTCTTGCGGCAGCTAGACTGGTCATCTGGTACCACGCATCGTCACGGCTAGTGATGGCGTTTTGCTGGTAGAGTAGCCGGTTGTCAAAAGCCGCCAAGTGCTGAAGGACAAAGTCATCGACGCTGGAGAAGGTTGTGTGTCTGGAAATATCAAGGGGGATGCCTTCGTTCTCATGCATAGCAAACATGACGTTCATCGGACGATTGTCTAATTGCAAATACCCGTTGTTGTCCAGTCGGAATGCTCCGATACGCGCCAGCGGAACGCTTGCAAGCGAGAGCATTATCCTAGCGAGGCTTCGCTGTAGATTATCTTGGAGACGGGCATCGTCATGCTTCTCGTCCCAGGATTCTGAAAGCATCTCTCCGGATGTAATAGTCTGGATCAGCAGGTAGCCGATATCAAGGTCGGCAAAGCGGCTAGAGGGATGGCACACGTATCGTGAAGGCTGCCGGAAGCCAAAGGTAGCTAGAAAATAGCGGCGAGCTTGCTGGAACCAGCGCGACCACCACGGAAGGAAATCAAGATTCGTAAACTGCAGGGGATCACGCGGTTAGAATTTTGGCATTTCAAAGCTGAGGCACGTACTCTTTGGTTAGTAGACAGCCCAAAGCCGTAAAGCTGCGGTATAGGAACTGAAGGGCAGTTCTCTTGGAGCCAGGCATATGTTGCAGCTTCACAATTGACCTTCTCATCTGAGTTGCCAGGCCGAAGTGCTTCTCCAACGCGATAAGGCAACGGAAAGCGGAGCAACACGAGCTGTGGGGGTTTTGGCTTCGCAGAGGGGTTGACATGGACAGGTATACAAAGATTGAATGATCCATGGCGCCAGTAATCTTGGGAAGAAATAGTAACGTCGGGTGGTTTGGTGCCAAGGTGATGTGCTACGAGATCGGCCAGAAGAGGACGATGGGTCTCCATGCGCTTGTAGAAATCTTCTTTCTGCTGCGGGTATTCCAGAGCGTGAAGAACATTTCTGCTTTTCGCTGTTGCGGCAGATAGAGTGACGGGACCGGAGAGTAGATTGCGAGTTGTCATGGCGGGCGGATGGCTGAAGAAGGAAAGGGGTCGATATCATTAAAGAAGGGGTCGGTGCTTGCAAGATACATGTATCTAATATTGCTGACTCAGGCCGGCGACCACTGCGGCGCGCTCACTCCTTTTGCTAAGTGCGCTTACTGACTACCTAAATACCTAGGTACCTAAGTAGGTAAGTATTTATTGTATGTAAGCTTTTATATTTACTTACGTATATAAGTAAAGTATTTATAATAAAATATGTTTACATGCTATAAAATATACAGGAATATATTATAATATAAAACCTAATAGCCAGGTACCTATTACGGCGTGAGCGCACCTAGCAGAAAAAGCGAGCCCGCCGAGCAATTCACACGATTTACGCGTCAACGCGTCACCCCACCAAACCTTCCGTCAACACAATCATCTTCAATCATCAACAATTCCAACAAAATGGCTCCAGAGACGCCGTGGGCTGAATCTAGCCCTCGTGAGCGTGCAAGGATTCTAACGGCCGATAGCTTAGCTCTCGAAGCCCCAGCAATAGCTATCGAAAACAGCCCGTTACGGAGATGGGAAATCGGCAGCTTCAATTATATCGCGGCTGCTAAAGAAGGCGACAGTCTGCAAATGTGCTTGCGAGGGTTATGAGAGAATTCTCGGAGGTCTTCAGTATCGTCAACTTCTTGGTCTGAAGATTACTAGCCTTGAAGGCTGGTGACAGGCCCTGAGCTGCGGGTTCCCCATCAAGTGCGCATGGGAATTGTGCGTATGAATAAGTCCTTGTGGTTATCTGAACTCTGATCAATCTAGTCAGTTATAACTAGAAATTATATAGACCTATGCTGACTATCCTCCAGATATGATTACAGCCACTCCATACCCATCAAGAGCGTGAAAAGAACAACAACATGACAGCCCACATGATATGTGCCAGCCAAACAGTCTGAAGAAAGCGACATATTCCAAGGTCCACGGAATCTATGGAGCGGCATTGTACGTCAACATACTGCGTTTCATCGCAACCGCATACAGCCAACTACACAGGTTCGCCCAGGTGCTTCTTAAGAAAAGGCAGGGCATTTTCCAACGCAGGCTTCACGGCCTCAGGCTTGTCATAAAGCATGTAGTGCGAGATGCCAGGGAGGACGACGATATGCTTGTCCCTGGACCCCGCACGGCCATATATCTCATGCGCATCGCGATAGGCGCCGAAGCTACCTGGTACATCTCCGATAATAGCCATGAATGGCCGCGACATGAGCACTTCAGCGTGGTTAAAGGCATCCCACGCGGGAGCCGCGCTATTAAACGACAAGAGACCGCTCGTAGCGCCATGGGGTGCCATTCCACGGCTCGTCTTGTAGTATTCGGTCGCCTCGACTACGTCAACATCCGTGGTCAGTTTCTTGGCGTCCTCGAGCGTGGGTGGCAGTAGGTTAATGACGTTGCGGCTGGCGCCTTGGGCCTCGAGAGTGCGCTGCTCTGCCATCTTCTCAAGCGAGGCAACAGGGTCAAAGTTGGCGAATCCCTCCCGGGAGAGGCGGCCGAAGTTGACGGGGGTGATGGCCACACAGCATCTGAAGCGGTAGTCGGTCATGGTGGCGTTGAGAGCGTAGCCGCCGCCGCCGCAGATACCCAGCACGCCAATGCGCTGGGGGTCGACGTAGGGAAGAGCTTGGATATAGTCGACGACGAAGCGGAAGTCGGATACGCGGAATTCTGGATTCTCCATGAAACGCGGCTCGCCGCCCGATGCGCCCTGGAAGGAGGCGTCAAAGGCAACGGCAATAAAGCCGGCTTCCGCTAGGGCTTTGCTGTAGACATTGCCTGAGGTTTGTTCCTTGCAGGAGCCGATGGGGTGAGCGGACACAACAGCCGGGTACTTCTTTTTCTCGTCGAATTCGGGCGGGAAATAGACATCAGCAGCAGTCTCCCAGGCTATATTTGGGATGCCGACGGTTTTTATGGCTGCGGGCATTGTCGTTGTCGATTTTATGCAAGGTCAACATTTCTTGGGATGGGAGCGAACCGTGTAGCTCAGCGCGCATTCTTATAGTCTTGCCAGTGCTTTCAAGACGACATAAGGAGCGCGTAGCATACCTCTCCAGGTGTTCGACTCAGATGTTGGGCGGAGCATGATACGGAGCAAAACCCGAGCAGGTTCGGGTGTGGGGCCGAAAGGGTTCCATGTTGGTGTCCTTGACTCCAAGGTATTACGGAGTTAAAGAGCGAGAAGCCCGGTTGCCAATTCATGGCGTGCATGCCCGAGTCGCCACCATCCATCGTCCTTGGACGAAGACGCAAAGCATTAACGCAGCCACGCAAAACGACAACCTGCAGTCTCCCGCTCAATTCAAAAAAGCAATCTCAACTACTATGTTCACTGAACTATCAATATGCAGTAAAGTCAATATTGGGCCCCACACAGCTTCTGAGCCTCTTGCTGAATGTTGCGACGAGATGAATCGCTGGCAGAGTCATACAAATCTCAAACAGAATTCAGGCTCGAGCCATATTCATTTGCCTTCTATTGTGAAGCCGTCAACAAGGCAACGATGAGCCAACTTGGAGGTATCATCCAGTGGAGCGACTGCACATGATGTGGAGATGCTATTGACATCAGCCTGAGCTGACGGAACAATCAGCTTCCCTTTGCCATCAGAGCAGTCAAAGTCACGTAAGCTCGCTTTTTCCGGCGGTTAGTCATATCAGTGTGTTAAGCTCTCATTCTCGCAGCTCCATCTGACGCAGCTTCACCACCCCGCACGGCCAACTCCCTTCTACGCCTCAACCATCTCGTGTAAAGTAGCATACCGCTCATTCCACAGCAATATAAAATGGAATCATCGCGATTGAACAAACCAAAACATGTCTACAAAATCACCACCTCTACTCCACCAGACCCCATCCCCGCCGTCTACCCACCATCAGAACTAGATCAAACCGATGGGTTCATACATCTCAGCACGGCAGCTCAGGGACGCACACAACCCATATGAAACGGGGGAAAATGATGGGATTTCGCTAACCCCTGCTATAGGTCCCCAAGACTGCAGACATGTTTTTTAGCCATGTGTTGCAGCTGTGGGTTGTAAAGATACAGCTCGACAAGCTCACCGAACACCGTATCCATTGGGAAGGCGACGGCTGCGTCCATTTATACGGAAATTTTGGCGCTCAGGACGTCGTTGCTGTGGAAAAGTGTGTTCGGCAGGGAGAATCGTGGTCCGACTGCTTGCAGGACGCAGCATGGCTTATCTGAGGAATTGTAACGTCTGCGCTTAAAAGACGTCGCATGGTAGAGAATCTAACAATAGTACACAGCTAGTACTGTTCATCGCGATCCAAGGCCCCACCGTCTCGTTTTCCCGTCGCATTCTGGGGTTTCGTTGGACATGGTGATGTCTGCGTGGGCCGGACATGATGCAGGACTGGGCTACCCGACCAGACAGTCGCAAGGTTCGACATGTCCATCTAGCTCAATGTCATGGCTTGCATCTTCCGACGGATCGCACGGCGTTGGCTGTGGCTGGCGCCGCCGACTCATCTGGCCAATTGACTTCGGAGAATTGAAGCCTCTATAGTAGTAGCTGCGGCGTGGAAGATTGATTGTTTGTTCTTGAGTAATGCAAGAACCAGCTCCTGAACAGGGGCGGCAACCAAGCTTTCAGGTCAAGCTTTGGCCCACGTGGGTCGTTTATATTGCCTCAAGGGGGGCAGCATTGAGGCGCGGGACTTGAATGTCAATTTCCAATTTCCCCAGTTATGAGCCTGGGCCAATGGATCATGGTAGCATGGTCAAGGTCCAGGCTCGGTTTGCAATATCCGCTTTGCCGTGTTGGCAGGGTGAATTAAACGCAGGCGGTTGTTGAACACGAGCAAACGATCAACATGTGGTGAGCGAATTCTGTACAGTAGGTATCGATTGATCGACTCCGACGGCGGCTATCGCGAGACGCAGCCAAGATAAAGCCAGAAAAAGACGCGCAATCAGCCAAAGCCATAGAATCCAGCCTGGCCACCGCCACACACACCTCCAGACCCTGTTTGTCCATAACGATCGACAGTCTCAGCCAAAAAGCGGGCATTGGCAGTCCCGCGTCTGTTTCGGCTAGTCTTTGGCTAGTCTTTGGCTGATGTCGGTAACAATTGGCATTTGGCCTTGTTTGCAAACAAGGTTGAAGCCTGGTCCTCACGACGGAGATTTACCGACTGCCAAAAATACTCCAACTCTTGTCATCCCATCGAATCTAGGTTTCGGTTCAAGCATAACGTGATTACAGCCAGCCAATCACTTGGTTGCATCGACCGGACCCATCACGATGGATGGGCACTCCTTGTTCGACCGACCGGGACGCATGAACGGATCGTCGACGACTACGACGGTGACGGGCAAGAGACGCCATCAAAGCCATCACACAGAACTCGTTGAACATGGAAATACCCACCCTTCTGCATCAAAACGAGTTCACATGGGCCATTGCGACCCCGCTGGCTGCTGAAGCAATCCAGCCTCTCCTGCGCTACCCCGTCTTGGCCCAAGCTGCAACATGGTGCATGTTCGGAATCGCAGATAAGGGGCTCCTGGGGGTCAAAAGTATGGAGCATCAGTCCCATCCTCGTTTGGCCATGCCCATGGGAACGTGGACTTTTATCCGGTCAATCTTTTTGCATTTAGTAGATGGTGACGCCACTGCCGCGGTTCCTTTGCCTGATGGCGTGCTCCCTTTGCGTCGTGTTTGGTTTTAAACAAAAAATTCTCCGTGATACATCAACTACTCAGTACATGACCTTGGTAGACGACCTCGGTCCGGACCAAGGCAATATTCAACCCACAGACCTCACGACGACTCAAGCGCTTCCCGCAAATCGATAGCAGGCCGATTACAAGTTTTTTTATTTCTTCCCTTCTCCCAATGGTTTTCTCGGCCCATTCACCCTGTCGACCTGGTTAAACGGGGGCGGAGACAACATTCCACCTCTCAGACACCAACTCATCATGGGCGTCGCAGTCCGGCCGTTCAAGGTGCCCGTCCGCAGGAGGACGCCGGCCTTTGTCCTCATCACCTGCTTCTTCTTGCTGCTGCTCTGTCTCGGCGTGTTTGAACGCTCGGAATCTCGCCTGCAGTACGCCCTGCCCCTGGGGTTAGAGGCCGCGCTGCCCAAGAAGCTGCGCGTCCCCAAGCCGTGCCGATCCGATCTCGACTATCTGAGGCGCAGCAGCTACAACCTCACCCAGCAAATCGTCTACCAAAGGCGGTGCATGCGCGGCCTGCGCAGCGCCGCAACCTCGAGGGACGTCGTCGCCAGCCATGCCCAGCCGCTGATTCAACCCGACAGCAGTCGCGTCGTGGAATTGAACCACGGCTGCCACGGCGCCGCACCAGTCGACGAGGCCTGCGACCCGATTTCCGTCCAGGTGCCGCCGCCGTTTCCGCAGCGCGACTATTCCGAGTTCCTCTTCGGCGTGGCGTCGTCCTCGGAGCGGCTCGTCCAGTCCATCCCCCAGTTCCGACACTGGCTGGGCGGCACCGAGGCGCGGCTGCTCGCCGTCGTGACGGACGCACACTTCTCACCGAGGCAGATGAGCAGGCTGGCGGCGCAGTACGAGCGGGCGGGCATCCATTTCATCGGCACGCGGCCGGCCGACCCGTCCGTCGGCGTCAACGAGCAGCACTTTGTCGCCGTGCGCCACCTCCTCGCGCACGCGGACGCCGGCACGCAATGGGGCGTCATCATCGACGACGACACCTTCTTCCCGTCGCTGTACCCGGTGGCGGGGGTGCTCGACGGGCTCGACGCCTCGGTGCCGGCGTACGTCGGGGGCCTCTCGGAGAACAGCGACGCCGTCAGCTTCCACGGGCGCATGGCGTACGGCGGCGGCGGCATCTTCCTGTCGGTGCCGCTGCTGCGGCTGCTCGAGCCCAACGTCGACGCGTGCCTGGCCGAGAGCACGATCCGCGAGGGCGACGGCATGCTGCGGTACTGCGTCGAGGCCAAGACGGCCACCAACTTCACGCAGGTGCCGGGCCTGCACCAGCTCGACTTTGGCGACGACCTGAGCGGCTTCTACGAGTCGGGCCGCCTGCCGCTCAGCCTGCACCACTGGAAGACGTGGCACCGCGCGCCCGTCGACAAGATCGCCAAGGCTGCCGTCTTCTGCGGGAGCTGCGTGCTGCAGCGGTGGCGCTTCGGGCCCGACACGGTCCTGGCCAACGGCTTCAGCATCGCCGTCTACAGGGGCGGCGCCGAGGACCTGCGCCTGCACCGCACCGAGGACACGTGGGACGCCGACCCGGCCGGCTGGGAATGGAGCCTGGGTCCCATGCGGGAAAAGGTGCCTGACGACGAGAAGAAGAGCTATCGCCTGCTCGATGCAGAGGTGGTTGGCAATAATCTGCGCCAGGTATATGTCCATCGAGCTGGGGATGCGGCGGGTGCTTCTGACGGCGTACACGGGCCCAGGGACGAGGTCGTGGAGCTGTGGTGGGATTGGAAATGAGTTTTATTCATGTTTCTTTTCTTTTTATTTCTACAGCGGATTCTAATGTGTAATCCTGGGCGGATATCATGACATGAGACATTACACGGCGTTGCAGCGTCATACGGCCTCTTTTTTTGCTAGTTAACGGGTATAACACTTACACATGCGGGTACATATATATATATAGGTGCATAGTATTCCAGCTTGTTAATACTTATTACTGACACAGGCATGGTATACATCTCTGCATTCAACTGTTGCCGGCTGCCAATTCACTGCTATATATCAAGTACCAAACTGCTACGCCTGGTTGCCACGTCGTCGTCGTACGAAAGGCAAGGCGAGTGTGTCGACCAGATGAATGCAGATTCTTGGCAACTCGCTTCTACTAGTGTTAATTTATGGCGGTCACTGGCGCCAAGCGTTACACTATCGTGGTTGGTAATATTTACTGTATTCGGCTAGCGATATTTTATAATAATATAGCTATTGAGCTTCAAGTTTTTATAATTTAAGGAATTATATTATTATATTATAAGTTAAAAGCTTCAAGTAATTATTTAATTAAATTAATAATAGTTTTTTTAAAAAGATTATATTTTTCTTAAGGCCTTAATAGCTTAAACTCTTTTTAAATAAAAGTACAATTTAGTCAGGGGGTTTTCCCCTAGATGCCGTGATTCCAGGTTTACCATTGCCGTCCCTGGTTAATCTCGATGATGAGATTGTTTTGACGTTGGAGGACGAGGGAGTTCAAGACATCACTAGGGTCGATGAGATACCTCTCATCATTCTCCAGAGCGTTGTCTGTTTATGTCCGAGGTCAGCGGCATGATAAATATTAAAAGGAAGAACACAAAATCTCAAGTGCTACCAAATTAAGACGTCGCACTTGTATCAGGCCTCTACTTTTGGCAGAGTCGGTGAGACTCACAGAGGAAGACGCCCGTGAAGTTGCGGCTGTCGAGGAGCTTGTAAACAACGAGTGGGAGAATCTCGGGCCCCATCTCTACGAGCTCGTGGAACTCGTCCACATGGCACCGGATCTGGGCCCTATATTAAAGTTGGCGCCGACTTCATCTAGTCTCAGAAGTTCTTTACTTACTGTGACGAATTGGTTGGTCTGTTCCAGGTGACCTGCCAGGCGTGGAAGCATTCCTCGAACGCCTTGACCAATTCCGGAGCAGACCTGCGAACTTCATTGTAGCCTTGCACAGCCGAGTCTTGGGCAGCCTGGCTAGGTAACGGGATCGGGTCGTGAGCCCCCATCCGAGGAACCTGCGCGTACTTCCGTCCATGTCGTGGCCTAGACAATGGTTGCTGCACATTGGATATGGAGCCAGGCTCGGGAAGCAGGTCATCATGGTACCCAGGCAGACCTAGAGTGTTTTCGGGATGAGTGTTGGGCTTCTCGGCACCTTTGTCCATGTTGTTGTTGTTGTGGCAGGGTCTTGATGGCGGAAGAGGCAGATGACTTGGATGGAGAGGAACAGGGTCGACTTGGAATGCGGGCGAGACCTCACAGATATACTGCGTGTATGGGCATTTTAGGTTTTTGGCGTGACTCGGCGTAAGTCACAGGCGTAAAGTCACTATAATATATAAGGTTTACCTCTATGATAATAGTGGCTGAGGCTATCGCGAGATGGCTTTAGTAGTACTAATTTTGTTAGTATATTTGACGCGTTATAATACGCGTATAAATAGTCTACTTTTTTAGTCTTTTATTATTCTCAGCTTAGTATAGCCTAATATTGTGTTACCAGATGTTGTGCCTGCACGATGCGTATATCATGCTTGTAGTCTTCTTTGACTTGAGGGGGAAACAAAAAAGTGAATACACTCTTGTTTTATCATATACTGTAGTTTACTATAATATAAAGCACGACAACCAGGTCCTTGATCTGGTTAAATACTTTTTGCCTCCCACTGTACGGTTCGATACTATCTGAACGGAAAATCGTAGCTTGGAGCCTCGGTGGTATTTGAAGTGCCGGGTTGTGATGGCGACGCGGCAAGATAGAAATGCATTGTTCCGTGCCCCCATACCACCCTCGATGCCGGGGTATTCTTGTAGTATCCCACGTTCAGAATCGTGTTTCACCAAAATGCGCTTTCCGATACGACGACAAGTCTTGACGCCTAGATGACGGTTGCTGGAGACTATAGCCGACTTGGTGCGCTGCAGGTACTCACCACGAGGCCAGCTACAGTTTCAAGCCATCATCAAGTATTGCCATGTTGACTTCATCTCCTTGGCACCGGCCAGCGCTAAAGCATGCACAAAATGAAGAGGCATCGAGGTGCGCAACCAACAGTGCGGGGCTCGCGACCGCCTCCAACCTCAATCAACAACACCTTGACGTCAACTGGTTTGCTTTGTACAGTGGTATTGCAATTTTTCCATCGTCTACTCCGTCCCGCTGCTGCTCGAAACATGTGACGGAGCTATACGCGAACTTTCAAAATGGGATCACACGGTCACATCCCCGCGCCAAATCAAGATGCCATCGAGTCGGCCAAGGCGCTCTACCACACCATTCGAAAGGCATTCCCTGAAGCCGTGACAGATTTCGAATCCAAGTGGACAGCCTGGCAAGAGGTGTGCCAAGGACGAACACCATGGCCGAGGTACATTTCCCTTCCTACTCTTCACTCTAGGCGCCATCTCTTACCGCTCAACAGTCTCGATGCCTGTACCCGGACAGACGAGTTTGAGGCTCTCAAGAGGCTCGGTCCCAAGATCCTGCCGTTTGTGGTTTTCAAGCTCGCAACAAACGCTGACCACAACTCTTACGGAGTGCTTTTGTGTACGCTTTCATCTCACTGTTTGCATGGTTCCCCCACTGAGACTTGCTAGACAATACCATGGAGAAGGACCCCGAATACCGCGGAAACCCAGATGAACCCCTCGTGTCGGACGAGATCCTGCGCCGCCATAGCAGTCAGATAGTCGAGCTCAACTACCGACGCAACAAGATATATCAAGAACGCGTCAGACTCTGGAAAGAGTACTGTGACTTGCACAGCATCCACGCTAGCTTCTCCATATGCTGCGAGGGCTCCGACGAGTATTTCGATCTGGTCGAAATGGGACCGAGCATCATTGCTCCTCTAATGGTTGAGTACTTGAATGATCAAGGGGGGTACTGGTACGAGGTTCTGCACGATATTGTCCACGGCCGGAACATGGGTGCGTACATGGTCCAGAGGGACATCTTGTTCGATGAATGTTGCCAGTACTTCAACGGCGGTGTCGACTATGACCAGGCGCCCAAGTATATCCCCAACGAGTGGGATGAGTTCTTTGTCAACCACAAAATGTCGCCCAGGGTATGGGAGCATTTCAGGCAGATGGGCAGATAGCTGTGGCGGCGATGCCATCATGGGCAGCGAACTGCTCGTTTTGGGCTGCGGATGGCGCGTACACCAGCGGGCCAAGGAGCCGTGCGGGCATTTTTTTATCCTATTGATGGGACACGGGATATATGAGATTGCAATGCAGAATGCAGAGACCGTCTTGTTCATTCAAAACCAAATTTTGTAGCCAACTGCAAGTCTGGCGTCGGACAGGGGCGGCGGGCAAGAACAGGACAGAAAGGTGAGGAAATGGCGCCCATGGCCGTCAACAAGCTCGACGGCTTGGTGTGGCGGAACGATACTGAAAAATCCGAGTTCTGTCTTTGGCCAGAAAAGGACCAGGGAATCTGAGGCGGAATCTTTCATCGGCCTTGTGGACAATGCCGACATGGGCTGCCCTCTTGACAAGAACGACAGAGACTCTATGTCGACACTGTCCCATTCTCCATACTCATCCAGTCGCCTTTATAACAGGCACAGGCTTGCCGAACATGGTTTCGTGACATGGAGGCATATTACTAGTCCCTCGGGCACTGTCAAGTCCGGCAGTTCATGGGCCTAGAGCTAAATAGCGACCTATTAAATTGATTACTGTTTCCCTCTTTGAGTCAAATGAGATTACAAGCATAATACTAGTATCGTGTAAGCGTAATATTTAGTAATAGTCTAGTGTTTCTTTCACTGCTTGTCACTGTCCCCGGAGCCTGGTACGGCTCTGTTGAGGCCCGTCTTAGCCACGATGGCGGCCTGGGACGCGCCCGACGGCCGTATGTAGACAATGATTAGTCTCACCTTTTGAGCGTCCATCCAGTGCCGCGTGAATAATGGTTCTTCAATCCTGGTTCAGGTTGTCATCTTGGATTGCGTACACCCCAGTTCTGCCCAGCTACGCTGAACTTGTAACCGCACCACGCAACAGAGGTGCATCCGTCGTCCATGAGACCCATGGGTCATGGCAATCTTGGTCCGCACATTCAGTGCAAGAACTGGGTTGAATGATGGTCCGGAAGTCCTCGCTGTACAAGTCGACGCTTCCTTTGACCAAGTCGACACCATGGCGGCCATGCTCAAAGCCAATCTTTGGGCTGGGGCAAAAGTTAGCAACTTGCCATGTGTGTTTAAATAGAAACCAATTTGGGTTGTTCTTACAGGCCTGATGAGGCGATCCAGCGCAAGTCATCTCCCGCATGATGCGATGGTATCGGGGGAGGGTGATTGTTACCTGTCGACGAATACAAGTGACTGGAAGCCCGTTGGTTGTGTGCCAGTGCCCGTTAGGCAAAAAACAAATAGGTTCGAGCACTCGTCCGTTGAATCATGGATTCATCTTGTTCCTGGAGAGAAAGTGGCAGGAAATGGAACACATCGGCAGGTCGCGGCAGCAATTCATAACTGGATATGTACGCAAAGGGCGCTCGCTGGATGAGGTCCCCCACCAGAATAAGGCAACATTAAATTCATTCACAAATTCCAGTTGGGGAATCGGGCTCCGTAAGTTCTGTTTTGCCGGCCTCGGCTTGCTTGCTTACACCTGGGCAAAGTTGGGATAACTCGGTCACCGGCAGACATTCAGACTGCCTCATATACACTACACAACTTGAACTGTGAGCCTCGAGGTAACCATCAAGATGCAAACGTCAGAGGGAGCCGGCGACACACACAGTTTGGATTGAGAGACGCTAGACTATTTACCGGAATAGATGCCCGCAAACAAGATTGCATCCGGCTTGTCACTGGCAATGGCAAAAACAAACGGCCTGTTAAAGACCAAAAACTTGGGGTCAAAATTCATGCTTCTGGTCATGATGACCGCCGTCGCGCCTGAGGCCTCTGTACCCTCTTCGTCAACCTTGACATAGGCTTGATGGGCAATAGTTTGCACCTGGTTCTGGCCGTCTGCCATTTCCGTATATGCCCCTCCAATGGGATAGTCGAGCTTCGCGAGAGTATCGACAAGAGAGAACTTGCTGTCAATCTCAAACTTGGGGAACCCAAACTCGTCATATTTTACCGAGGTGAACTGGTCGCCCGCGCTACCATTCTTGACTATGTCCTCCAAAACGGCGCTGAGTGATGTTCCTTCGTTGGGCAGATAGGCGAAGAGCGAGGTTGATGGGTAGGATTCCGGCAGTGTGTACGGCAAACGAACGGCCTTGTATGTTGACGTTTCCAAAGATGAGAGGTGTTGGCTGCGCAAATACATCATGTCTACCTCGGTCTCTTCATCCTTGGTGACGGAAAAGGTCTCTTTGCGAGTGTCGCGCGGTTCAAACTTGGTTTGCCATGTCCCCTTGAATCCAATGGCGTTCACCAGTGCCAAGTGGCTATTGGTCAGGCTCGCGGGAGACAACATGTCTCGGATCAAGCCACGTGTATTGTCTGAGATCCACGCATTTATGTCGGACGCAGCCTCGGCAAGGTTTGGATACTGTTTATGTTCCGCGTTGAAGCCCTTCAAGAAATTCTGGTAAGCGGGAAAGAGAGTGACACTTTGATCTGTAAAGACGGCGTTTGCGAGCGCCAGCGGACCGTCCTTTGCATCGCCGCAAAGGGTCGTGTGCAGCGGGTGAAGGACCGACTCTAGCTCGCCCGCGTTTTGAAGACCAAGTTTCGTGGACAGGCCGAGTTTCTTGGACTCGTCTGCTCCGCCGGCAAGCATACCCAGTGCCATGGTAATGGATAGCGGCGAAAGTATGACGGTCTCAGGAGCGCTGTCGGGGCCACACTGCTTCATGAGCAGGTCCCAGCCAACACGGCCGATTGACTGAAGGGATGGCGCCATGATGATGATGATGATGAGGCGGCTTCTCGAGATGTATTTTTGACTGTGGTAGAGCCCAGGCAATGTCTGAAGAACGTGTGGGCGATGAAAGCTGGGAATGTTGAAAGGAGAATGTGCCTTGCGATTCATATAGATGAAACCAGAAGCATCATGACACGCATGACATCAGGCACCCCACTTAGTGGTTACTGCACCTGCCTAAAAGGACATCAACCATTGAACGCTCGGATTCTATGACTGATGCCTTGCTTTGAACTTCTATCAAGGTATTGACCACTTGCCGAATTGGCCGAAACTGACAAATAAATTGCTCGGCGGGCTCACTCTTTTTGCTAGGTGCGCTCACGCAACACCAGGTACCTAAATATTAAGCTGTGTATTATAGTATATTATAGTATATTTTATTATAAATAAATATATTAAATTATTAAAAACAAAGTTTAAATATAATAAATACTTGCCTACCAAGAGGGGTAAGCGCGCCTAGCAAAAAGAGTGAGCCCGCCGAGCAATTCGCACTGACAACAGCATGGTCCACGCCAGCAGACTGCGCCTTGTTGCCCATGCTCCAACCTAGCGGCCAGGCTTCCAATGTTGTGAGGGCGACAGGCAGCCATGGTCAACTTGACCATGATGCCATGACATGGACCAGACTGTGAGTTGACCATACTGACGACGCCGACGGGGTACGGAGGAATCGGGACGTCAAGACGACAAACCTCCATAACCGCCAAGCCCAGACACGGACAAGCATCTTGACAAGGCTTTTTTTGTGCAGTCTTTGCCACTGACGGGACGGGCCAGTCACCATCTCCTCCACGCATTCCGTACACTGTAATCCACCAGCGATGTTCCGAAAGACGACCAACCCATAATGTTTCACAAAGAAGCCGATAGCACCATTTGTCCAGACACGTCAGAACCCGACGTCCAACAACATGGCAAGTGCGTACATTGCAAATCTTGGACTACCAGTGTCGCTGCTACGCCTGAAAAGACCGGCGCAAGATGCTTCTCTGCCGCCCGGAAACCCGAGACACGGGCAGAAGCGGGAACAATCCTAGACACATCTTCGCCACAATGGATTGGTGCTACATCTATTACTGGTCCTGTCTCAGAATATTACTACAACAACGTGCCGCAAGACGCAACGGTTGAGACAGCCATCTGCCACCCGCAGATATCTTGACGGGATATTATTCACAAATTCTGTAAATACCTCTTGAATTTGCTTCCCAAGGTACGAATAGATCTCTGCACAACACTCAGACACCCAGCTCTAAATCCAAAAATCTCACTTGATCAACATGAAGTTTATCTCAACCCTTCTAACCGTGCTCGTCAGCCTTGGCTTTGCCGGCACTGCTGCAGCAGCGGATAGCGTGAGTGACCACCCTTGATATTTGCAAGGAGCAGCCTGGTATTAACTACAGCCATGACACTACGCAGTACTCCGTAGGTCAGGAACGCAATTCTTCATACTAACTACAATTACTGTCACACAGAAAATAGCACACCAGCTATATTTAGTATCAGGCCACGTAGTATATATAAGGATTAAATAATATATATTATATAAAGTTGAACGCTCTTTTTACCTAAGGCATATACTATAATACTTTCTTTTGGCTCAAGTACGCAATATGAAGGTGTCCTGCTTCCGTGTGAGAATTACCAATGACCCCAGCGGAACATGCAAGCCAATCAACAAGGTATTTGAGCAACTCGCATCCGTCGTGGTGTCATGTCCAATCTACATCGCCAACGCCGTCTCTACCGTAACAAACGCCAGTCCAATCGTACGCCCAGACAATCCCCCCAAACACACTGGGAATCAATCACCTGTCCCTTACAGCTCTCCCCCTAGGGATGAAGAGTCATCCTACGAAACGACACCCAGCAGATAGCAATCTGCGTCAACCTGCAGCACAAATGATTAGCGCGAGCAAAAAACACCCAAGAGCGAGCCAGGGCGGCACTCACGTCGCAGCACAGCCGAGACCCAGCCCAGCGGCCGTCAGCTTGACGACCACGTCGCCCGCGGCTCTCTCCTCGTCCGGGTCCGACGCGTAGGTAAAGGTCGAGCCGCCGTCGGCCCACCAGCTCCTGAACAGGCCGAGGCAAATCACGGCCACGACCCAGCCAATCGTGATGACGATGCCAATCGCCATGCGGAAGTGCGACCGGAAGTTCAAGTACTCGTATTTGCTGAGCGAGAAGCCAAACTGCACCAGGGACCAGAGGATCGACGTCGCCGCCTAGGAGCCGCCCGCGTTAGCTTCTTTGCTTCTTCTTTTCCCAGGGCACAGAGGGGTGCTCTGGACAAACAAGGGCGAGACTCACCGGAGGGCCGAGGATGCCTATCAGTATGACACCCGACCTGGAGGTGGCCACGCCGCCGACGACCAGGATCGCGATGCACAGCATCACAGACAAAACGCGCAGCATCAGTTCCATGTTGCGGAAGCCGCAGAACCCGACGATGGGCGAGGACGGCTCGGCAAACGCCTTTGGTTTGGCTGCCATTGCGAGCGAGGCTGTTGAGAATTGGGCGTCTTGGGGAAACGGAGGCGGTGGGAGCTGACTGCAGGCAGGCGTCAAGGTTCAACAATGCCAATGGCGTGCCTGGACGGGCCTTGTTTGGCTTTTGTACAAGCTTTCGGGATTAATGTGTAGACTGGACGACCTCGGCAGAAGAGAATCCCGTCTGGTAGACCGGTCGGCAATTCCAGGACAAACTTTGTACGTCGGTGAGGACGGTGTAGCAGCCACGGCTGGATGGGCAGGGACGAGGTAGGGACCGTACATGTAGGGGCAGACAGCCGATTGGCACCCGTTGGCATTTATGATTGACAGCAACATTGAATTGACCAGTTGACTTCCATCGGGACGTGGAATTCGGGCGCTCGGTCCGCTTCTGTGGTGCCAGCAGGCTTCCGTCCAGGTGCCGCCAGGCCAAGGCGGCGTGCTTTGTCGATCCGCGCGCCGACGCCACGGCTGCTCCGTCCACGACAGGAGCCGGCAGTGTGATGTGCCGACAGCAGGTTTTTTCCGTCCGAGTTCTTGCCGCGGCGACATCTTATTCGCGGTCGGCGTCGCAGCCCTATCTTGGTGGCCTGTTCGCCTTGGGCCTTGGCGACATGCTGTGTTTGGGATCGTCGCCATGCTAGCCTGCTTCGGCGGCGACAAGCACGCTTGCTTTGGCAGCTTTATCCGTTTGTGGACGTATTGGCGCTGCCAACATTCCGCAGCAGGGGGAGCTAGCATTACCTGCAAGATGCGACGTCACCATATCAGTTGGTCTTCTTGCACATGTTGCCCCAGCGCCTCTGAGTCTCTGACATGTGACAACTGCTGACTCGCCAGCTCCAGGGGCCCCAACACACGACAGCAAGGACTGACTAATCTCAGAAATAAAACGGCATCGGAAATACTTTCTTTCTATCGCGCTGTATGCTATATATGGAAATAAAAACGAAGACGAAAAACAAAATCCCCACCCGTTCTAAACAGTAGCGGCGGCATATGGCTCGCCAAATATGCCATCTCGACTCTACCAAGCAATCTTAGCCACCGGGCCGTTGGGGAATAGTCGAACCACCAGTTTTCTAATCTCGTCCATGCAGAGAATACCCACGGCCAAAGGAAGGGGGATAAGCCAAAACTCAATGGGAACGCTCGCTGTGCCAAACAACGACTGAATGCCGGGGACTTCGGTGACGAAAATCGCAATGGCGAGAGAAATCACCATGCTCAGAATGAGCCAAGGGTTGCGCCTCTTCTCCGTGATGGGATCGGCCTGCACGATGCTCAGTCGGCGGTTGCGCACTGCCAGAATGTTCCCCCACTGCAGGATCACCAGGGTGACAAAGTAGACGCTCTGCCCGACGGCGTTGAAATGCGTCAGCTGATCCTCCGTGTAGCCGTAGAAGCCATCCGTGTACTTTTCAAAGGCAAAGAACAGGCTGCTGACGGGGATGCCCGCCTCCTTCCAGTAGTAGAAGAAGAACATGGAGTGCGCGGTGATGGTCTCCATGAAGCCCGTGAAGAGGTAGGCCTGGACGTAGATCTTGAGCGTGATGAGATGGTCCCTCTTGTGGTTTCGGGGGGGTAGGGACAGCAGGTCGAACTCCTCGCGCTCCATGATGAGGGAAAGCGAGAGGAACAGGTCGGTGAAGACGCAGATGATGATCATGAGGAACGAGCTCAGCGGGAGAGGCACGCCGAAGAAGACGTTGACCAGCACCGGCCAGATCTCCGACCACGACCCGGCGGGGAGCAGGTACGCAATCACCTTTTGGAGATTCTGGAACACCAGCCTGCCCCAGCGGATGGCCTCGATGATGGAGTCGAATCTGTCGAGCAGCACCAGGTCCGCCGCCTCGATGGCAACATCGCTGCCGGTGACAATGGCCACGCCAACGTCGGCCGCTCGGAGGGCAGGCGCGTCGTTGACACCGTCACCGGTGACGGCAACGACATTGTCGCGCTTGCGGAACTCTTCGACGATGCGCAGCTTCTGCTCCGGCGTGGTTCTGGCAAAGACGATTTCTCCATACTCGCAGATCACGTCCCAGTCTTCTGGCACCAGATTGCCCAGATTCTGGCCCTCGAGCAACAGGCTGTGTCGCTCGCCAGTCTTTCGAGCATTAGCGAGCTCCGCGGCGGAAATCGCCTTGTCGCTTTTGATGGTGTCGATGGTGTCGGGATCGCGCTCACTGCTGAAAATACCAGTGTTGCGGGCAATAGCGGCGGCAGTCAGGCCGTAGTCGCCGGTGACCATGAAGAATCTGGCGCCGGCACGTCTGCATTCGGCCACTGTATGTGCGGTTTCGGGCCGAGCAGGATCGATGATGCCAAGAATTCCAACAATGGTGAGGTCCTCAGTGGCACTAAGAGCGACCTCGTCACTGAAGGCATTGGTGCCCACGGCGTTCTTCGCAGTAAGGGTCTTCTCGCAAAGAACAATGACACGTTCGGCGTTGCGAGAGAGCTTGTCTTGGTACGTTTTGAAGGCGGACCGCGCAGTCTCGTCCATGGGCTGAACCGAGTTTGTCTTCTTGGACCAGTACTTGGTGCACGTTGGTAGCAGGACATCCGGCGCGCCCTTGACGAAAACCTGGTATTCGCCCGAGGAACCATCGCTGTCTGCTTCCTTGCGGTGCAACGTGAGCATCCACTTGTTCTTGGAGTTGAAGGCGATCTGGGACAGACGAGGCACAATGGCCGTGCCAAAGTCGCCGCCATTGGCGGTAGCTGCAAGCCGGAGAACAGCGGCATCGGTGGCATTTCCTTGGACCTCGCGGCTGGAGACGGGCATGTTCATGGTTGTAGGGTCGAATGTGGCATCGTTGCAGTGAGATGCAGCTGCAAGCAGTCTGGTAGAGCTTGCTTCGGCCTTGTCGCTGTTGACGGTGCGGTAGAAGTCGTCCAGCTCGATCGGTCCGTCGATAAACGATGCCGAGTTGACATGCATTTTGTTTTGGGTCAAGGTACCAGTCTTGTCGGAGCAGATGACACTGACACATCCCAGGGTTTCAACCGTAGAAAGACCCTTTGGCAAGATATTGACCGCCTTCATCTTCCTCGCCACCATCATGAGCGTCAGAGCAACGGCCACGGGCATGCCTTCGGGGATAAAGGCCACCACACAGCTCATGACATTGTTCAGCATGGCAACAACATTCATAAAGTCATAGTGGTCGCGACGCAACCAGCCGAGCCAGGTGAAGAGGATCAAAAGCGCCAGGCAAACAGTCAGCGCTACAATGATGTAGACAAACCGCCAGATTTCCTTCTGAATCAGAGTAGCACGTTCCTCGGTAGAAGCGGTGGCCTTGGCAATACGACCCATGACAGATCGGGGACCAGTCAAGACGACGACGCCGACACCGCTGCCGTTCACAACCAGCGTGCCCATGAGGGCAATGTTGCGGCTCTCCAAGAAGTTTTGGTCCGTCATGTCAACGGCGCCCTCAATCTCGTCGGATTCGCCAGTGAGAACGGCACGGTCGAATCGAATATCTCCAGAGTGGCTGATGAGACGCATGTCGGCAGGTACCTTGTTGCCAATTTTGAGATGAACGACATCTCCACTAACAAGTTGCGTGGCCGGCATCTTTTTCAATTGCCCGTCTCTCATGACCAGCGCTTCTGCTGGCAGCAGGTCGGTGATGGACTTCATGGTTCTCGATGTCGACCAGTCTTGGAAGGCAGAGAAACCAGCCTGAAGCATAATGACCAGAATTACCAGGATAGCGAGGGCAAGATTGGTAGGGGAAGGGGGGTTGCTCAGGGGCCTCCAGCAGATGAAGAAGACAACGACACCAACCCAGAGGACGGAACAGAAGCCGCCAAAGAGGTACATCAAGATCTTCTTCAGATAGTTCGTCTTGGGCTTTGGCAGGGTATTGCCGCCATCTCGCTGGAGTCTGTTGGCAGCAGAGCTCTCAGAAAGACCCGATGATTGGGAAACATTGAGTTGCTGACACAGCTGGTCGGCCTGGAGCTGATGAAAGGTCAAGTTTGTAAAGTAGTCCTCGTCGTCCTTCTTGCTTGACTTGATGTCAGCCGAAGAGTCGGTCTCAACCTTACGGGACTCGGCCACCTGGATAGAGAGGGTTCGATATGTAATCGGGAGGCCGGAATAGGGAGCCGTGGTGATGCCATCACGGCTCATGGATCTTCGACGGGACAGGGAGCGAGAGTCTCTGCGATTGCCCTGATCTGCAGCCGCAGCCCTCCCCCTAGGGTGGGCGGCATCATCAAATGCGATGCGAAGGTCGCGGTCGGCTTCCTTTTCGAGTACTTCGTCAGCCGAACTGGAGGTGTCTTCAGGCATTGTGTGTGATTTGTCTCGGCCAGGCCCAACTATTTTGCGTCTAGAGTATGGGTGAAGGAGAGAAACAAGGGCAAAGATCCAATAACAAGCTCAGTAGTATGAGACTGTTCCAGAGTTCTGCAGGGACCTTTGGCTGCGGTGCTACTCAACCTGCCACGTTTTTCTCTGCTCGTGATGCAAGAATGGAGAGACAGAGTCAACGCTGCAGGAGACGTGGCACGGCAAGTCCCTCAAATAACAATGAAATATCACAAGATACACACACGATCTTTGGAATTCACAGCCCGGCCCTGGCCTTATATGGACAAACCGGCCGGCCATGTTTGCTGCACCGGGGGGGTGGCCGGCGGTGGTGGTGGTGGTTGCTCTCAGCCATGTGGCCAAGAGAGGGCAATCTTGCACATTCACGCTCATCGCCGGCTGAGGATTATGCCTCACGCCAATGAGAATCGGGGGATCCATTCTTTCCAGCTCCCAGCGTGAAGCCATCCGTGTCATCTGTCCCTCGCGTGCGGCGCCCATCGACGGGCAAACGTCCTCTGGCGGGCATAACAACGTATAAAGACGACGAATAACAAATGGCGCATACATGTACAGGACTCTGAGGATATCGAGGCCCAGTTTCTCAGCCACGGGGCGTGTTAGTCTGTCACAGGATCGTACCGTTCGTCTTGCCTGAATCGGTAAGGGAAGAAAACGTGTCTGCGCCGCCCTCATCAAGGGGTGGCTGTTCTCCATGTCAGCTTTTGCTCTCCCCGGACAAGTCTTGTCATCTCGAGATGAATTTTACTCGGTACATGGCCGGAAAATAGGTGTGCTGTGGAGATGGCCAGCGTGAACCCGTTGGATCAAGGCTGTGCGCGTGCCAATTTTTTTTCTTTTCTTGAGCTTATTTTGTCCCTGCTGATGGTGATTTATTGCGAAATAATTGGAGCTGATCCAAGTTCTGGAACGGCCTGGCTTGGTCAAGCGATGCCTGTTGTTGGCCTGTTATTCTGGCGATCGTCTCGTCGGCGGTTTCGCCGTTTGCAGCTATTTGCTTTCAGCTGGGAGTCGACGTGCCGCAACCGCAGACAATAATTCGGCTGAACCGACTGGACGGCATAGAAGGTAAAGGGAGAAGGAATTAACAGATGAGCACTGGATTGTCTCGCCAATATTCAGTTCTCTGTTGCCGTTCCAATCCGTTAGTCTAGGAGCATTTCGTTGGGGCGGAGTTTCTCAATGCGCCCAAGGCACTTTCGTATTCCTCACGTGGCTAATGAACCAAATAACTGGTAATCTAGGCCCATCTCCTGTTTCAATATTCGTGGTTCGAAGATGTTTTCCTTTGGAAGCTGTTGCATTCTTCTCCATGTGAGTTGTCTCACTGGGCATTCATAGCGTTTGCCGCGCGCAACCCATAATCCAATCTCCCGGATTCGATGTTCGCCCCAACCATGTGCAATGACTACACCATCCCGGCAGTCATCTGCATCAGGCTGTCACACGGCATGATGTTTTTTTTTAATTGCGGGTTGCACAACCAAGGGCATCGCAATGCCACGCCTCTCGCCATTACCGAGTGTAAGCAGGCCAAATTGATCAATCGAGAAGTGCAACTTGGGCGGCAAAGGCGCCAGTCCATCATCCATCAATTGATGGCCTTCAGCATGTCTCCAAACCATCATTCCAGGCTGACACACTAGCGGTGCCGTTATCCGAGGACCGATGGTACCCAGCCTTCCGTCTTGCCAAGTGTTGCCCCGATCAAAATGGTGCTCTGTCATGCGTCTTTCCGCTCAGCCCTTGATTGCACCTCTCCCTGGGGGCGAAAAACGCTGTTCCACCAAGCCACAGCAGCCCAATCCAGGAACTATGACCTCAGGTGCTCGCAGTGAGGCTTCCGGGGTGGGATGCTAGGGCTGGAATCGGTTCAAGTACATACGTATGGGTGCATCGATCCTTGCATGAGTGCATGTGAAAAAGAACGAACGAATGGATGGGTAGCATGATGGCTGCGAACAGGAGCTGAGGCCGCGCACTGCCGTACTGAAGAGCAAAGTGTCGAGTCTCGTTATTCCAAAAGAAAAGAAGAAGAAATTCTATGAAAAAAAATCTCCCCTTGCTCTTGCCCTGTGTACTCCGTACCCATTGGCAAGCTACGTGGACTAGCCACTTCCACTTCGTTGTCAACAGGTCAATACTTGATTGGACCTTGGGCACGTCCATTCGCCCGCCTATTTCCCTCATACTGCCTCGATTCTAGACCGCGTCGAGACAGGCGCCTGGGTCTCTGCCACAAAGCTGCCCGCCACAACGTGGCGATTCACAACGACGTGAACAAATCTGCGGGCCTGTCACCACGACGCCATGGTCGGATGCTGCCATGTTGCCCAGAGAACTAATTATAGCGCCTTCATGTCCGGTTCGTTCTCGTGGTCCGCAAGTCGGTGCTCCCTGTCGAGCATTCCACGGAGGCGGGCAGCGTGTCCGGAGCAGCGACAACGGAGAGGATGGAGAGCATGTCTCGACTCTCGAGACGACATTGCACTGGCCACCGCTTCATACCAGTCCATCCTGCTAGTATATTTCCATCGTCTGTACCACGCGTCCTTCTGGTACCATTTCTCCGTCCATCATGCCATGAAAGTAACTCTCACCGACGAGCTGCCACTTTCCGCCTTCCAAGTCGCTCACGCCATTGTCCGCAGTCCGTTGACGCCGCAGCAGAAAGGGCACCTGCGCGCCGGGAATGATGAAAACCGCATCACCAACTCTGGAGTACGGCGGTATCATCCCCATGTATCCTCGCTCTGTGGTGGCAAACATGCGCTCTCGTGTGTGCGGCCCTGCAACGTTTGCGAATCTACCACTGTCCAGGGCGTAGTATGTGATGTCACTGCCGAGCCTCTCTTGTTCCTCAGCACTGAGGCTCGGGTTCAATGGGTTCATGTCTGGTCCGCACTTGCGCAGCGTCTTGATGAATCCTTCCACGGCTTGAAAGTACGTGGCGAAGATGGGGTCCGCGGGCCGCGTGCCGCTTGGTGTTCTATCGCCAACAAGTGTCCTCCAAAATGCTTCGGTAAGAGAAATACCAGTCACATAGGGCGCGCTGAGCGATCCGTTCAAGGCTACCTCTCGACTATCGGCGAGGTTCTTGAAGCTCCCTGGAAACTTTTCCGTCTTGACCACCCCATTCTCAGATACGCCGAAAAATTGAGGGCCCAACTCCTTGATGCAGTCCACTTGGACACCCTCGGTGATGAGGGTAAGCCCGTCATCGCCCAGCATCATCTTCAGTTCTTCGTCAACAACACCTGACGCACGGTACGAACTCGAGTTGGGATGGCGCCATAGCATTCCCGCCAATCTCTTGCTGCTCCAGTCCGGGACCCAAGATAGTTGCAGATTGTGATTGCGATGGAAGCCAACGCCTGCTAGATGAAGAATGCGAGAGGGGTGCTCTTTTGATAGTAAATATTCGGCCGTCCTCAAGAACGGGCGCTCGATTGCCGAGTTGTAATCGGGCATGATGTCGCCAGTGTCCGCAGCCGCGCTGATTCCTTGCACCGCAAATATATTGTCTCGCGCATCTGTAGCAGTCGAGTTGATACTGGAGATCAGGAGATCAAAGAGCTGTGTGGAGTGGTTGGCCTGAATGATTTCGCGGAGACGGCCAAGAGACGCAATCTGTACTCCGGCATCCATGGGAAGCGGATCGAGGGTCCTCCAGTAGATTTTCGATATGTGCCATACATGGTTCGGGTCGCCGGTGAAGAGGGTCGTCATCAAGGATGAAAAGTAGTCCCAGGTGATGAGTTCCCCTCCGTACGATATAATCACCTTTTTCGACACGGCAATCTCCTGAATCACCCAGCACCTAGCCCAATAGTCATGATTGACAAGCCGAGTGAGCGCAGTCCATCCGGGGCTCTCAATGTTCAATTCCATGAGCGACATGGCTTGTCGTCTGGTGGTCTCGTCAGAGTCTATGCGGCGACGGAGATGGGAGAGAAACCACACGGCGTCGTTGGCGTCGGACCCATGACCAAGCCATATCACAGTGTGGTATGAAGATCCATATATCTTTCTCATCAACTGAACCTGGGAGCTTTTTTCCTCATTGTCTTGTTGGTTAATACAAATCGAGTCTACCCATATATGCCTCGTCATGAGAAACGAGGCTCTGTCGTGCACGATGTCATAGACTCTGTCAGAGACGTCCAGTCTAGCTCCATCAACGATGAGTCCTTTCCGGGTTTGTCGACTGCCCCAAGTGTACGAAATCGTTTCAAACTCTACCGCCTCGTCTAAACGCACGTGGACCAGTTTGCACTGAACGGGGCTCCACGGCGTCGACTTGGAAAGCCTCAGCAGGCGAATTTCTCCCGGAGCAAGAGCGGAATAAGTGTACGTCTTGAGCGTTGTGACACGTGCCGCCGTCTTCCCATCCGTGTAAGAAACCAGAGATGCACTGATTTTCACGAGGAATCGAAGACAATGTCGCACCGCGGTGGCAACAAGTCCTCCAGCCATCCCAAGACCAGTCAAGATTTTGGGCCAGGTAAAATTCCAGATTCTGGTCACTTCGCTGTTGAAATTTTGTACGGGGTTATCGACCATGATCATCCACATGATTCCGGGCACGCATATGAAGGCCAAGATTTGCGACAAGACGGAAAAGCTCCAACAAGCGAAGCTCCAGATAGCTCCTACATTGCGGAACACAAACGACAGCAAAACGTAAAATGACAATTCAGACGCTTCGACAAAGAGCTTCGTAGTAAGGTCATCGTCAGCATCATCGCGGCTGGCGAACCGTCGGAGGGTGAGGGCAGTCGTTCGCCACGACGTTTGCCCGAAGAAAAAGAGATACATGTGAACGAGAATGAAGATTGTATCGGCAGGAATGTAGTATCCATACAGCCCTATATTGGACAAGACCGAGGCACAGACTTTGGCGAGTATGGTATCTTTTAATGCGACAACACCAGCTTTGAGACCGAGCGCGCTAAAGACGATCAAGGTTCGTATTTTTGGAGGGAGGGCCGTGAGTGCAGCGGCCAGCTGATTTGGCGCTGCATTTGGCGATGCCGACATTGTATTTTCGCTGGTGCTACGATTTTCTGCAAAGTTGACTGTAGGGGCTCAGGCGGCCGCCCGAGGTCATATTTATGGCCAGCTGTGCCAACATGTTGATGTGAACGGAGCTGAGTTTCCACATTGAGGTCGGGGTTAGAAATCGCTTGATGTCGAGTACCACAAGTGCGCCTATTCAGCGGGGCTGAGCTGACTTGCGACAGCCTCACCAATGAATTCCCAAAGGCAGAGTGCTTAAATCGGTAGGTACGCAGTCAGCCTCGCGCGTAATCATGAGAAAGCATTGATTCCATGCCGACCTTGCCGGTTTATTTGTACTCATTCTGGGGCAGGCATACCGAAGAGCCTGACCTACGATGACGGCAGGCAGAAAACGAGAACATAAACTGATGCCGCCACCACTCTGCTATAGCAGAAGAGTGCATTGTAAAACTTCAATGGGAATATATGCCCGTCAGCTATTAGGTGGACGAGCCGCTTGACTGACTATAAAATTATTAGCCTACATGTAATAAAAAAAATTATAAAAGAAAGGGCTAAATAATCGTGCAAGAACACGAGCAACACCCTATTAGATTAGCCGTACCAGGCTAAGAAGCCGTAACTAACCGCGTCAAGTAATATACCAAGAGTATCGACACCTCGACGCATTATAACGCGCCAAACACACTAGCAAGTTAGTAATTCATCACCGCGCGCGTCTCGCGATAGCCTCAGCTACTAATTACGTCAAGAAAAAATACGGTTTATGCCAGTGACTCACACCGTAAACTTAAACATGGACACACAACGTAAATTAACGAGGTCTCGTCCGCATCCCACGAGTCAGTCCTCTCTCTCTCTCTTCACACGACCCTTTAAAATCGAGAGACTTAAGAAGGCGGCGCGGGATGCAGGGACGAAGGAAGATAAAAGGGGCGCGAAGATCAAGAAGGATACTAAGAAGCTATAATAACCCCCCTACACTAGATGATTCTCATCACAGGGGATTTATTATAGCTTCTTGATATATATTTTTAATCTTGACGCCCCCTTAATCTTCCCTCTTCCCTGCATCCCGCGCCGCCTTATTGAGTCTCCCAATTCCCTCGGGGTCCCGCAACTTCAAAGAAGCGTCCCTTTTCATATCAATATTTGTGCTGCTGTCAGCTAACATGAGGCCTCCCCCCGGAGGGTTAAATCTATCACCATCATTAACAGTAACAGCAGGGTCAATAGCAGCAGCAGGGTCAAACTCACTGTCATCAACACGCTCTCACCGCTTTGACTACCCCCTAGGTCAACATTTCGTTGGCATCAGGGTCTTGTACAGCCGTATCCCAAGCTTTGAGCTGGACTCCGCCAAATATCCGAACCCTGACTTCATGCAGGCGAACTGCAATAACGCCGTTTTCGGTCCCGTGTGATGACATGGCTTGTTGTCCCCGGGAAGCTTCAGTATTCAACGATTTCGCTCTCGGCAATGTCCACCGCTTCAGCAGTGTATTTCCCGGCACATTCGCGGAACTAGACTGGCCGGGTGATCCTTCTTTAGACTTGACGAATCTGACGCCCTCGCCCACCATGAAACCGCCGGCATGGTAGAATTTTTGAGATGCCAGTCTAAACCGACTGATAATGTCGCCTGGTAAAGTTTTGACCAGAGCCCGGGTATGCTCAGGTCAAGGTGTGCCGATTACTTTCCTGATTTTATCACAAGCTAGGTGAACGTGAGGCCTTTCCCCTCTCTGAATGGTTAAAAGGGAGATCGTGTCGGGCCAAGTAACAACTGGCTCTCTATTTACCAGTCCGTTTCTACGACTTTTTGTACTGTTTCATAAGTTGTCAGGTTGTCGATTAGCGGGAATAGAACATTTTCTATATCGAGAGGGTTGGCGATAAGCGACCTGATCTCACATGGACCTTGGGGACTGAGCAGACTCTTCGTTAGAACCAAATTTCCGATTCCGGTGCTGAGGATACAGAGGGCGCTGCAGGGTCGACTACCGTTGAAGCTTCGCCTTCGCCTTCGCCTTCGCCTCCGCTTGGGATATCTTCCTTGTCATCCTGACCACTATAGAAAAGACGCGAAGCCCATAGAGCTGCTTGCAATTGGTGGTCTCCAATATGTGCCCGTATATTCCTCGGTGACAAATTTTTTTCCTTGCAGAATGGGCGGAACAGTCCTCAAACGTGCATATGTAAAGCTAGAGATCGCTAGTCACATGTTTCCTGTGATTTTGTCAGAATCGAGCTCGGCTCCCCAATGACAACGGGATAAAGTTTCACCTCCACTCTAAGGTAGTGCCGGGATTAATGTATAAAGAACAGAATGGGCATGGAGAAACGGTTGATGGGCGACTGGTGAGGGTGGCGGCGGGATTCGTGGCTTCAACAGCTCACTATTCCGTAATGCAAATAAAGTTTCTGATCCAGAATTCGTCTTTATCTCCTGTATCTCCCAGTCTGGCTTTAAATGCCACGAACAAACTTCAATCTCGTGGCTTTCTAGACCTGCAAGTTGCGGCGAGCGAGAAGCGAAATGACTGACTGGAAAATAGATTAAAGATGTGGTGTAGATACTACTGCTGTTGGAGGGAGGGTAGTGACAGCACATTGATCGACCATCAGCAGCAGAGATGCGTGATATGGCTTTGAGGATGTCGAGGAAGACTATAATGGTCCGAGACAATTAGACGCCAAGCTTGAGCAAGAGATTCTGTTACAAGATATACAGGGTCAAGTACTAACACACAAAAGTATGTGGCGTGGCCACGCCCATTTTTTGGTACTACTAGTAGTACGACAAATTCACCAGCCACAACGGTTCCTGGCTCCTTCCCCTTGGCACCCAGCGTGGAAGCCCGGTTGCCGCGCTAGTGGCTGTTCACCGCCACACTTGAGCCACCCGCGGGGTGACTGGTCCGATACAGCGCACAGTCACATCCCACTTTCCAATCCGTCAATCAGACCACCCAATCTCTGACACTTTTCTGTGACTCATGTCACGCCGTGTCTAAAAACGCAGCACTCTTCCGCCATTGACCAAACACTCCTCGCAAGACGCAGAAACCATTCACCATGGCGACCATCTATATTGACGAGGACATTGGCAAGGACGAGCCCACGCAGCAGGGCACCGAGCAGTCTCCCTTCAAGACGCTTCAATTCGCCTATCTCCAACACCCCGCCCAGGCCCAGTACCTGACACGAAAATCTGAGAGCGCCGACGATGAGGCCGCCCGAGAATGGAAGCCTGCAGCCAAGTCTGCCATGAAAAAGGTTGTCAACTACTTTGAGCAACAAAAGAAGAAGGCTGCGCGCGAGCAGGAACTCGCCATCCATCGCAAGAAGGAGGAGGAGGAGCGCCACAAGGTTCTGGACGAGGCCAAGAAGATTGTTCTCGAGGAGGATCCCAGCCTTCCCAAACCCGTCACCATCAAACTTGATGAGGCTGGTGACCACATTGCGCTTCGCAAGGCCGACGATGCCGATAGCAAAGGAACCCGAGTCCGCGTGTTCGGCCGCGTCCACCGCGAGAGAAAACAAAAGGATGTTTTGTTTGTCACCCTGCGTGATGGCTATGGCTTCATGCAGGTGGTCATCTCTGGCAAACTTGCCAAGACGTATGAGGCTCTTACCCTTACCCGCGAGACCTCGATGGAGATCTTTGGTGAAATGCGCGAGGTCCCCGCGGGAGCCCGCGCCCCTCTCAACCGAGAACTGCACGCCGACTTTTACAAGATACCCAAGCACTGGAGAGCCGTTGGCGGTGACGATGCCATCACCAACAGAGTCACGGCCTCTACTGAGCATTCCACTCTGCTCGACCTCCGCCACCTTACCCTCCGTGGAGAGAACGCCTCATCGGTCCTTCTTGTCCGCGATGCAATGGAATACGCCTTCAACCGGGCATACCACGAAGCCAGGATCCGCAAGGTCAGCCCTCCTGCGCTGGTACAGACTCAGGTCGAAGGCGGCTCCACGCTCTTCAAGTTTGACTACTACGGAGCCGATGCTTTCCTCACCCAATCCTCTCAGCTGTATCTGGAGACCTGCCTGCCTTCCTTGGGCAGCGTCTACTGTATCGAGAAGTCTTTCCGCGCTGAAAAGTCCCTGACCCGGAGACATTTGTCCGAGTTCACTCACATCGAGGCCGAGCTCGACTTTATCAACTTTGACGATCTTTTGACCCACCTTGAGACCCTCATCTGCCGTGTCCTAGAGCTGGTCCTGGAGGATCCCATGATTGCCGGATACATCAAGACGCTCAACCCCGAATTCAAGGTCCCTGAACGACCCTTTATGCGCATGAGGTACTCGGATGCTATTAAGTGGCTCATTGACCACGAAATCCCCAACGAGGAGGGCAACCCGCACAACTTTGGTGACGACATTGCCGAGGCCGCTGAGCGCAAGATGACCGACATCATCAACAAGCCCATTTTCATCACCCACTTCCCTGCGCACATCAAAGCCTTCTACATGAAGAGGGACCCTGAGGATGACAGAGTGACTGAGAGTGTCGACTGTCTCATGCCTGGCGTCGGTGAGATTGTGGGTGGTTCCATGAGAATAGACGACTACGACGAGCTGCTTGCCGCGTGCAAGCGCGAGGGCCTCGACCCCGAGCCATACTACTGGTATATCGACCAGCGCAAGTAAGTCGGCCGGAAGGATGCCGTTTATGGCGTTGGATTGCGCGCACAGTTGCTAACCGCATTGGAACAGATATGGAAGCTCCCCGCACGGCGGTTACGGCGTTGGTCTCGAGCGTCTCCTCGCCTGGCTGTGCAAGCAGCACACTGTTCGAGATTGTTGCCTGTATCCGCGCTACATGGGGCGCTGCAAACCCTAAACATTTGGCACTCTGTGTACGCACTTTGTGTCGACTGCATCTGCCTTGTGTAGCTTTGCTTTGAGAAGGGAAAAAATGGATTCTGCTAGGAGTCATGGCATTGGACTTGGGTCGAAAACAACAGCGACGCCGTTGGCTTTTAATGTTAAATCGTAGCAATAGAGACGCATCAGAGACTTGGGGACAGATGGTAGACGAGCAAACGAATAAAATATCATTGATGACAAGAGCTACGTGGCATGGCCATGGTGTGTGTCTCGGTACGTGGAGCTTAGTATTCAGCATGGTAAAAACCCAACATGGCCTGGTTTTCGGGCACGCATCAGGTTCACATGATATTCACATACTTTATAAAGCAGACATGACGGCTCTCAAGCGCAAAGCAACACCCATGATCCATTCGCAACTTGACAGTTGGAGGCTGGTAACGGTGGTCTGGGGACGCACGAGGCGTGAACACGGTCATGGACTCATGGCGGGCGGGTGTCCTACACCACAGCCACTGTTGTAGGTTCAATCGAACAGGAAATTCTATTACGGGGGCATGATTCATGCGTCATCTATAAAACATGTGCAAATGCTGCCCGGAATATGTAGCGGGGGCTCCCTTTCCCCCGGCAAATCTAGTGCAGACGGCCGAATGATGATGGTGGACGCCAAATGCACTGACAGAACCCATATGTACAAAGTGGAAGAATTAAAAAAAAAAGAGACAGAAAAATATACAAGCGAAGTGGTAAGTCACCGTTTTCCCCATGCCAATCAAGTTTCATCAGCCACATGGGTCCCCTTGTCCCCCGCGTCCCCCGCACTCACACCAAAAAGTTGAGCGTCTTGGAAACGCTCGGCACGCCCTTGTCGTTCATGACAAACAGCATATAGTAGCCGGGCAGGACGACGCCCGTGTCGGCAGGCACCTCGGCAGTGTAGCGATTATCGCCGGCGCGAACCAAGGTCAGCGGCACGCGGCGCTGGTCCGTGTTGACGGTGTGCGTGGCGGTGCCGAAGCGGATGAGCGAGGCGGACGCGACGGACGAGTCGGTCTCGATGGTGACGGTGCGGCCGGACAGGGTCGCGGAGCGGATGACGGGGCGGACGGCGGGCTGGCCGTCCTTGGTGAGCAGGTACTGCGGCGTGAAGACCTGGCCGTCAAAGTGGTTGGTGTTGCAGTCGCCGCAGAGGCCGCCGCCGGCGCTGAGCACAGTGGCGTCGGGCAGCAGGAGGGCGACGCTGTGGTAGACGCGGACGATGGAGTTGGGCTGCTGCTTGTAGAAGGCGTCGGCGACCGGGTCGTACAGCTCGGGGGTCAGCTGGGGCGTCTCGTCGGAGAAGGGCACGGCGTAGCTCTGGCCGCCGGTGATGAAGACGGTGCCGTCGGGCAGGACGGCGGAGGTGTGGAAGGCGCGCGGGCTCCAGAGGCCGTTGGAGGCGAAGCGCACGTCGGCGGGCTTGCCGGGGTCCCCGATGGTGATGAGGTGCGCGGCGGCGGAGGCCTGGCTGTTCTGGTAGGAGGGCGAGCCGCCAAAGGAGAGGATGCGGCCGGCGCGGGCGTCGAACATGACGGCGTTGCCGTTCATGGCGTCGGGGTCGGTGCCGCGGTCGGAGCGGCGGTCGCCGGCGGGGGCGACGCTGCCGTTGCCGGCGGTGTAGTACCAGTGCATGGCGGTGCTGGGCCCGGCCTGGAAGACGCTGCCGTTGCGCCAGCCGAACAGCCAGGCGTGGTTGTCGGCGCGGAAGATGCCCTGGGCGTCGGCGGTCAGCATGGGCCGCACCAGGGCGCCGGGCAGGCCGGACCAGGCGCGGGCGCGCGGGTCGTAGACCTCGCCGTTCTTGTCGAACCAGCCGCCGCTCCAGCAGCCGCCGATGGTGAAGACGCGGCCGTCGGACAGGGTCGCCGACGCCTGGTAGCCCCGCGCCACCGTCATGTCCGGGCCCGGCAGCCAGGCGCCGCTGGCGAAGTCGTACAGCGTCGTCTTGGACGCCGAGTTGCCGCCCGTCACCACCATCTGGCCCGTGCCGTCGATGGAGATGCCCGGGCAGAACATGTCGTGGTCCGTGTCGTCGACCAGCTTGGGCGTCACCGCGCCCGTCGCCGGGTCCCAGAGCGAGGTGAAGACGCGGTCCTGCGTCGACCCCAGGTAGTTGTCGTACGTGTACGACGACCACACGAGCACCTTGCCCGACACGGGGTCGACCGCCGCCGCCACCGGCACCGTGGGAAAGTCAATGGTCGCGCCCCATTTGCCCACGCCGCCGTACGCCGCCGGGCCCGACTTGGCCGCGTACGCCTTGAGCTCGGCCACGCTCGTCCACGGCGCGCCGCTCACCTCGCTCGTCGCCCGCAGGCGCACGTAGCGCGCCGTCCGCGTCTCAAAGTTGGCGTACTTGAGCAACTTGTCGCCGCCGTACCATGTGCCCGCCGCCACCGTCTCCCAGTTGCTCCCGTCGGTGCTGACGGCCACGTCGTGCTGCGCAATGTAGCCGTGGTTGTTGCCGTCCTGCCGCGGCAGCGCCGAGATGCCGTTGATGTTGTGCATCGACCCAAAGTCCACCACGATCTGGTGCGGCACGTTGGAGCCCTCAAACTTGGTGTGCCAAAACGTGTCGTTGTTGCCGTCAATCGCCTTGATGCACTCGTTGCCCGGCTCGAAGCTGTCGCACGTCACCTTCCATCCCGCGCGGTCGAGCTCGCCGGTGGCAATGGGCGGCGCCGCAAAGAGCTTGGAAAAGGTCGAGTTCTCGTGGTAGTGCTGCTTGCCCGTCAATGGGCTCGGCACTAAGCCGCCGGCGGCCTGCCCTGCAAAAAGGGCGCCGAGAAGCACAGTCTCGGTCGTGAGCTTCATGGTTCAAGTTGTGATGATGGAAACCAGGCCGTCTTGACCAATACGTCACCGCGGGAATAGTTGAAGGTCTTTCAGCAACATGTATCATGCGCCGGCAAGGGGAAACGGGAAGAGGGGCTTTATTATTATTAGCCTTCTTCTTCCTCGTCTTCGTCTTCGTCTTCTTCTTCCTTTCTTTTTTGCATAGACGCTCCTTCACCCCCATGGTCTCGGCTGTGCCATTCGGGGAATTACTATATACAAAACCCATCCCTGACAAAACATGAAGCAGGGGTGGCATGAAAGCAATGCCAATGATCGTGACTCGGCTCCTCCAAAACAAATTAAAAAAAACGGGCTCCATGAACCGTCTGGTTGGCGCGAGTCTTGGAATCGGCTGCGGCGTGCATACCAAGTACACGCCGCCCGTCATTCCAGTTCCACCACGCAGCGTCGGGCCACGAGGCCAATGTCCACATTGACATATTCATTCCACGGCTTGGGGGGGCCTCAGCCGTTCCTCCCGAACAACCCCTGATCCCGGGACTCACATCACTGCTCAGCTCGTCGACGCCACGGCCCACGCCCACGGCCCACGCCCACGACGGCGTCGCCCCGGCCTGCGGCTAATGCCAGGACCGCCTGCGGTTCCAGCAGTTCCAGCGGCCTGAAACTTGAGAGATCGGGAAGGCGGTTCGCGGGGAAGGGCTCTTGTCGCCCAAATACGAGGCCCTCGTCGGAAATGACTAGCGCCCTGGCGCGCATAAGACACGAACCGGCCATGCGGCGAATCAACGAAAAGCCTAAGATTGGCCGTCGATAGTAAACAATGGCAAGCGGGGGCCGCAAGCAAGCAAGCAAGCCTGGCTTCCATTGTCCTCCCAAAAAATCTGGAGACTTGGGGGTTGCTTGCTTATCCGCAGTCCTCCTGATATAAGTGACTTGTGGGCTCAAATGTCGATCCTCACTTTAACCCGACAGGACATTTGTTTCCTTGTCTTCTCTTCTCTCTTGCTTCTTTCGAATCCGAGACATGCCGTCAGCGGGCCGGCAGAAGTCAAAGCAAAAAAAATCGGGCAAGAAAAAAAGGGAAGTGGCATGATCGGGACGATTATTAACTGGGCGTGACATCGCCGCGAGGACTCAACGGGCTAGCTCGCTGCCAACAAACAAGCTGGCATTCCGGTGCCAAGCCCCTCCGCGGGTTTGCCACGGATTACAAGCTCCCAGCTGAACGGATGACGGACAAGAGGGCAGCAAAGGGCGGCCGAGCAGCTTGGTCGCAGCCGTCATCCGATGATGTGCGCGCGCACTGATGCCAACCTGAAGGCGGGCGGGATCTTGTAGCTACGGAGAGAAAAAAACGGCCGGCCAGGAAATAGCGTTTTCGTATTCTATTCTTGGCCACCTTAGGTCCGTGGTGAACAACCCCGGCGCTGCCATCGCAAGCTGCGTCGCCAGTGGGCAGACTCGATAAACTCTATTCAATGTTCCTTTGGCCCTGGCTGCCAGCACAGCACAACCAGACTCGATCACGAGTCTGCAAAACTCTAATTTCCTTGTCAAAGTTCCGGTAGCCGGGAATAGCGTCTCCCTAGAGGCGTGCGTTTTTTCCAAACGGTGAAGGCTTGAAGCGGTCCCGCCCCATCTCGTCTCTTGGACCTTGTCGTATGTTGTATCGAGTTGATTGTTGCTGCCAGGGAACTACCTGAGACGATTGATTGTACGATATGCAGTGCCGGCGAGGTTTCTTGTTTTTTTTTTTGCGGCATTTGGCTCGATCCAGGTAATGTCGCTGCGATTCAGCGTCGAAACCAGGCGGCAAGGATGGCTGCTGCAGACTCGAGCACGCGCTCCGCATGCCGAGTTACACGGTCAATCCGCTGGAAACAAATACGAATCGCCACCTGGGAAAGTGGGAAACGTGGTGAACCTTGCTGCCGTGACCAGACGGTGGGTGGGCAAAGAGGCCGGCCGTCGACGCGGTTGCTGCCAAAACGAGAAACATGGAGGCCAATGGGGGCAAAACGCTCTCAAGACGTGGCCAGTGTCAAAGACGGTGAGCGTGTCGCACGGTCGAGCGGATTGCGCACAGACAAGCCGCAAACCGCAAGCGACTTGCCGAGTTCCTCTGATGTCGTGTTCGCTGTTGGCCGAGGGCTGCACAGCATCGTGGCCCGAAGCAGTAGCCAAGAGTGTTGATCGCGACTTTTATCATTTCCCTCACTTCGCTTAGGCAGACATCCGGCCATGTCAGGATATACGTACATATGTAGTACCTAGTTATCTATCAACTACGGAGTACCCATCTATCTATCTCTCTATCTATCGATCTCTCTACCGGCCAAGTAGTACGGAGTACTTACATGTAAGTAACTACTGCCGGGTTCCGCTTACAGTAGTAGCAACACTTGCCAAGTTGCGATAGATAACCAGACGCATGTAAATGTGCGCAACACCACCCGTAGTGTGTCCTCACCGTTTGCAACAGTCTACCTGCAAATAATACGTGTGGTTTTTTTTTGGGTTTTTTTTTTAGCAAATCTGCCAAAAGCGGAGGCCTCACGCAATTACGAGGGTCAATTTAGTTGATCTTCGGTAGTTATTTCCTTTCAACGATATGCAAATGCGAATACTATGCAGTCAGTCGGTCGGATCTATACCGAGTCCCACATCTTGAACCAAACAAGCCGACAGATTACATGCATGCGCACACCAGTTGACATGAACAAAAATCCCGTCGGCCACTGCCACCCATCCCACGTAGCATGACGTCCTCGAAACCGCTCACAGCCCAGATCCTTGAGAAACCAAGTCGCCCCGATAATAAGTGCCGTGGTTCGATTCGCAGACCCGCCGCCGAAGCCTTTAATTTGAGCACCTTGCGACCCTTCACCACGGCACATACATACATTCGTCTCTGGCCATTTTCAACGCCGGCTGCCGTTCGACTCGACCGATATTCCGTACACGTGGACTATTATGGGAACAGGAGACTGGCGAGCAGCTCATCAAGGCAGGTGGCGTGCCTTTTTGGAGATGCGCAATCTACATACACCCTCGCCTTGCTCCAGCGCATTGACACGTTCAATTTCGTCAAAAGCAGCACGGGGTCTCCGAGAAGGAAGGACTTTGCAAACCTCGCCGTCTACACTTTCCCGCAAACCAGACGGCAACAGCCTCCCCAGCACGCCATGGTACAAACTGCGACAGATATCTTGTCCACGGTAGACGAGGCGATGCCGTAGTCCGGTGCCACGTGCCCAGGCGATAAGTCCAGGAATACCGGTAGCCATTCCCTCTCTTGCCCATGGGAGTTTCTTCACCTAGCTTCCTGCCCATGTCCCAACGGCAGAGGCCGACTCCAATCATGGGCCTCTCGTTCGAGAGCCTCTTCCGCGGAATGCTCTCGTTGCTCTAGACTGCGTTCCGACACGTTCAGGCAGCATCTGCCATCTGTTCGTCCCGTTTAACGTGGTCATCCGCACAACACGGTGGCAGGAACGGAGTGGCCCGAGGCGCAAAACCTTCATCAGGGAGACGTCTGTGACTAACCAACACTTTGCGCGCAGAGCCGTGTCCGATATGCTCAGACTGATTGATGCCAACAATCAAGTGGTGGGAATGGCTACGCAGAGAGCCACTTGGCATTGTCCCATGTCCAGCAATAGTAGTAGTACTACCATGAAGAAAATACTGGACTTGGGAGTGCGGCACTTCGAGGTGTGTCTGGATGCTTTGAAGGGAATGAATGCTGGCCAAAAGCAAAGCAATGTTGCGCGAATCACTGCCCAGGAGCGACGTCTCAGCAGATTTGCAAAGCAAAGCAAAGCATCGTTCGTGGCACAGAACCTGCACATCAATGAGTTACAACGCTCGAATAATCGTAATGCCATGGGGTGCGTTCACCATGGATGGCAGGGCGATATCAGAGTATTCCTTGGTCGTCCATTGTCCTGTTGCTGCTCACAGGCTCGATATTCATGCAAGTCACTTAATTGACTCTGATTCGATGAATCATCTTGTTATCTAACTGCGGTCTATAGGTGTCTATCGGGTCATCATGTCTGCCGTCTATCTTTTGCACCCGCAGTCTCCGAACGTGTGATCAGATCAGCACGCAGGGGATCATCGTGTCTAGAACAAAAAAGAAAAAAACATGGTCAAAATGCAAATATATCATGATGCCGCTTCAACCCGCTTCCCCCTCCATCGGAGAAAAATCTACAAGGTGAGATTTTTCAAATATAAAAGAGAATCAATCAACGCCAATGCGGAATGTGAGCTCTGGTCTTATTCCTTTGTTTTACTCTTTATTTTACTGGGTCTTCATGGAAATGGGCTTCGTGCCCAAGCCATTGCTGTTGCGGAAGAACAAAACGCCTTTGGCAGCACCCTGGGCGTCGGCGCTGGGCTCAACCCACTGGCACCAGCGTGCGCTGAGCCACAGAGCACGGATGAAACCCCAGGGACCATCCCTGGTATCAGAGCGGTAGTGCTTGCCCATGACAGGCTTGATAGCCTCGGAGGCTTCATCGGCATTATAGAAGGGGATGGAGCTGACGTAGTGGTGAAGGACGTGAGTCTCAATGATGCCGTGGAGCAGGTGTCGGCCAATGAAGCCCATCTCACGATCAATAGTAGCAGCAGCGCCACGGACAAAATTCCACTCCTCGGCGGTGTAGTGAGGCAGAGTTGGGTCAGTGTGCTGGAGGAAGGTGATGGCAACTAGAGAGGATCTCGTTAACACGCGTGACAAAATCATGACAGTTTACTTGCCAGACTTACCAAGCCAGTGGTTCACCCACAGATAAGGGATGAAGTACCAGACGGCCATGTTGGCCCAGCCGAATCGGTTGCCGAGGTAGGCGAGAACACTGAAAGCAATGGCAAGACCAATGTCGGAAAGCACAATGTACTTGGCGTGCTTTTGATCAAAGATGGGGGAGCTGGGGTCGAAGTGGTTAACGCGGCCGCCGAAGCCGTTCTTCCTGCCCTTGCCACGGCCCTCACGCTGGCGCTCATGGAAGTTGTGGCCAGTAACATTGGTGAGGAGGTAGTTGGGCCATCCGATGAGCTGCTGGGCAACAAGGTGCAGCAGAGTGTAGACGGGGGTCTCTTCGCAAAGCTCGCCGAGCTCGTGAACCATGCGTCCAACACGGGTGGCTTGCTGCTCACGGGTTCGAGGCAAGAAGACCATGTCGCGCTCCATGTGGCCAGTGGCCTTGTGGTGTGCACTGTGGGAAAACTTCCAGCTGAAGTAGGGGACGAGAAGAGATGAGTGCAGAACCCAGCCGGTCAAGTCGTTGATGAAGGTTGAGGTAGAGAAAGCACCGTGACCACACTCGTGAGCAATGACCCAGAGGCCAGTTCCGAAAAGTCCCTGGAGAGCAGTGTATATGCCCCAAAGGACAAATCGAAGGGGAGTTGAGGGCACATTTTCGGGTGTCACAAAGTTGTGGAAGAGATAGAAAGTAGAGGCGAGGCAGACCACGTCGCGGAGGATGTAGGCGTAACCTTTCAGGGCCGAGCGCTCAAAGCAATGCTTCGGAATGGCATCGCGAATGTCCTTGATGGTGAAGTCGGGGGGCGTGAAGGGGTTGCCGTACGTGTCGAGAAGCCCGGCGTACTCATGTTTGCTGGCATCGACATCGAGAGAGGAAAGCGACGAGAGGGAGGTAGACGATGCCGAATGTCGGGGCGAATCAGCGGGAGTGACAGCGGCAGAGGACTCAGAGTCCGTGGCTGAGGCCGTGGCTGAGGTCGCGGTGCGGCGCAGCACGGGGTGCTTGGGCAGAGCAGTCGCAGAGGCCATGATGTCGGTGTTGTCGACGAAGGACTAAGCCAATTGACGAGGAGAGAGGGGAAAAATTAATCAAGACGGGCCCAAGGCGCAAACCTCTAGCCAGGAGGTGCAAATTACCGTAAGGACAGGTGACAGGAACCGGCGAAAAATAAACTGAGTTGCACCGACTAGCAGGAGTGGCCGCGGCAAAGAGTAATATATTTATTCCAAGCTTGGTTTTGTTGGGATTGCAGGGTCGTGGGGCCAGGGCGCGTTGGGGTGTTAAGCCACAAAGGGGTTCAGATTTCAGCACGACGGAAGAGGAGCAACGACCAGACGGGAGAGCCGAGTACCAGCTTCTGCGCGGGATAGCAGGTACCCGGCGGCCACATGTGCAACGAAACACTGGTGGACGGCCCTTTCCGAAGCTCTGCACATGTGGATTTCTGTACTCTTGCCACGGGTGATTTTGAGATTTAAAATTGAAGTCTTGAGACGCCAGCCAGCAGGTGCAAACAGAGCTTAACGATACGAGGCCAGAGGCAAGAGGGGTCAGGCCACTTTGCACAATGTTGTGAAATAACACAGACTGGACTGGATAGATTTGGGTCTTGCAAAAATGAGAGAACATGGGGCAAGTCGGGATCGTGAGTGCCTTTACCACGGGGAAATATGGAGTACAGAGAGGCCAAGAGGGCTCGGGCCAGGCCAGGCCTGTGCTTAAGCTTGTGCTTGCGCTTGCATGTGCATGCGTACATGCCTGGTACCTCGAGGGATAGCCCAGGTGCCTACTCCGCACGGGGTACCTACCAGGTGCCCAAGTGCCTGGAGGCACCTCCCAAGGCAGGTGGAAGCATAATGCACAAATTGTACAGTACTCTGCGCTTGATGAAATACATCTAAGTACGGAGTACCTAGGTACATAAGCAGGTGCCTACTAGTGCGCTCTGTGGCATGTTTCTGTCCCAACCATTTGGCATGGCATGAAGGCGCCATTTACTTCCCTCACAGGCTTTGTGGTCGGGCGGGAGTAGAGTCAGCCGCGGCGGTGTGATGGGTAGTGGCATGAGTCGGCGACTGGGGAGTGCGGATATGGACCTCAGAGAATCAGCATCGGCGACGCCAAGGACAATTTATGAAGGTGGCCAGCGTCGCCCAGCGCATTCAATGCCGCGATAGGCGGTCGCTGGCGGATGTTCTCTCCGCTGCAGTTCACCATTGTAGCATTGCGTCTTCAACGTTATACATTGCCCTCGGCATATCCATCCATCTCTTCTTCACGTTCAAGCCCAAACAACCACTCGAGTAAGGGGGGCGTGTGCGCAGCAGCTACTCAGCCAAAAGCCCGTGCCTGCACATGAAAATTGCAGAGCGAGGGGCAGCTCCTGCCCTGTTGGCCTCTGACAGCACCAAACAGCCACTCACGTCGCTAGCTTGCCAGATCCCCTCTGCTGCAGCCAATCTGCTCCGTTCTCTGTAAACCTTTTTTTGGTCCCTTTTTTTCTTTTTTTCTTTTTAGCCTCTCTCTGTTTTCTCTGTGCCCATCCGCCCAAGTCAAGTCATGACATGCTGCACACTCGAATTGTCATCCAGCCACGCCATCGCCACCCTCCAGGAACTGAGTCGCCAAGATCATGAACTTTCGCCGCCGCCGTATCTCACAGTGTCAAGTGTCCGACTGGCCATGCCGCTAGAAAACTACCAACTAGCTGCTCGTAGCTTTCCTTGCATCCGCACGGCGTGGAGCCACCCTCCAACATGTGAAGCCGACGGCCAAGTCAAGACCGACCTTTAGAGACATTGAGACGCACAAAGTCACACAACTGATCATCATGGTTATACATATGCAAATGAGACGAGCTTACTCTGTACTACTCCGTACTGTCCAGACCAGTTGATGCGGCTTGTAGCTCAGCAGCCCAGTGAATGACCATGCAGTCCGCTGTGCATGCCTCGATGCTACGCTGTGGGCGAGGGCACTGGTGAAAAGAAATTTTCGCAGGTTCAGCTGTCTAGTCCACGACTTGGGCATCCTGGCTTGGCCCTTCGAGCATTTTCGGACACAGTCCCGCCCACTTGACATGCAGCCTCGTTCAGGATTACGGAAACAGTCGTCAATCTTGGCGGTGGTTGTGTCACCGCGTGGTGAAGGTTAATCTGAACGAAAGAGGCATTGAACTTTACCCTGTACTATTCTCATGCAATGCCGATTGGATCTACCAGATCCATACCCTTATCGCCATGTCCTGTTACGCCTCGATGCGCAGGCCGTGGGCAACGTGGGTTCAGGGGGGTGTGCCAGACGGTTTTTGCTATTTGTGCGGCCAAAGAAAACCCGTCACAGACAGGACGGGAGGCTCATAGAGACATGATCCAGCATGTCATCATCTCAGTCACAGGCCAAGCTTAGTCCGGGTCTCCCCGCCCCGTGCGAGGGAGCTGTTACATCGCGCCGCAACAAGTAATGAGGGGGCCAAGCAATTGACATCAAGAAGACCATGAGCAGTTTATGTGATTCGCAAAATCTCATGCCTACCTAGGTACCTAGGTAGTTTTCGCCACCTGTTACTGTTACGACAGTCAAGTGCCGTCCAAAGGCAGTCGGTTATGCCCTACCCTATACTACAGGCCAGCTATAGGAGACGACGTGGATTGGCGGTGCTTGACTCTACAACGGGAATTGGAGTCGGACCATGGTTAACATAACCCGTAGAGGCCTGCTCTTTGTGTAATAGGGAACAAAATGACCAAAATGGGTGCTTTGTGCACATCGGGTGTTTCCAGATCTGGAAAGGGGACGACGCTATTGGGGATACAGAACGGGACAGCATGAACGCCAATAGAGCAAAATAATAAACGATCCGTAAGCTCACTCGTGGGTAATTTATTATGAGATTGACAGTGCTAGCCGCCCCTGAATAGAACTCGGCTCTTTCAGTTCCTTTTGTCTCTGGGTCTGAACAAGAGTTGCGATTCCGATGACGGATTTTACCTCTGCCAAACTCATACATATGACCATCCCAGCGAAACACTTGTGGCTGCCATTGATGGAGCAAGTTATACACCCTGGATGACGCACTATAAGACGGCACGAGGAATGATGGCAATCACGAGGTAAAAGCCGTCCAGGTTCCATGACATGACGGTCCGTCTGATGTACGCTTTGTGGGAAATTCACCGACTTTTGTATCATGTTACCCCTCTCGCAGGAGGGGTAATCGAGACTGAAAACAGTATATCGTTCTACAGTGTACATGCATCGTTTCACCAACTCCCAACGCCAAACTTATACACTACACCCTGGCCGCTCATACAGCTCTACCACGACACCAGCTTGCCGCCGCTGTCCACAACGGCCATCAGCCTCTCCGGCATAAACTCCACCCAGACATTGACCCTCTCCTGGTCAAGTACCACGTCCCTCCACGCCTTCCGGGCCGCCTCCCTCAGCGACGCCTCGTCCCAGTCCTTCAGCGGCTTCATCCTCCACTGCTTGCCGGCCGGCCACACCGAATCAAGGGGGCTCAGGTCCGGGCTCTCGCCGCAGTTGAAGTGGCTCCGGAGCTCGTTGAGCTCCTTCCACTGCTGCACGGGATTCGCCTTGCTCAGCGCCCCGTGGGCAAACGACTCGGCGTCCTCCTCCAAGATGAAGGACTGGGGCCCGCCCACGGACGGCCGCAGCCACGGCTTGACGTGCTTCTCGAGAACCTTGTCGCGGTAGTCGGCCATGGCCATGACGCCCGACGAGTTGGGGCTCGTCGCGGCGTCGTAAAAGACGAGGTCGCTCTTGAAGTTGTACCCCACGCACGCCCACGCGTGGACTCTCTTGACGTCCCTCGTCCACCTCCCGGGCCCGCCTGCCTCGTCGTCGACGGACCGCCGCGTCTCGTCGCAGCCCGGGCAGTACTTCTCCCCCGGCCGGGGCATCACCCTCATTGCGCCGTCGAGCCCGAAGCCAAAGTGCAGCTCGCACCCGAACCGGACCGTCCGCCAGCCGCCCGTCTCCGCGGCCGCAAACGCGTCCAGCATCCGGCGCGCCCACTCCACCCGCCTCTCGCGCAGCTTCTTGTTCACCCACCCCCTTCCGCACCCCAGGCACCGTCTGTACCCCAGCGTGCCCATGGCCCGGTGCATCGTCCTCGGGTTGCAGCCCATCTCTACGCCCGCGTGCTTCGCCAGCCCCGCCCAGTTGAGGTACACGTCCTCGTACGCCTCGTCCCAGAGGATGCTTTCCAGCTTTTGCTGGTCCTCGTCGGACAGCTTGCTGGGCCGCCCTCGCGTCTCTTCCCACTCGGGGTCACTCCGCTTCGGCGCTGACCCGCTGAGTGCCGCGTAGCCCTGGGACCGCGATAGTCCAAAGTGTCTGAATATGGCGGATTTGTTGACGGGCAGGCCCTGGGATTCGAGGTAGCCTATGGTCCCGCGAACCATGGCCTTCTTGGGCGTGTCTCCATGTTTGTAGCCCGAGGGCATTTCTCTGGCCTGCTGGTGAGTGCGCCCCGTGCGCCCGACTCTTCTCTCTCCCTTTCTCTGTGAGGTTGATGCCGGTTGATGGTGTAAGTTGCGTCCATGTATGTTGATTTGAGTGGGGATGAGGGTCGTGACAAAAACTGTGTGCGTTTGTTTTTGTCGGCTGAATATTGTTGGCTGTCACGTGATGGACCCCGAGAGACAAACGTGCTTTCCAGCTTCAACGCCTTCGTTCGGTGTGATGAGCAGTAGGGCAGGCAGTATTTGGTGCATCAATTACAATATACGGAATCCAATTGAGATCAAGTCGCCTATATCGTGGCATGGTGCGGTTAAAAATACAGCCAGCCTGCACGATACGATACTCGTCCCCGGGTCATTCATTCAGTCATTCACAGAATGCGGCGAATTTCTCACGTCTTATTGAAATAAGTAATAAAAATTAAGCCGTCATGTAATCTAACGGGTGTCCAAGGCCGCGTGGCCGAATATTGACAGCCCATGTCCACAACGGGCGAAAATTATGTACCCAGACTTGCCGCGTGCATGTATACGCCTGAATCCAAAGACACATCTTGATGGCAGCATTTTGCCAACTCATCGGTTCCCTCTCCTTCTCCCGATTCATTGCTTCTCTCGCTAGCGCAAAGAATATGACCAGTTCATTAAACGCCAGCTCCAGACCGACTGATTATGCCCGTCGCTTTCCCCCTCCTTCCTCCGCCTCGCTCACAAGTGCTCAGTAAGTCACAACGCCTTGACGCGGCTCCCATTGCACGCGTCCCCTCCGTCTATACATCTTGATATACATTAAACGCTTGAAATCAAATCGAAACAGATCGAGTCCCAGTATAAGGTAATCCAGATATCGTATGTAAATGGTCGCAAGGTATTTCTTTTTGCTGTCGTCGAATGACCAAGTGAGGAGATTGAAATTAAGCCTTCCCAGCTTCACGAACGGCTGCCATAAACCGGTCTTCAGCCCCAACTGCAGCCACTGCTCTTGCCGCTCCGGTGCTCGAATTTGCCCTAGTGATCACAGCAAGGACTTCATCAGAAGTCTTACTTCCGAGAAGTGCCATTTCACGGGAAAGCAAGAGAGCCACGGCTGCTCGAACTAGCAAGGCATCACCCTCAAACACATACACATCCCATAGACGCGCAGCTTCATCAATGGCCAAGTGACCTGTGAACAAGCTAAGAAACATGCCACCCAAGTAAAGTTCTGGCGTAACATCCCGCATAGTCTTAGTCAGGTGATCGCGAAGCGGCAGTGATTTGTGGCCAAGTGTCTGCAAAACAAGATTATAAGCAGAGGCTTGTGCTGTTTCATCGGCAGTGTAGAATGATAAAGGCAATGGTCGGTTCAAAAGGTTGGCGAGCGCGATGAACACTGTTTCGGCATTGGGAAGGTTCAATAGAAGTAAGGCCGCAATAGTCTGCAACAGCAAAGTTAGTAAACACTGAACAAGCCAGAAGACTATTCAAAAGTTGGGAGGCCATACATTACACCCAAACACGTAACCAATATCGCTCCTGTACATGGCATATGCACTAAGCACATCAACTAATGACGAATGCAGAGGTCCAGTGATTTCAAAGATTTTAAGATTCTTCCAAGTCTTGTCACTTGCATCTTTGCGAATCTGCTCAAACCACTTGGCTCGCCTAGCATCTTCAGCATCTGCTCTGTCGGTGCGAACTCTGTCTTCCAAATCACGAGCGCGAGCCAGAGCAGTTCGGAAAGTAGCCTCTGTCAAACCAAGCTCATTGCCAATGGCACGAGCCCAGACGACGCCGCGACTTCTCGGGGCGACTCCTCGCCACCACATGTCCCTTGTGCGTCTCTCACGTATGGCGTCATTCCATCGTGGGATGATGTCACCTTCCCAAATGTGCATAAGGTTGTCCGCAGTGTTGTCTCTTGACTCGGTCCTTGATCGTCGAGCGGCCTCACGCCTCTCGTCGGCTTTGGCACTGGCGGCCATCATCTTCTGATACTCTTTCAGGTGGCGACGTTCTTCCGCTGGATCCTTGGGCGGTAACCAAGACGGTCGGGTACGGCTGAGAACAGCCTCCTTCTCCTTTGATATGGGTAGCGGATCTATCATGATGTCGGTTCGCCGCAGCGGTGGCAATTCGGGAGTTGACGACTTTACTCGGGCTTTTTTATCGTACACATGGTCGTAGGGCATATGACTAGAATTCCAGGTGTTTGGGCGGGCAGCTCCTGATGGACGGCGGCTGGAACGCTCATGTAGCTCGTCGGCGTGTTCCTCCAGCTTTTCGGTCAGCGCCTTAGATTCGGCGTTCAAATCAGCCAGGGCCAAGTTCCAGCTATTGGCTCGTGATTTGACCGGGCTTGGTGGCGGCTTGTCCGATGCATCTGACCTCCACGAAGGAGATCGAAGGGATCCCTGTGCCTGGGCTACTGCCGGTGTGCCGTTACCAATGCTTCGGACCCTTTCCTTGGGCGCACGATCTGGTGACGGTGAAATCGAGGGAGCTCGACTTGGTGGACGCTCATTGGCAGGTCGAGGAGAGATAGGCACATTGTCAAGCACAATGCCATCAGGAATATCATCGCCATCATCTTCGTCGCACTCGTGTTCCAGATCTTGCAAGCTCTTGCGACGAGTCGCCTGCCAGCTTCCGCGTCGAGGTCGCGGCTGAGGCTTGGGCGGCAGGTTGATATCTCTAGGGTTTAAGGACAAGTTGGGACTGGTGCTGCGGTTTCGTCGTGCGACGGGCAAAGAAACTGTAGAATGTCCTCTGTTCAAAGAAAGAGGTCGTGGATCTGTCAGCCCCGCGAGGCTTGTGCTTCGTGGGTTGGACGCGTAGACGCTGGTATGGAGATTAGGAAACGATCGTCGCGGCTTCGGGCCTGGAGGTCGCTTTCCACCGGCCAGGTTACGAGCAACTGGCGTCACCAATGGAGTTGGCCCAGGGCGGACGTTGACTTTGAGGGTGACATTGTCGTCGTCCAAGCCGATGTCTTCGAAGTGGCTAACATCTGCCAACACACTGCCGTCATCGCTGTTGAGCGACTGAAAGGAGGAAGATTTTGAGCTCTTAGACGTGGTCATTCCGGGAGGAGATCCAGGGCTCGGTATAATGTTGCTAACGACTTGTTCGTGAATCATGGCTGCATTTCAGAGGATTCAGCACGGTGGAAATTAAGTGATTGCAGGAAACCCAAGACTATTGAGGAGCCCAAAAAGGGAACTATTATATTGTTTCGTTCCGCTCCCTCTGCAGGTTTGGCGTGAAAGAATTGTTTGCGAATATTTCGGCGTGGCCAGGAGCCGCAAGGACTCACGAGGACCAAACAGTGAACCGGTCGTTATAAGCAATCGTGACAGTCGTGGATTCTAAGCTTTTGCGTTTTCGTATCGAGGGTCTCTGGGGCCGTAGACGCGGGGAAAGGGGAAGTTGAAATCTGAGACGACGGATACGAACGATGGGTCACGGGGACGGCAACGGCGTGTCAGAAGACGGGTGTGAATGATTGACAGGCCCCCTGACGATAAAGCAAAAAGTATAAGGTTACAAAAAAAAAAGCCAGCGAAGAAACGAAGTGAGGAGTTCAAACGAGAGAAGTGCTGAGGATTGAACGAATGGGCGGCGGCTGCCAATGAGGGAAGAGCCGGTGTCGATGATGAGCAAATGCCAGGTGCAGGACACTGGATGCAAAATGCAAAAACGAGAGAATATGCAGACTTGTTCTGAATATTCAGAGGGCAAAAGCAGAGTGCCAAAGTCAATGACGAGAGGGAAGCCGAATAGGAGGGCACAATTGCAGCATCCATGGACCAAATCGGCCTTGGAGAGTGCCAATCTCCGTCTTCGCCCCCGCTCCTCTCCTGCGCACCTTTTTGCACCTTTGCTTGCTCCAATCGTGATGCAGGCGTCGGGGTGGTGTGAGCTTCCGTTCCTTGGCATGCTTGTTATTTTAGTCCAAAGGTAATGATCAATCGACCTCCATTGCATCCCAACTGTCCCCCCCTCGTCCAGTTAGACGCCTGCATGGCCGCCGCCAAACGCACAAGGATGGGCCGTGATAGCAGCAACAGATGGCCAGGGCCCAGGACGGACCCGCATGGCCAAACATGAGGCACAGTGGCACACGAGACGAGGCGAGAGAGTTTGGACCCAACGACACAAGAACGGACGGATCGACATGGCCCAAGAGCAATTGACCTGGAACCGGCAGTCCCAACGACGCCAACAACGCCAAGGCAACCAGGCACGACGGACCAAGGACCAGACGAATGAGCTAGACCTCATTATCCCTGGCACCGAGCACGATCCTCAAATCCAGCGGTGGAGACTCGATGGATCAACGATGCTTGTCGATTCCGCGGTGCAGCCAGCTGAACCAAACCAGAGATACCCACTCACTACTCGCACCAAGTGCTCCGTCGTCTGTTGTACATTGTTCAGACAGACAGACAGAATAATATGCCACACGGGAAACAATACTTGTCTGGGGAAGTTTTGCGCCCTGCCCCTGGTGTCACGGTCCAGAGCACTAGGCCGTCTCGTGGCGTACTGAGCACAACACCGTTTGACGGAGGGCATCCGCAAATCCCGGGCCCCTATTCAAGTTGCGCGACCATGGCATCCAGTACAATACAAAAGCGCCCAATCCTCCATCACAATACCAAGTACGAAGCATTCGAGAACAATAAAAAACTGCAAACCACCAACCAACCAACCGTGGTTTTGCCAGCAAGCGATCACTATGACCGCTCCGTGACGCAAAAGAATTGGCGCAGTACAAACCTACAAACAAAACCCCAAAGACTCGCTTTTGGTTGGTGGTAACTACTCCGTACAACATGCGCCGTGACTAGGACCTTTGCTGGTCCTTCTTCAGGGCACGGAATTCTGAACCAGGGGTTGTGAAGCAAAGACAGGGAGACGCCAGATAGTACTACAATGCTACGGAGTACTAGTAACTATCAAGAACCTCCCTGTCCTGTAATTGCACACTGCTGTGTATGTACATATTGTCAATACAGAATGCACCAATAAAATGGTACTCCATCGTTGGTGCATTCTGATGTCCCACATGTGGTCTAGTTTTCCCGCTCAGTCAAGGAATATTTTAATGAGACATGGGAGTCTCGGAGCCGGTCTAGACTGATAAAAACAAAAGCCCTTTGTTGATAAGTCCAGGGAGACAAGGAATGGGACTGAAAGTTGTGCCAAATGTCCATGGTGATATTGATCCGGACTACATGTACCAGAGACTAGTACTCCGTACATAAAGTAATCCATATTTATGGCTGCTGCAAATTGCCCTGGGCCCCATATCCTGTCCCCTGCAGCCCAGGATCCCATTCATTCGACTTCCTGGTCGCTCCAATTACCCCATCACGACGCGAAAAGCAGTCGCCGTCTCTGCTTGAAACTCCATCAGTGGAAGAATAACACTTTGCCAACGTAAATTAAAAACAAACTCTACAACTAGCTTGGAACAGGGAATGCCAGCCCAGTCTCTCTCTTTCATGGCCGGCCCGGAGGCGTTATCAGCCATGGGTAAAATTATGACCTTAAATAATATGCGACGGCTCAGACGATACCAGACATCATCAACACAGTCCATGCAGGTGGTGGACAAGGGCCTGACAAAGTTTGAACATTACTTTTACAGCATGCATAGGGGCACCGGAGGCCTATTAACCGCCTCACTTTCAACGACCATCGAATAATAATGTTGCACGTCTTTGTATTTTGTGTAGTTCCAGGGGGAAAAAAAAATCAGTTCTGCGTGGTTGGCCGGGAAGGATGTCACGCGGAGACTATTGGTGTCAAGGGAGGGGAGTCATCCTCTATTCACACTTGTTTAAACACAAAATCCTTGAAACATAGGACTCGGTGACACAGGCAACCTTACTTGAAGCAGGCATTGCTCATCTTCGCTGCAAAATCATTCCAGGAGAATGTAAAGTAGATCGATGACCTTGCCGACGTGCACCGTGGCTTATTGACACTGACGCACGCCAACTACCATTCATATTTTCATGATTTCTATGGTATCATTACAGGTTGTCTTCACTTTACTTTTTGCATCCAGGAACCCACCCCTAGTCCATATCTATCGTACCTCAGATCTGCCAATATCACCCCTTTACATACGCTCACGCCGTCGAGGCGCGGCTCGAATGATGTCGTCTACTCGCAGGAGAAGCTGTACACGGTTTGTTAGTCATCCATCTTTCTACATAATTTTGGCGTAGCTGGTAGTGAAGAGTGAAAGATGCTTACCTCGGCTGCTTCGCTGGCCGATGATACAACCGCGCGCTTCAACTTGTAACTCTCAATAACGCCAAGATCCCGCATGTCTTCAATGCCACCGCCGGGCTTCATTAGATCCAGACCATACGTAGTCAGCCCATCGTAAATGGTCTTTCGGAGTCTTGAAACAAGATCACCAGAGTCGAGACCGGCGTTATCGGCAAGTATCGTTGGCAATTGCCTCAGGGCAACGGCGAAGCTAGACACTGCCAACTGCTTCTTGCCATCAACACGAGTGGCGGCACCATCAACAGCCTTGGCCATGACCATCTCAGCACACCCGCCACCCAGCGTCGTTCTAGGCTCAATGACAGTCTGGGACAAGACGGCCAAAGCATCGTGCAGACTTCGCTCAGCCTCGTCCAATAGCTGTTCAGTGGCACCACGCAGAACGATAGTGCAAGCCTCTCCGGCTGACACGCCAGAGAACTTGATTAGAGTGTCCTCGCCAATAATGACCTCCTCGATTAAGTCGCACGTGCCCAACTTGACCTGCTCGGGGTGGTCAAAGGTCGAAGCAATCTCACCACCAGTGACAAGGGCTAAACGCTCAATACCATCAAAGTCGGCGTGCTCAATAGACATTATACCAGCATCAGTAAAGAGCTGCTCGGGCCAGTTGTAAATGAGCTGGCGGTTAATGAAACAGTTGATGCCGTGGGACTTGATCTTGTCGACCTTGGCCTTCATCTTATCCTTTTCGGCCTTCTCGAGCTCGGCAAGTTTGCTAGTGGCCCCGACCTTCATTCTAGCACCAAAGATTTTGACCTTGTCGGTATCCATGGACGTGTTGGCAACCAAAATCTTGGCCTTTTCTAACCTCTTGGGCTGGTTGACACCAATCTTCTTGTCTAGAATGAAACCCTCATCAAGGTACGATTCACTCAGCTTGCCACCGGCCTTCTTAATGATTTGGATGTGGCTAAGATCGGATGACTTCTTTAGCCGGAGAACCGCATCGCAGGCAAGGGTGGCGAAGTGGTCTCTGTCTTGAGCCAAAACCTTGGAGCTCAGCGTCGTTCGTGCGATTGAAACGAGGTCCTTGCGGAAAGCCTCGGGGCTCTTGCTGTGGTCAACGGCGGACTCCTCGAGAGCTTTAAGAGCAGCTTGACTGGCTATCCGGTAGCCTTCAATGATGGTCTGGGGGTGAATCTTTTGACCGACCAGCTTCTCAGCCTCTCGGAGTAGCTCAGCGGCCAAGACAGCCACCGAGGTGGTGCCATCACCGACTTCGTCATCCTGGACTTTGGAGATATTGACGAGCACCTTAGCGGCGGCATTATCGAGAGCAATAGATTTGAGGATGGTAGCACCGTCGTTGGTAACCATGATGTCGCCGGTGGAGCTGTATCAGGGACAATTTGTCAGGATATCTTTTTGTTGCGGGGGTCTGCAAAACTTACGCCGACTGCAAGATCTTGTCCATGCCTTTGGGGCCCAAGGTGCTCTTCACCAAATCACCAACAGCAATGGCACCAACAAAGGCGGAGAGACGCGCATTCTCACCCTTCTCCTCTGTGGTGCCTTCTTCGAAAATCTGCGTCGGCTGGAAAGACTGTATGGCGGGGTGAGGGGGCAGGTTAGCTGCGGTTCAAGAACTCTGCCGGCAAATAATTGGCATCTTGTGTAGTCTCAAATGCTGTACATACCATGGCAGGCTATTTGGAAACAGAGGGAAATGCAAGTCGGCGGGCCTGATGTTGGTGGTTGTCGTGCTTGAGTTTCGTGACCGCTTTCCACACTGCGAGGCAGCCTCTTTTTTTGAAGCTCTCCTAAATTCGCCTGGCACACACGGTCTGGTCCATCCAGGCCCAACTGCACCTAGCCGCAAATTCAACAGCCTTGAACCCCACTATGCAACCGCCGACAATTCCCTCCCACGTGACTTGCCCCTCGCGGTGGAAAATTGACGGCGAAGGATTATCGCTTCTCCGCCGCACACTTTGCGGAAACTGAAGAACACCAAATTTGTAACGGCTGTAAGACCCTCAACGAGGAATTGCCCATCCTAGCCCCAAGTCAGCCGCTACACGCTGCACTCGCCACCGCCTGAGGCCCGTGACGGTGATTCAAATAACCTCTAAACGAAACGAAGCATCGATATCGCACTTCAGAACACCTATACCCAGACAGCCACTTTGACGCACAAACGAATCGTCTTAACGCACAACATTTCGCTGTCGCCCAAGCGGGGCAGTTTTTGCACCCCTCCCTGAACGGAGAATCTTCGCCAACATGGCTCCGTCCTTCGATCACCTGCGCGAGGCCGACCTCGACGACGATGAGTTCAATGAGGAGGATATTGATATCTCGGACCTTCGCGAGAAGTTCGAGGTTTCCTTGGAACAGGGCTATGATGCCTTTGTTGTTATCGACGGCTTGCCCGCAGTCACTGAGGACCAGAAGCCCAAACTGGTCAAGTTTTTATTGAAGAAACTCAACTCTGTTGGAAAGACGAGAGAGGATTTGATCCACATGCCCATGGGTGATGATGGAAAGTCTTTGAGGTAAGTCGCGGTAGGACAAAAAAAACAACATGGGCAGCTTGAACCAGGTTTTCGGGCAAGGACGCTGGCTTCTTTCTTTCGAAGCTAACTTTTATACTCTCAGTTTTGCCTTTGTTGAATATTCCTCACCTGCCGAGGCTGCTGCCGCCACACGACAGCTGGACTTGGTTCCCCTTGACAAGAAACACACTATGCGCGTAAACAAGCTTACAGATGTCGAGCGCTACGGCGGTGAGGGTAGAATCGATGAGAAGTACACGCCCCCTCACATTGACGAGTTCGCCGAGAAGGAACATCTACGATGGTTCATGAAGGACCCTTCGGGCCGAGGGCGTGACCAGTTTGTCATGTACCGGGGTGATACCGTTGGAGTCTTTTGGAATAACGAGAAGGAGCAACCCGAAAACATTGTTGACCGTCAACACTGGACTGAGACCTTCTTACAGTGGTCTCCCCTTGGCACGTATCTTACTTCAATCCACGCCCAAGGTGTTCAGCTCTGGGGTGGTCAGTCATGGTCCCGACAAGCCCGATTTGCTCACCCATACGTCAACCTCGTCGCCTTCTCCCCCACAGAGAAATATTTGGTTACATGGTCTAACCGACCTATTTCCATTCCTGAAACCGGCCACCCCGCCCTTTCCATTGACGACGATGGCAAAAACTATGTCATTTGGGATATTGCCACGGGTATTCCTCTGCGTTCCTTCGCCAACCTTGATCTCCCCAAGGCCGAGGAGGGCAAGCCTGCGCCAAAGCTGCAATGGCCTGCTTTCAAGTGGTCTTCCGACGACAAGTATGTTGCTCGATTGACCCAGGGCCAATCCATCTCTGTATACGAGCTGCCACGCATGAATTTACTGGACAAGACTAGCATCAAGATTGAAGGCGTCATGGACTTTGACTGGGCACCTGCTACGGTCCAAAGAGAAGGTGTCAAGAACTACGAACAACTCTTCTGCTTCTGGACTCCGGAAATCGGCAGCAATCCTGCCAAGGTCGGCTTGATGAGCATTCCCTCCAAGGAAATTGTTAGATCACTCAACCTCTTCAGCGTCAGTGACGCCAAGCTGCATTGGCAGTCGGAAGCTGCCTACCTTTGCGTCAAGGTCGACAGACACTCCAAGTCGAAGAAATCACAAGCCACCACATTGGAGATTTTCCGAATCAAGGAGAAGGGCGTCCCTGTCGAAGTTGTTGACACCATCAAGGACACTGTCATCAACTTTGCCTGGGAGCCCAAGGGTGACAGGTTCGCCATCATCACCACCACCGAACCAGTCGGCGTCACGGCTGTGCCCCCCAAAACTGCCGTCTCATTCTTCTGCCCCGAAAAGGTCAAGGGGCCCATTGCAGGCAACTTCAAACACCTCCGAACACTGGACAAGAAGAACAGCAACGCCATCTACTGGTCACCGCGCGGACGATTCGTTGTCATTGCCACTATCCACAACCAGCAGAGCTCCGACCTCGACTTCTTTGATCTCGACTTTGAGGGCGACAAACCCGAGTCTGACAAAGACATGACCGCCAACCTACAGCTGATGAACACTGCTGATCATTATGGTGTCACCGATGTTGAGTGGGATCCATCTGGCCGCTTTGTCGCCACCTGGGCATCAGTATGGAAGCATGCCGTAAGTTGGCACGACGTATTATAACGAGGCGTTGCAATGCAAACATGAAACTAACCATGATACCACTTAGATGGAAAACGGCTACCACATTTACGACTTCAAGGGCGAGACCTTGCGGGAAGAGCCCATTGACAAGTTTAAGCAATTCCAGTGGCGACCGCGACCCCCGACGCTGTTGACCAAGGACGAGCAGAAGCAGGTCCGCAAGAACCTGCGCGAATACAGCCGAGTATTCGAACAGGAAGATGCCGACCGTGGCGCCTCGGCAGACCTGGCTGTGGTTGAGGCCCGACGACGCATGCTTGAAGAGTGGTACGCCTGGCGCGCCGATGTCGAGGAGGAAATTTATGAGGAGCGTGTCGCCCTCGGCTTACCGCAGGATCCTCACGTTGCGCTACTGGAGTCCAAGACCAAGGCTATGGGCGTTGACAGTGCAGATCAGGAGCAAGTTATTGAGGAGATTGTGGAGGATGTCTTGGAGGAGAGTGAGGAGGTTCTCGCATAGGTGTGCGAGGGGAACGGCGAATGAGAGCATGAAATGTTGGACGAGATGGATACAACAATGTTCTACAGGCTTGCATGGAGAGCAGGTGCATTGGCTTGTACTGGTAAAACAAAATGTTGCTTCAGAGTCTGGGCACTTTATAATGAACTTTATTTTCACTGTTTAGTTCACATAAGCTTTGTTCTGGGAGTATAGGTGATTTGCATGATTTGGTGACAGGAAGCAGGGCGCACAGCCACCTAGCGAGTCGTGCCGCCACCACTTGTTATTCCTCTTATTGTGGAAGCAAGCTGCTTGACGCGCCAGTCAACCAACATGCTTGATTTCGAGCAAAGAACCCTCGGTTTTGGTCCCTGCGCAGTACTCCGTACGGTGTTTCAACACGCAAGATGCTGATGCGCCGTCACGCCACCAGACAGCCGCACCAATAAAGCCAAAGAGTGTCCATAAAAGACTTTTGGGGGAAAAGGTGGTGAGGCGGAAGTGCCGGCGGGACGAAGCGAGCCAGTTACAGGAGGGCATCCCAAGAGTGTGGGTGGCAGCGGTCTTAGTACATACTGAGTACGTACTACAGGTATGCACTGACAGGACAACCACGATTTATTGGCCACTTATGACATACTAAGTACATACTTAGGTACATTAAAAAAGTACGGTAGAGTAATAATAGCCATGGGCTAGACACAAATGCCAGTATTCGTAGCAATGCACTATTATATATAGAGTATTCAAGAGACCTAAAGCCTATAAGGTGGGTTCAGAAACAGAGTTACTCTTACAAATTATACCCTCACTTTTATCTCTTAGAATATGCATATGTACTCCGTACGAGTGGACTGTTTGGTGTGTCCATGTCCTACCATTGAACTTGAAGTACTGCCCTGCTTGGTACTGGTTGGCTAATAAACTAGGGGTAGTCCGAGTACCAGCATCAATGATGATACCAAACCTTCAGGTATCACTGCCGCGACACGCGGACGATGGCCGTCTCACCCCCAAGGCCTTGTTTTTTGTACCAGACATCGACCCTAGTGATGCTTGGCTCGGATTGAGATTAGCACTGAAGAGTGTAGCAAAATCAATGCGGTGGTGTCGCCGGGCTGGAGGTGGCGCTGATCCCACCGCTCTCCGCAGCGCTCTTACAAGGGCAATGGTATCTTCAGGCCCCTGTTCCCTTGCCGGGTGAAACGGCGCAACATGTTTTGGAAAACTGCCGCGCTTAACTCATGCGAGTGCCTCGCTTTGAGCTTGGGTACCCTGGCGAAACGAAACGGACCTGATGTCCTGCTGGTGCCTGCTGGACCAACGCTCCATGTCGTCAATATTGGTGCGGCTCGGTGGCCGTCAAAGCCCTACTCACACGCGCATGCACAGTATATGAGTGAGTTGAGTCCGCACGCACAAAAGTTCAATAGCGCCGGCATGAATTCAAGTGTTTTGTCATGCATCAAAGACAATTACTCGAGAATGTGGAGCACATTTGTCAAGCTCCGACAGCCGAGACCGCGAGGAATATTGTCTACGGCGTCAATTCAGTATGCATGGCATGTACTCCGTATGTATGTACTTTATCAATCGGCGATACGGGCTTCCAGCTTCCTTCCCTGCTCTTACTTGTTGTCCAATCCCTTCTTTCCGACTATGGCGTATGTACTTGAGTACTTCGCGTATAGGCCGCTATGCAATAGTACAGGTTGATTGTTTCATACTACATCACGAAAGGCAGACCAGCGTTTTATTACCATGTACAAATAAAAATATATAAAGCGCAGATATGTATGTGTGTGTAACCCTGTCTTGAAGAGGGATGGTCTGAACCACGTCTGATTGGAAAGGATTACCGTGAGGACAATCATCAAGGTGCGCAGGCAAAGGTACCGGCAAGGGACGTTGTTTGCTTCATTCTCAGCCGGAAAAGCGCTGGTATGGATACAAGCAAGGGGTCATCGAGTCACGCAGAATCTCGACTTAGCCTTCTGACGCAGCGGTTGTACGGAGGATGTGCTACTTAATATAAATAATCAATTAGTTATGCAGAGTCTCCTTCATCTCCTTCAACCATAGACAAGGAGTGGCTGGGATGAAAGTGCTGAATACCCGCTCGACAACATCCTGCCCAACATCCCCTGGTCGTATTAAATGGCATGAAGCATCGGCAAAATGTTTGCTCGGCCTTGGCCACCCCGTAGAGGGGCTGGCTCGGCGTTGAGCGAGATTGAGCAAGCATTCGGGTTTTCAAAGTCGAATACGGAGTAACGGCTCGTCAATTGTACAGAGTGCTGTACAGAGTGCAGTACAGAGCCATTCGACCGACGCCAGTTGGCCTTGAGTGACAAACTTGATGGTCCAAAGACAGAAACGATCAGAGAACAGACGACGGTCTGGGCTCAAGTTCTGGTCTCAAATGATGGTGGTCTCGAGTGCTTGCCTCATTCTTGCCCACCAGTCATTAATCGACGACGACGCAGCAGGCACGCCCGAGTTACTACTGTATTTGAGACAGGAGATGATACAGTACACGATAGCACAGTGCACACAGTTGCGTCAGGCTCCAACTTGTATAGAGTAAAACGGTTCAAAAAAAAACATTGGTGGGTCATTGACTCATTTCTCGCACTCTAGCTGCGCCATCCCGATGCATGTTTCGAGTTTCGACTTGCGAAAAAATCCTCTCTACTCCGCGGCAAAACCTTGTCCATCTCGATGCTCGCATAAGCTCCGTGAAATATGTATTATATCATTAGCTACCACTATTTGAGGGATACTCGGCATAGTTGCGGACTCGCCGCTGCGACGCCACTTAAATTAAATGCAATGTGCACGCACGGTGTATGCGTTGGTACAGGTGTTTTTTCGTACTGTATTTCCCCACAGACTCAGCAGTCGGCTGGCGTGGAACCGTCTGGTGGGACAAGGAGGGCAAGAGCAACTAGTACTACTACTAGATCCAAGGGACCCAACACCCTCATTAGGTCGTCCAGCCTTCGATTACGCTTTCTCGTATTTCCCAACCACACAACGCATCCTTCCACCCAAAGCCTCTCCCCCTTCATCGACATCGTCGCCAGCATACACCACACATATACGCGCATACACACACGAAGAAAGGACACAAGAAACCAAGTACTGGGCCTCCGGAAGGGATGGCCTCACTACCGTCGGCGTTGTAAATGCTTTCACCATCAGTATTGGTAGAAGCACAGCTCCTCCATCATCGCCTGCAGCTGTCTTCGATGCCACTGACTTAACCGCATTCTCCCCTCAGCATGCTGCGACGGCCCCCAATCGACGGGGGGGGGTCCTCGCAACAGCAGAAATTGTTTCTCGCCTTTGCCGTGATACTTCTGCCTTGGTTCCAGCTCGCCGACGCTCAACCGCGGCAAGCCGCTCATTCAATCATCTCACCACATGTTGCTCCCGCTGCTGGTGTTGCCGTGGATGTAGACGGTAGCTACAAGGACCGAAAAAAGCCCTCACGCGAGCATCATCCCGCAGCTTTCGCCGCTGCCGCTGCCGCTGCTGCTCGAAATGACCCCGCCCATTGGGGAGCTACACCCATCAGCGCAGCTACGATAGAAACACCCAGCGGTGGTGATCACAAGAGATCAGCTCTGCAGAAACAATCCGATCACCAGAAAGAGGAGCAACATCAGCTGCAAGCTGGACACGGCTCCGAAAATACACCCCACAAACCCCGTCTCGATGACAACATACACAACCACAATAAGAAACAAACTCGAAACGATGCGAGCGCCTTTGCAACAACTTTGGCTCCGGATAACTCCGTCCGAGCACCATCTCCTCTACGACGCCAACCGTCTGGGTTAACCTCGCCGCAATATGCGCGGAGTCTGGAGGACTGGGAAGTGGAAGACTTTGTTCTTCTGGCGACCGTCGATGGAGACCTCTATGCTGCCGACCGTAAAACCGGCAAACAACTCTGGAGTCTCTTGGTCGACCAACCAATGGTCGAAACTATTCACTACCGAGGCAACAGTTCCGAACTCGATGACGACTACAGTCCTGTGGACCACTACGTCTGGGCTATTGAGCCTAATCAAGATGGCGGCGTCTATGTATGGATTCCCGAACCAAATGCTCGACCACGATGGACTGGCTTCACTATGAAGGAGTTGGTTGAAGTACTATCCCCCTTTGCCGGAAATGAACCGGAACCTGCCGTTGTCTATGTTGGTGATAAGAGGACAACAATGGTCACTCTCGATGCCGCTACAGGACGTGTCATCAAGTGGTTCGGCACCGGAGGATCTCATGTCAATCAGGCTGAAAGTTGTCTCAAGCCAAATGCATTGTACGACAGGGACGCCGAAGAATGCAGCACCACGGGCACTATTACCCTCGGCAGAACCGAGTACACAGTCGGCATTGAGAGGCGGGACGGAAAGCCAATTGCCACTCTGAAATACGCCGAATGGACTCCTAACAACCGTGATAAAGATCTCTTTCATCAGTATCGCGTATCAAAGGATAATCGATATATCTCAACTCAACATGATGGCAAAATATACTCCTTTGACTATGCACGCTCCGACTCGAACTCCGTCCCAGCTCGCCTCTTCAGTCAAAAGTTTGAGGCTCCCGTGGCTCGTGTATTCGACGTTTGCCGTCCCTGGGATGCCACGCCGGATAGCAATCCGGATCTGATTCTCCTATCCCAGCCGATAATGCCATCGCCCGATGACCACACATCAAACAGCATCTTCCTAAACCGTACCACAACCGGTGGCTGGTATGCGCTCAGTGGCCGTGCCTACCCTCTCATTGACGCGGCCCCCGTCGCCCCAGCCTCCCGTCCCGATGGGTGGGAGAAAATGGCCTCGTGGGATAGCATGACGGAAACTAAATTATCCCGGTTGATCGGCACCCACTCACTAGGCAGCCAACAAAAGGTTCAGCAATTTCCTACATTGCCTGACCGGCCAGCGACGGGCAATGATAGAGAAGACCCAGACAATCAGTCCGTCCCCCAACATGTCCCG